AATGAAAGACACACACACACAGAAAAGTAAAAGAAAAGTAATGTGCTTTTCTTTTACTTTTCTTGTAACTATTTTTTTTTTATGAAATGCTACCCTATGGTAAATAGTAACCGTCGTTCTTATACATGCACATGGGTTGCCATTCCTGCCATTTCACTACCTTATCTCAACCGGAATTAATCTTAGCAAAGAAAACTGCTTGGTGTTTGAAATAGATGAGACAATACCCAGACGACTTAGTATAAAATATACCTTGGTCAAATTGTATGTTTACAGTTATGAAATTAATAAAACGTTCTGAACTACATTATTTGTGCAACAAATATAAGCTTGCGTCATAACGATGATCATAATCTAATTTTGATTGCCTTAACAAACCAAATTCTTACACGCCTTCCAAATACACCCAAGGACATATCCATATTTTATCGAAAATAATATAATATTCGTTAGGGTTTATTATTATCCTCTCACAAGTACATATTAATTTAATATTATTATTAATAATAATAATTAATTAGGCACTTCTGGGAGGATCTTGGTTGGCTACTTCAGTAGTCTCAGCTTTACACGCACAACAGCTTAGATCTGAAGCTAAATACAGACAATTGAGTCTAACTTACATTATACTACATATATAGGATCATATATACATATATCTATACCAACATTACAATAGGATAAAGTTTTTTACTTTGGATTCTCAGGATAACCTCTGGTATTACTAAACCTCTTTTGAAAATTATTTTAGCGTTGGATAGCCCATTTATTAAGCAAGGCTATATAATATCACTCTACCACATACAGGAGCGGAGCTGCAAAAACGGAGAAAATGTGTCGCAGGCGAAGATAAACGGGTCTAATGAGGGGTTATTACACTATAACCATTCATAAACCTATTATGGTGGTCAATCTGGCAGCACATGGCTAGAAATAGGCTCTCTAGTATTAACAAATAATTACTTCCGTGATGGAACTCATCAAATTTTATCCCGATTGAAATAATTAAAAAAAAACATAATCTTGTATTATTCTGTTTTTTAGTAATCCTAGTTATATACTACGTTAATTGGTGATAATATGAATTTGTTACGGTGAAAACATGGGTAATGATTATTTTTTATGTATTTCTCCCTTGCAAACCAACGATAATAAAATAATTCTTGGAAAATTCTCTCACTATTTTGACCAAAGAAAGTCCAAAAACAAAAATTATTATTGACGCCATTTAATAAAATAAATGTTTCATTCAATGTTAGAGGTAGTTGTTATGAAATAAATAGAGTTATTTCATAACAACTACCTCTAACCTCCTCCATCATTGCCAAACCTATCTCCGTTACCAAAGTCTAGAAGAATCGTGTACCTACTTCTTATACTGTAGACATTATTGTAATAAGAACATGTTACAGTAGTATACTGTGGGATAATTTACAATCTAAGTTCACACTAACAATGTACTGGTACCAGACATGACAGAAATTAGGTTTTACATATACGAGTATGTATGGCGTAAGTTATCTTTTATCTTGACAAAGAAATGGACGAAGTTACGGTTAACTAAGTATGCTAGTGTTTGTTAAAAACGATTGGCGAAAAACAAGACTACGTAAGATGATCCGTAGCAACACTGTCATAAATGTTGTAACTGCACACATTACTAGAATTATGAAACTTCTAATCTGACTGGATGCGAAATATTACAATATTATTAAACATAGGTATCTATTACGTGATCGAACGTCAGTATATGTACCTACTAAGTATTCGTATTACAAAACTCCTAAACCTCGATAATGCAGTTTAGTTCTATACTCACGTAATTTACAATGTGCTGGTCATGCTTTATCCTTCTTTTGATAAGGATAACAGATAATTTATCTTCAAGTATCTACTTGTATTATTTAGATACATATATAAACAGTATAAAGGTTACACCATATATAATAGTGAACGCATATCTATGCCTCTTTTTGAATGAGAACTGATTGATGTTATTATATAAATATCTCATACTTGTCTTAATGTCTTAAGAAGCTATTTCATGCCAGTCTGTAAAATATTATCTGTAATTTCTTAGAGCTTAGAATTGATTGATAATGCGTTGTATAAAGTTAATTTTTCAAGTTTATACAATAACTTTTTAGTTTAGTTTAGCTAAGATTATTCTAAGGCTATACCAATGTATGATGTAATCCACATCCAAGATATGAAAGACATTGAATGTCTTGCTAAAAGGAAGATTAAACATTATTAGACGATTCTAATAAAACTTATTTCGATTTTCGACATTCATCTACAGTACCTAATAGTAATGCATGATAGATATAGATTATATTCTACTGTTATATATTAGGTACATTATTATTGTTCATCGAATTAGTATTACAAATACCTTTTGTATATCAAAATGATTAAATTCGTGATTCATTGCTTTAAAAATTGAATACTACCACCACAGATCTCAAAATCTTTTACTTTTTTTATTTATATTCTATCAATTTGGATTTTATTTTGCAGAAGTCCATTTCATTAATGGCTTAAATTCGACCAGTAGCGATAGTCCATGCTAAATACTTGTTGTCTCTTACATTTTATAACACAAAATAATATAAATATATTAGTAATTTTTTTATTGTTTAAACTTTAGACTATTACAATTTGTAATAAAATCCAATTGACTTAGATAATAAATAAGTTCGAAGTAATCAGATTAATTAACTTATAAGGAATAATATCAAATAATAACATGTTCATGTAATCAAACTGGTGTAGCCTGTAATCAAATTAATTGTAATTTGATTATTTGAAAGTTTCATTCCGCCAGTAGGTGTGTTTTTATGATGACTGTACGAAACTGAAGTACCTACCTACGATTATTGAATGAGGTAACTTTCAGTATATTTATATTTAACACATTCACCAGATCTTGACTATAACAAATTTCCAGGGAGACCGCGTGGATATCTAATATACATCATTAGACTAGTGACTAATAGATTGTCTTTGTCGTCACCCGGAAGAGTGAGAACCATGTTTTAAAGAAAGTACCTGACATGAAAGCTCATTGTTAACAGATCCCTACGCCTCTAAACACTATACCTTGATGCTGTATCTCCTTGGCCGTGGACAGTCGTTCGCATTTTGTATCCTATATAGTTACGTATAATAATCAAGTGTTCAGGCCAAGTTCGTGACGTGCGTTGTGTTTCTATAGTTAACCGCTGCGGCCGTTGGCCGTGGTTGCGTCAAAAAGCGTAGATTGCGTAGTGCGAGAAAGAGGCCCCTAATAGTAAAATACGAGTTCGCAAATAGTGACCTCGCAATAAGCATAGTCATAATATCACTCAAGTAACAGCTGGTAATTTTTTATTGAAAATTCAATTGCGTTATTGGTAGGTATAAGTTGTCGTACCCCAGCAGAAGATGATATTCAATTATAAATCAACCAATCAAATGATGATAAGGATCAAAATCGATCTCAAATCGGTTAAACCGTCATAGCAAATCTGGTATTTACACCACGAAAGTTTTCAGGTAGTACGAGCGCTTGTAAGTTAGGTACATTGTCTGGGTACATAATTGAGCTCTAGTTTTTGTGCACTTGTACCTCAAAGTGTGGAATAAATCCTGCAATTCAGTCGCTATTGTGGAGCGTGCTTTACCATACGGAATAAAACAATTGTTCTTAATTTTTAAGGTATAGAATTAGAAAACTATCTGTTTCAAGGTGGACAACTTTAGAAGTTACTTGTAAATGTGCCATATTGTTAATCTCACATTACTAAACATGGTATGTGCTACGACAACTACTTTCTATCAAGCGACAGAGCTTATTTAACTAGACCATTCTACAAGTGTACAAAAAAGCTTGTCGAATTTAGAAAATACGTTGGAAGTAAGATGATATTCCGTGTATATATAACTATAACTACTTGGTGAAGGGGTTATAAGACAAAAATATACCTATCTGTTTGCCTCCGCATACTGCCCCTTTACACCATCATGCTAATTCCTGGAAAATGTGTCACTTGGAAATAACAGACCTGACTTTATTCTAATTCTTTATACTGGTGCCCCGCTAGTTTATACCATAAGCGTAAGCGAGAGTATACTTTCCAGTTGGTATTTACTCAATACCTTATTTTATCTCAGGTTTTTAACATTTTCATACTTTTTGTATATATATTTTCATACTTTTTCTATAGATGTATTACACCATAATTTTAGAAATATAGCGACATCTAGCTGCTGTCATGTATAATCTCATGAACTCGCCTTTAAAATGTACACTTAAACTCAATACCAAGTTATGTTCTCAAACTTAAATTGCAGATGCTATTTCACACTATACGCTTTGTAATATATGAGGTGTAACATAGATGTCACTTTTAAGCGATTTATATATGGAGGACTTTACGTTTGCACTAATATATCTAATATTATACCTAAATTTACACATGTTTGTATTAGCTATATATTAATACGAGAAGCAAAAGCACATTCGCACACTTATGGTTGATATAGTGAGAAAGTGAAAATAGTAAATAACTTCTAACTTTTAAAAAATACATTAAATAAATAAAAAAAACATTATACTATACACTACCACGCATTTGACACACAAACACACACACATATATAATACTCGTTTGTTTATTGTTAAAGTCTATGGTCAAATTGAGAATGGATTGATATTGTTTGACTTCAATATTATTTGTCTATCATAACATCTCATAACATGTTAAAAGTAAATTCTTACATTGGTTTAAAATAATAGTGGTATTTCATTTAAAAATTACATTATGTTAATCTATTCTGTGTTGTCACGTTACGTTTGACATATATATTTGAATTGAAAAGCGAAACACAAGTACACTATGCCATGTTGTTTATGTTCATATGAAACAAAAATATTTCAGATTTAATAGTTGGTAGTTTTATTACTCTTATTTACTTCAAATGCAGCAGATTAATTCTCAAAATACATTAAAAACATTTTACTGCGTCGGAGGCTTAACATCTGTCGCTTGATAAAGAGAATTAATTGCAATGTCTGATGACACAAACGCCATAGATTTTGCGAGTGTTGCCAGAGATAAGGTATCCATGACTATCCTGTTTGCGACATGATTCAGTTTGGCGCCATGCGATTGCGCTGTATACTTCAATGCCAATTTAATGACACGTTCACATGCAAGAGACTTCGAAGTTGCACTTTTGGCTTCCTTCCCAGCTTGTTGTGCGGCAGTTTTTGCCAAATTCATCATTAAATCCTGATGACTTGTCATTCCAGTTTTAGCCAATTTTACAGACATTTGAACTTCTATTGAGGCAGTTAGAGCTCGCCTCATCGCAACTACACTCGCTGCTGTTAAATATGCAACATCACCAGCATATAAAATAGCCTTTTTAGCCCTAACTTCTAACTTTTCTAATTTCTGTTTAGCTTTCTTTTCACTCATTGACTCATTTTCTACTTCAACTTGATCAAACTCCATTTCTGCAGCAATATCGGAATTCTGTGCTGCTCTATATGTATTATCTTTAGGATCAAGCCAATCATCCATTAGACCGGGTGCATTTAGCTCCTGAGTATCCAAAGTGTGGCTGTCAGAAGTTGCAAAATGAGTGCCATTAATTGTTTTATCTAAAACTATTCTTTCAGTTTCATTTATACTGAATTCGCTATTGTCTAAATCTAAAACAGTTTGATTTAAAAATCCTTTTACTGCAATTGGTACTGAATGCTTATTATTTAATATTTGAACTACTTTTTGATTGTTTTTAGGAATAATAGAATACGGAGATAAATTATTTATGTTATTAAGTATGGAGGTCAAATTGACTTGTTTATAATTATTATTAACTGCAGTTCTATTCAACAGAATATTGTAAACTGTAGGATTATTGTAATTTATAGGTGCGCGTGTACTTAACTTGTCTTCTGTTACCACTGCTCTTTTTTTACGAAGTGATAAATCTACAGATTGTCTTTTAGATAAGGCCGTTGCATATGTAATGTCTTTTAATGCAGACACTATTGATATTTCAGCAGCAATTTGGGCCAATCCATATACTAAACGATGTAATTCAGGTTCCGTTGATAGTTTTGTTATACTAAGCATATGACTTGATAATGTTCTAGATAAGTAATCTAAAATACGTCTTGTTTCTATCGCTGTGATACCTTTATTTTTACCAGGTGCCTCCAATGCCTCTCTGGTAATTCTAGTCAACTTGTCTTGGATTTCTAACTTTGAAAGAATAGCTGAAACGAGGTCTTTAGAAATTTGATAAAGATCTTCTTCCATTCTTTGATTTTGAGTTACATTTTTAGTTGCTTTTAGTATAGAATTATCTAAATGTTTTAAGACCTTATAAGGAGAATTTAATAAAAATCTTTCACCTATTAATTGTGAATTAACTTTTTCTCTAAGATCGTGAACTGGTGATATTCCAGTAGATATAATATTGATCTGAAATGTTGAAATAAAATTAAACAGTGATTCAAAATATTTGTAAAGGTAATACATAAGTAACAAATTTATAACTTACAAAGTTCAATATAATCAATGACACTATTATTGTTTGAAAAGTAAACATTTTTACAGTTCCATGAAATGCTGTGTGTATGTCAAACTGTGAATTATTACTTTATTCCATAAACTAGAAAACTCCAATTATTTTATAATTTTATTGCCAATTAAAAACTAGTTTTAAAAATAACCGTTAATGTTTTGTTTCTTAACAATGTACGTAGTTATGTTTAGGAAAAAAAACGATACTAACTTATTTAGTTGAATTCTTCTATAATAAATAACTCTAATTACCTGGTTAAGTTTCAAATATTTCCGGTTGTCATCGTCATACTGTAATATTTTTTTAGATTTTAACGTAAAAAAAAGACTATTGTGATTTAGATATATATATTATATTTACCAGTAAAATAAAAACACCAATAGTAAGGTGAGAAGTTAGTATAACATTAATTACCGACATGATGACTACGTATCCTGTTTACATACTCACTGTTAAAATAAGGTTTCGAAATCAAATCAGATTATGTACATACTTAGAATACTGCTCAAAACAGTTTAAATTTAAAATTATTTTAATTCTTATTTTTCATTGATTTGTTCATTGTTATGGCAATCGCACACAATTTAAAAGGTTCCATTCAAACTGGCATCTCACATTTTTGTGATTGTAACCATTGAAATATATACATATAATACAAGTGTAAGTACAGTCCATCATATTTTAAAGTATATAATGTTGAATTTATCCTAGATATTTATATTGGCATAAATTGAAAGTTCTTTTATGTAATAGGAATAGCAATCAAGTTAAGGGCCCGTCTGATGGTAAATGGTAATTGTGACCCATATGCATCGAGAGCACTATGAACATCACGTTATCATGTGACACTCGACATTCCAGTGGACTAAGATCCTCTTATCCCGTAATTTCATTGCATAGTAACCCTACAACCGAAACACAGCTTACAAAGCAAGCTGCTTGACGGCTGAAATAGGTGAAATTAAGGTCCACGCAGATCACTCATTACTAGAGGTAGACTACCTCTGCCAAAAGATTTGAACTATCCTAGCTAAGTACTGAAATATGGAGCTTATCCACTCGGTTGGCGAAGGCGAGGAAACCGAGGATGACCAATATAAAATGAAACTTTAATTCCATATGGATATCTTTTTTACAGTAATTTTAATAGCGTTATTTATAATATATTAATATAATACAATCTTAGTAAACGATACATCTAACCGTTATTAACCTTTACACCTGCAGTTATAAAGACATATCAAAGTACTTAATTTTAATAAAGGGTTCCTTGAGATGCGCGTTGACATATTGATGTTTATGAAATGTGCAACAATTATTGCTTTTTAACCAAGGTACGCAGGCAATACTTTGATACGTCTTTCTCCGCCAAAAGCTTCCAATTCAGAAACTTTGTCGAAAGGTGAGGCGTCCATATTATCACTTGAAGGCAACAGGTCACTTTCTTGATTAGCGCTACGACGATGTCTCACAGCAGGCTCAGGATTAGATGCACCAACACTGCCTCCCGCAGCAACTGATGCTGATCCATCTTTTCCTGTAACTGATGGTGTTTGCTCGGCTTTTGGGGGGATTTGCTGGATCACGTCGGGCTCTGAGGGGTAGCACACGCACGCGGCTAACAGCGCCATTGACGCGACGGCAAAAAACATTGAATGCATTTCCAATAGACCCTATCTTGCTCAGTTTTCTCTATTTAAACTGCTTTAAATCTTTATCGAAGCCAGTTTATATATCGATACAATGATTACATAAAATATATTTCTAATTGGAACTGTACATGTAAGAAATGCTCGTTATTGTTTGTGGAAACTATGTATTGACGCACGATTTCTCAACAGGTACTCTATAAACAGTATGATGTGATTGTGTCCTCACGAGCCTTGACTTGTCAGGGGTGCTAACACGATACCAAATGCGTTTAAGAACATGATAAGAAAAGTAACAAAACGAATTAACACCCAGTCATACGATTTTAGGTTCATCCATATTTGGGTGGATAAACACATTGTTATGTATAGAACTATGGACATTGTTGGACATGAGTAAGGAACATTATTCCAGAACATGTCCGCATCATCAATCAGAATGACTTTACTAATCATTTTGTAACGTAAATATTTTGTATACGTAACTCTTGCAATATATCTAAATTATATTTTAGATTTTTAATTTATAACAATACTAATTATTTGTATTTAATTGGTAATAAATATAAATAAATCTATTAAAATAATAACCACGATTTTATTTGTAAGAGGTATATTCATTACAGTACCTAACAATTTACTGAAGATATTTCAACTTGGCTCTTTATGATATTAATTCACTGATATGCAAACTTTGTTAGGTACTCGTATATTGGTAAAATCATCCATTTATCAGAGCCATAGTAGAACTAATAGCCATAGTAGGTATCTAATTGGCACGCCGCGGACGAGATTTACTCGGACATGGTACAGGCGATAGTTTGGACAATGCAATACCAAGGGTTTTAATGAGTAAGAATCCCACAGTATAAGTCCGCCCTGATAAGCGGGCGATTCTGTCTTGAATATTTCCCCGCCTTAAAAACAAGTATACACTAAACAATATTAGGTACTCTTGTTAAAATGACCACAATGTATGCAAGGTCCGAGTACTATTGTTTATATTTTGGTCAGACTATAATTAGTAGCATATTATTTAAATATCAAATTTACATGTAGTGTAAAAACTGATGCAGGTGTCATAATGATAATTTGTGACGCATCTACGAACAAAATACTTATTATACTTAGAATAAGCTTATACCTTTTGTTAGTATCAATATACTGCTCGTTACTAGACACTATTGGTTTATTATGATAATAATAACCACAAATGTACTTATAATTTAACAAATAGGATATGACAATAATTTATTTGATAGAGCCTAAATATATATAAAGTATCTTTATTTTTTTTATGTAATGGGAATGGCAAACATACTTTTGGTCCACCTGATAGTAAATGATGACCATCGTCTATATAAACGAATAGTACAACGGATATCACGTTATCGTCTGCTTACGTGATACCACTTAGGTTGTGTTGCTATTCCGGAAGACTAAGATATTATACCACAATATCCTACCTACTACTAGTAATGTCACTACCTTACCTCACCCTTCAAAGAAAACGCAGCTTACGAAACAAGGTTAGCGGTCGTGATAGATGGGTTTTTACAAAATTTATCTCAGTCTTCTGCGTTATGTATAATTTGAAGCATAATATTAAAAAAAAAGTTAAATCTTAAGCTTCAAATTTAACATAACGCAGAAGAAATGAATATATCCGTTATTTTATGAATAATATTTTTTATGACAATTAAGGCTTTTATTTTAATTTTTTTTATATTTATCAATTAGTTATGCCAAATAAAGATTTTAGAAATATCATTGTTATTATGCAACTGCATCCTGTAATAAAAATGTAAAATAGATCACTATCTGGACTCACTCTATAAAAGAAGTATAAGAAAAACTATTACAGTATTGGATAAGTTTATCCAAGTAACATAACGCATAATTATAATTGTAAAAAATAATTGCATAAAATTACTGTTTGTTTGTGCGTTTCTGCGCGCTTAAGCCGCAGGTGGCTTATCCGGTTTGAGTGCAGTTTTCACTAACTTAACTTTGTGGTTCAATCGGTAAACAAATAAAAAAAAGTTAACCTAATTTTCTCTAATTATCATTATTACAAAGTCGCAGGTTACGCTAATTCTTAATAATTTCTACCAGCACATTTGATGTTGGCACTGTTACTGGAGTACATAACGCTGGTAGTTCCTTCTTCTCATATTGAGAGACACCTATAACTTGGACATTCTACCTATAAGCAGGAGGACATTTTACCTACAGTATTGCAATGTAATAATGACTAAACCGTCTAATCTGAACAAATAAGTTCAATATGACTCATGCTACTGATACATTTTAATAATCTTTTTCTTATTTATTTAAATTAAGACTTTAAAAGTACGGGTGTTATACTGACATGATTCAATCTCAACAAAGTTCTGATCAATAGGAATGTTTATTTTTCGTACAAAACATTCTTAGTCATGAATGAAATTGTTACATCTTATATTTCTCAGTATAGATTAGTAATACAAATCACATCTATTTTTCGACATAATCCACAATAACATGCATTCATGGCCATTATGTTGTTATTGGAAGTATTTGCTGGTCACATTAGCATGGAGCACAATAATGCGTCAATGATTCCTACTCTGGAAATAACACTTAGCACAATTATCTCGGGCAGTTAGTATAAAACTGAATGTCGAAGATTTCAACTAACACAATTGGAAGACTGTATACAGAGAACGCTTCTGAGAGCACTCTCACATAATTTCGCGGAGAAGTTTCTTGAAGCCCATCAAGATCATGGCTTCCTCGTTGTGTTTCCTTCTCTCGCTCGCGCTTGTCGCCGTCAGCATCGCCTCTCCCGTACCGGAGGAAGCTCAGACCACAACTACAGATCCTAACCAAGATGTTCTACTAGATGTTATAGAAGTGGTCGAGGAGGTACCTGTCCTAGTACCAGTGTTGGAGGCAACGACGACGGTTTCTGAGGATACTACCCACAAAGTAGCGAAGAGATCTCTTCTCCGTGGAGATAATCCAAGCAACGATCTGCTTGCGGACCTGGACGGATTGAAATATGAAAATGGTTTATCGGAACTTGCTGGAAGACGGATAAAGTTCTTACCTACTTGGCTGGGATAAATGAACCAAAAATTTCGTATTAATATTTAAATAGGTATTAAGAGTTTGATTCCTTCAAAGTATTTTGTATTCTACTAATGTAAATGCTTTTTTTATTATATAATGTTAAAGTAATGTTACTTTTTGCTAAATAAATATCAAGTTATTTTTTTTCATAAATTATTTTATCTAATAATGAATCTTCATCTTAATGTATTTTATTACATATAGATTGTATATAAAAATTTACCCTTTAGACATTAATATATATATATATATACAGTACTTCAATTTTAAATTATCTAAGATACTATTTATTTCCTACTAATTTTGTCAAAATGAAACTAGTTTGTAAAATCTCGAAAACGATGACTTAAATACTCATTGTAAAGAAAAATATATTGGTATTTAAAAATAAATATAAAATATAATCAGGGTATGCACACTTTGTGCGTATTTTATGGATTCATATGAACAGCATCCATCTACAATAACCAACGTAGGATGTTAGGGTAGACATGAAGTTAAATCAAATTGCCCAGGAGTTACCTACAATAGTTTCCAGAGAGGGCCGCAAGGAAGTCGACCTAACGTGGTACAATAGCAATGGTGGTGGCAACCACTAGTCACTATTCTGAACAAACTCCTCCCCTCGCTTTACTTGTGAAGGGTGGTCGGCGTAAAATCTAATTCGCCTAATTTCTCGACGGATCCCAATGTCATACTACACTGTTTGCGGTACGCCTATAGATACTACTAATATAAAAAATAAACCTACAAGAATTGACAACAAAAAACAACGAAAATTGCAATATTTAATATGAATATTATTATTATTCGATATATAATCGCTAATCCTTGTTACATGTATATAAAAACTGACAACCCTTTTAACGATATTAGTCATAACAAAGATGTCATGTAAATAGTGACTACAAAAGATGTTACATGTGTATTCAGTATAAAATATTAATGCACGATAAAATCTTGATATAACCTTCGATGACAGCTGTCCGTCTGTTTAATGCAACATAGATACATATATCTATTAATTCACACAAAGACGAATACACACGCGCACATAACTCTATCACACGAAATGTCTTAATTGGCGTATTGTGATGGGAACGTTATATCGCTGTAGTAAATTTCACCCCAGCTGTTTTCGCCGAATAAAAATCTTGAAACCTACTGAAAATCTTTGAAAATATTATTACTTATTTAAATAATTTTATTATAAAAAAACTATAATATGTATAGCTTAGACTATTAACTCAAAAAGAATAGAAATAAAACCTTTTAATGTTTTTTATGGTAAAAACAATAAAATTCGTAGTAAAATAAAAACCAAATTTGCAAATTAAAATGTTGACAAAACCATTCAGTATATTTTCACTATACCTTTCATTTCTTATATAATAGAGAAAAAACAATCAATCTACTGACTTTCTTTATTTCATATTAAACAAACGCCATCGACGGTTTCAGGCAGTGTGTGTAACATTTTCAATCAAATTGTGTTTTCGAATGATTTATCGTTGATAGTTCAAACATTAAGTTCGACCAGATTTAATGTTTTAGAAAGCAATTTTATTAATTGCTTTGCACCTTTCCAACATTTGCATCAGTGTTGTTTCGTACGATAAAAGGAAAACTATTCGGTGCATGATTTAACTTGCTCGTTTGTGATTTATTTCTCAATTAAATATAAAATAATAATAATATTATGACAAATAATAATTATTTAATATCTACATGTTTCATTTTGTGTTTAGTTATCGTATCCAAAGCTTATAAATTTTTCGTATCACATAATGATATTTCAATATGCATTATTAGACCAATTTTTATATCTCATACCACCATAATCCTCAATTTAGTCGATGATGATATAAATTTTACAAAATGTTATCAGCCAGAAGAGATTACTACTTTAATATTGTTTAAAGGCGATGATTTATCATATGACGTTATGAAAAGAAATCTGGAATTATTATTTTTAAATGGCAAACCGAACATAATAATTATAACAGATGTTATTACAGAGGATCTCCTCGATAATCCCGTTTTTGACGTTATTATACAATCTCACTGGTCCTTTATGCATCTAATTGTTACTGATAATAATATTGATTGCAAGCAAACAGAAATCGACAAGGATATATTATTAACAGCAGAGAGATTCCTTAATGACTTATGGCACAGATATCAAATAGTTTATGCAATAATTGAATTTCCTTTAAGCTGTCCACGAAGGTTTATTACATTCGATGGCAATAAGCAACTAAATGATGACTTGTACAATAGAACTATAACAATAGTAGAAGAAGAGCATCTACATGATACTTTTAAGAAGTATGAAACCGACTTGAGCGTTGACTTTCCATTGAAAATAAATATATTTAAACGGTTCCCAACGACATTAACATTGCATTATTGTGACAATATTAATAACTATGTACAGTTGGACTTAAATATAACTAATGGATACTGCGGACTGGATGCGTTAGTTTTGCACGATTTCATAAAGACATTTAAGTTTAAAGTAATATTCGTCAGCAATGAAGAAATTAATAGTTATGGTTACATGGTGTCAGGGCGAGCCACGGGTAGTTTGGGAGGTGTTATACGTCAAGAAATTGATATTTCATTTAATTCAAGATTTTTGACGAAATACGCGGATAGTGGTTTCGATTATCTTAATTACATATCATTTGATTCCTTATGTGCGCTAACTGCAATTCCAGACATTGTACCTCTATGGCAGTATCCCATAAATATGTACAGTTTTAAACAATGGATGTCCGTAATATTTATTCTTGTAATTATAGGTATAGTGAAATGGTTGTTCAGTAGACGTTTTCGTGCAATACTTACAGAAGAACTTTACAAGCCTCAGGTATATATACTAGAAACTGTGTGGTCTGGAATGTTCGGATTTTTTCTGATTAAGAATTTGCGACGCTGTTTTTTAATAGCTCTATGCCTATTATTCTCCGTAGTTCTTAATGCAATGTATCAAGTAAGTATTTTTCTTTCCCTTGTTCTAGCATTCATTATAGTTGAACTATGATTTAGAGATTTTCAGATTCATTACTAGAACAATATTGTGTTTAACATCAATAATCTACTTGTCGTTATTGTGTATTTTAAACTTTGTACAATTATTAACTTTCTGGTTCGAGTCTCATAATTATAAGTGACTTTTCCTAGTTTTCTTCAGGTGGTCTATTAACTCGTTCGTCTCTACCATTGTCAATTAACTTATTTGTTTATTAAATAACGAAAATCAATATAAATTGTGCATTACTAACAAAATACCTTTTTGCAGGGCCACGTGAACTATATGTTCACAACTTTATGGCGATATGAGCAAATGAACACGCTACAAGATCTTTGCGACTCGAACATTCCAGTATTCACGTCGGCTGGTATGCTAAATATACTTGGAGCCGAGGCTGCTAGAAATTTCTCTAATAATGCAATTACAACAATTATAAGGCGCATGAAATTATACGCAGATCACAGTAGTATGTAAATACTTATAAATAAGTAATGAGTACTTACTTAAATGTGAAATAGAATACTATTCACAACTTTTTTTCCAATGAAGTAGTTAGAATCACTATGAATTGTCGCAATACTTAAAATATGTTATGGTTATGTAATTGTGGGACATGTCCACATTTTGCTTGATATTTTAATAACAATATACCTGAGGGCACCTACAGTCGTCTCTCGAATTCAGTTTGTTTGATATCTGTGTTTCTATGACATGAGAGCTAGTCAGTATTATAAATATAATTACACAGTTTTTTTGGTATCGGCCAGATTAGAAAAATATTTTTGCATTTGATTCTAAGTCTTAACACTTATTACTTCACTTATTCTCTTTTTTTCTTATTTTCTTTCTTTCAAATCTAAATCTGTGTTATACCACTAAGTTAGGCACGACGTTCTCTCTACATTTATTTCCAAAAGTCATAACTTGGACCGGCGTGTATCTACTTATATGCATGTATGTGTTAATTGTAATAGGGTTTGCAGACCTATAATACCCGATTTTCCTGCCTATCCCATAAAATGTATTAAGTAACGATAATAATGTGACTACAGTAGAAAAAAATATTAGTATTTATATATATCTACACTAGCTTTTCACAATGAGAACTGTAGGTGAAGATAGAATTTATGATATTTATTTCATAATTATTTAATTTTATTAAAAGATGATATGGCTGACCCACGTTTCTCGGCAACAATACAAAGACGATCAGATATAACTCTGGTAATTATGGAAAACTATACAGATACAGACGGGAGACCATTATTGTATGCAATAGATGAATATTTCTCTAGCTTGTATTTATCTTACATCGCCAAGTCAGGTAAGTAAATTAATCGTTATTTAAATACGCCTTTTAAAAAGAGGTGGAAGCATCACAAATAAATATTATTTAATTATGATATTACCTTCTTTTTTGTAATGTAGTTCTGCCGCTGAGTTTGTTATCATCGAGACGAAATTCAGTATTGCTTTTTCTTTTTTAATTAATATACAAGTTCCTTATTGTCGGTGAGGCAATTGCAAACCCCCAGTTCTTCATATTAGTAGTAAAAGTATTCTGAATGAAATTAATAATAAAGTCTTAATTGTCCACATCGCTACTAAAATCGCTATTAAGATTTGATGATTTAATTCATTAGTTCTCTTTTACATATTTGGGAAAGTAATGTTTATATACTCCAATACTTCCCAGGATTTATCTTCACACCTCAAGTCCGAAGATTTATGATGCGGATGGTAGAAGCAGGATTGCCCGACAAATATTACAAATGGACCAGATATACGATGCGTATGGGCGATATTAAACAGAATCCAGCTTCGGAACCTCGTCTATTCACCGAGATCAATTTACAGGAAGAACGAATACCTTTTGCTCTACTTCTATGCGGTTATATCGTATCAACCCTTATATTTATAAAAGAGAAATGGTGGGATTGTCGTAAGACTTGTAAAATAAGGTGTTTAAAATGATATAATAATATTGGTATAGAGGATAAACCAAGCTGAGTGTTTTCGATTGAAATCTTGTTGAGAATTAGTAGTTAGTTAGTTACTTGCATTTATATTAATATACAAAGCATGTTGATCATTTCCTATTACAATTAGCTAATGGCTAAAAAACAACATCTATTTTAATCAAGTTATTTGTACCTTCGTAAGGGCGTAAAGGTTGTGTCTTGTCTGTCTGTCTTTACTATTTTATATTCTTTTTTAACCTGTTTGTTGGGATGGGACGCAAACTCTACGCTATGGCAGCATGCTCGAAATTAATATGGTCCGAATGTATATAACATAACTATAGTTTTCAATTTATAAAATTCATATGATCTCGAATACGAGTTAGTTGGAAATTAGAGAGCTCTAGGTTATGTGAGTAGATATACACTTTGCTTCAAACTTAATCTGTTAGGTATACGTATATCCTGTTTCTGTGCTTATAAAAATAAAGAAATATTTGATAGTGTTATTTTTTATTGTTTGTATTTTCTATTGTACATGTTTATGTACAAGTCTATTTAAAAATTATATAAATATGAGAAAAAAACATACTACCATAAATAAATATTACAAACATTCAAAAATTTGTGTCCAGCCTAAAATAAATATTTATATATTTTTACACTTAATTCAAATATCTTTCTGAGGTATTGTTGTGTAATTTTCTATGTAATCAACAACTTTGGTTTAGAATTGTCATATTATCAAAATCATATTTATAATTGTATAGTACTTTCCAGTTTATCTAAATAAATTTATGTCAATGTATAAAGTCTATTTTGATAACCTGTCACACTCAGTTAATTTGAATACCTTGATGCTATAATAATAAAATAATTACACTACCTCAAGTATTAAGTATATGTCAACCCTTATATATATAAGGGTTGAATAAATACAAATACCTAAAAAAATATGTGATAATGAGAATATAGTGTAAAGTAGTAGAGTAGAAGCCATGACAAATGGCTGCTAATATAGAAGAACAGAAGTTAAAATAATATTTTGTTGACCCTAAATATCTATGAGATAAGGTTAGAAAGATTATGAAAATTTAGATCGTTTTTACGTAATTGGAATATCAAACAATCTAACGGTAGAACTAGTGGAAAATGGTAGGTAATATCAGCCTATATATTAATATAGCACTACGTACGTCTAAAAATACATTGAGACATCTCAGGTAACTCTCATGTGAATTAAATTAATATACTTGTCTTGACTGAAACTTTTTTGGACTATTCTAATCTTGTACACCGTAACTAGCCTTTACAGCTTCACCGGACGAACCCCGTAAAGACTTACGGAGCGGCTGAACAGCATGACCTCCTGCCTGACAGATATTATTCCAGTCTGAGGGTGCCGCTATAGGATTAGTACCTCGGCTGAGACTGATTTCGGTCCCCATTGGAATGGGACGCGAATCGATCGGACAAAAATTATAAATGCAAAAGTGTGTTTCTTATATATTTATGACCTATTGCAAACTAAACGGCTGAAATTATTTTTCTTGTGAAAATATCACAAGATCGGACCATTCTATCATCTTATTCCATTAGGTCAGGTGTATCCTTTAATTTATTACAAAAAATAATTATTTGCCTGTCCAATTGACGCCATGTCTTCCTGCTACAACTTAACATATAAACACTCAATTTAATCTGCGATTAATGAACCATTAATTGAATATTTTTATATGTAATGAATATTACTAAAGAATTTACAAAAAGAAGTTCGTAATACTAAATCAAAGAGGTTCCAATATTCTTGTCTTTATCGCGCGGGCATGGATCCTGCTACCATCGGGAGGCGAGACCAACATAAATGCTTTTTTTATGGAACCTGCTCTTTGAATATTTAATATTGCTAGTGAATAATCTAATATTTATATCAATACTAGTTCTATTTTTTTATTCTTCAACCAACGTAAAAGTCTTTTCGTTATGCGATCCTCTATTCGCATTCTGTGTCATGACACTTTTGACAATTATTTATTATGGTTTACCGCCATGAAAAGCTCATACTATTTTATTATGTTTGAAACTGGTTTTCAACAATATTATTCTAACAAATCGCATGTCAACATTAAGCTAAATGTAATTTCAGATGTCAAATAACGTACCTAAATATGAAAATATTGATATATGATAACATCATGACGTGTTGTCCTCTGTGACAGCTGTCTATCTGTTTAATGTAGAGCTATAAAGTGGAATGCAGACATATCATGGTAAAGCATTATATTATATAATTCACAGAAAAAATATCAATTTTGAATAACTAAGTAAAATTGAAATCTATTTATAAAATAGATAATACATAAGTAATATTTTAATAAAAATACAATAGTCTACTTCTCACTACTGAGTTAATTAGAACCCTTCAGATATAGCATTTTGATAGACACGAGATTCTCGTAATCGTTGGTAAAAATGTAAATAATAGTTAGATTCGAAAAAATGTAGACGTTTTGACGGCCTCGGTGGTCTAGCTGTTTAGCACACGACTATCCTACCCTCCGATGGTTGCGGGTTTGGTTCCTTGCACATTACAAACATTTGTATTCCTGAGTCTGGTTGTTTGTATTAGCATATTCCTAAAAAGGTCGATAAATTATCTGCAATTCACCAGAATTTGTGGGTGGTCACTTAAAATTCCTTACCATTAGGAGGTGTATAAAAAATTATGATATTATGGTATTTGATGGATAAAAATTTTCTCAGGATTGTTCTTTATATATTCTTATTTAATTACTATACGAATTCTTAGTCTGTTACTAAGTATACGAAACAAATTAGAGCCATTGATTTTTCCTTATGGTATTGGAATATGAGTATATTAACTGATTAGGACATTACTTTTTAGATTTATTGACGTCATTAGTGCTGCCTGGCCGATTTATGATTGCTAATGTAAAACGACTATAAAGCTTTTAGTACCGACGGCTGTTTGTAGCGAGTGTGTATAAAATCTAATTTTAATCTGTGATTTCAGGTGATTAATCACTGTTAGTTGATACATTATGTAGATTCGATCAATTCATGTTATACGTTGTTCTCGGTATTTTCTGAATTTCTGTGTACTCATCCAACGCTTCCGTCATTTATTATCTTTTGTTTGATTTGTGTTTTGTGTTAAAAAAAGTGATAGTTCGTCAATATAATGAAATATAATAATAACCAATCACTTCTATGTATAATTTCGTACTTAACTGTTATATCGAAAGCATATGACTTTATGAAATCACTAAATGATAATTCTATATGTGTTATTAGACCAATATTGGACATTCAGACTTCCATAATTCTTAACTTTGTTGACGATGATTTATCTTTTACAAAATGTTATCAGTCAGAAGTACTAAGGACTTTAATAATATTTAATGACGACAAACTATCCTATAGCCTTGATATGGCTACACGAAAAAAACTGCAATTACTTTTATATAACAAACCGAACATTATAATTTTAACAGATTCAATCACAGGGAAAGTTTTTAATAATACCATTTTCGAGATTACTTTACAGGCTCATTGGTCTTCCATGCATCTAATTATAACAAACAAAAATATCAATTGCAGTCAAATAGAACTCAGTGGAGACATTATATCAATCGCTGAACGATTCCTTAACGATTTGTGGCACAGACATCTATTGGTTTATGCAATCATTGAATTCCCTCTGGGCTGTCCACAAAAGTATATTACATTCGATGGCAACAAACGACCAAATGGAAATTTATACAACCGAACTATAACTGTAATAGAAGAGAAATATATACATGAAACATTAAAGAAAAGTAAAAATGCCTTAACTGATGGCTTTCCATTAAAAATAAATATATTTCGCCGAATTCCCACATCCATATCGAATTGTAGCAAAATATATAACTACATAAAGTTTGACATTGATATATGTAATGGACTTTGTGGAATGGATGCATTAATAATGCACGATTTTATAAAGACATTTAAATTTAATGTAACATTTATTGGAAGCAGATCTATGAACAAATATGGTTATGTGACTTCAAGGGGAGTTAGTGGTAGTCTGGGTGCCGTATTACGCCAAGAAATTGATGTATCATTTAATTCAAGATTTATCTCAGAATATACTGACAGTGGTTACGATTTCCTGGGTTACATATCATCTGATTCGTTATGTGCTCTTATTGGATTTCCAGACCTTGTGCCTTTATGGCAATATCCCATAATAATGTACAGTTTTAAAAAATGGATGTTTCTTTTTTTTGTTCTTATGGTCCTTGGTCTATTAAAATGGCTATTCACAAGATATTTTTATAGGATAATTGGAGAAGAAGTTTATAGGCCTCAGATATATATAATAGAAACTGTATGGTCAGGGACTTTCGGTTTTTTTCTAATTAAAAAGTTTCGAAGTTCATTTGTAATAGCTTTGTGTCTATTATGCTCTCTAGTGCTTTGTGCAAAATATCAAGTAAGTGTAATTTCATTTTTGTTATATAAATATTATGGAATTTGGATTCTCACGAACTACTAGAAGTTTGAAATCCTTTTAGTTATTATATTAATAACTAGCTGTGCCCGTGATTTCGTCCGCGTGGAATTTAACAAAAAAGTTATATGAGAATTTATCTAAAAGCCTAAGTTACTCCTTATTACGTCATCTACCTGCCAATAAAAGTCCCATCAAAATCGGTCCAGCCATTGCAGGGATTAGCCAGAACAAACAGACAGATAAAAATTGTAAAAAATTTTATTTTAATGTATGTACCGTATTTATATTCATATATATGTAGTAAAAAACAGTTATTTCAATATTACAAACAGACACTCCAATTTTATTTATATGTACAGATTTACATCAGTTCGAAAGACAAAACAATGTCGTCAACTTAGCAATTTTATACCTAGAGCTAGTTATTTTCATTATTCTTCAGAAACGTAAGTACAAGAGAGAATCAATTACTAATCAGTAGTTAGAGTGCCACTCTGTGCTTCCTCCCAACTGCTTAACTGTTGTATGTACGTATGACATATCTTTCACCTAATTCTGCAATATTTAAATAAAAAGTAGGTAATTAATTGCCTATCTACATAACTGTTTCCTTTTACAGAGTCATATAAATTACATGTTCACAACTTCAAGACGATATGAACCCATAAACACGCTCCAAGAACTTTGTGACTCGAATATTCCAGTGTATACGAGTCCTCAAATCCTGACACTCCTCGGATCTGAGACAATTGAAAATACAACTAACAATGTATTTACAACAATTCTAAGGCGTATGAAGTTATTTACACCCAACTCTAGTACGTAGCAACATTTATGTAGTCTTCAATACATAAAAACTAATGCTATGATTAATTATATGCAAGAGAATCGTGGTGCAGTGTTTGACAATCACATTTATAGAACTAACTACATAATCAGTATTGCACTCTAATATGCTCAATTCGAGAAAACTAAAAATACATGTGATTGTAACTCATCCATGACGATGCCATAAACATACCTATAAACCAAAATAATCCAGAAAACGGAATAATCACGTTGGATTTAAAAATTCTCAATGAAAATCGGTATTTATATAATAGTGTCATGTTCATCATACATAACGCTGGGATTACGGTCGTAAACGTACCTTCATATATTTTATTTTAATTATTTTTCCGTTTCTAAAAGGTTTCGAACTTCGCCCACAAGACATTGCAATGGTTCGAAGGCGAATGGACATAGCTCTGCTAATTCTTCTAAACTATACTGACAAAGAGGGAAGGCCGTTTCTATATGTAATTGATGAAAATTTCAGTGATTTCTACTTATCTTACATTGTGAAGTCAGGTAAGCATCTACAACATGTAAATAAAAGAGAAGGTAACAAGGAAGTTAGGAAGTTAAAAATTGGCTCGATGCGTGCGCTAAGTGAAATCGTCCCTGATTTTGCTACGATCTGGGAAGCGATCCAAGGTAGTCAAGAGCCCTTTTCACTAATGCACATGCGCTTGCTGAGTCAATTTTAATCTCAACCTAGACGATATATAGACTTATCGATAATAAAAACGTGAGATTTCGTTTCCATTCGTTACTTTCGGGCTATATTTCGCGAAAAGATAATTTGTATAATTTTAATTTTCCAGGATTTCTCTTTACTTCACAAATGCAAAGTTTTATGATGCGGATGGTAGAGGCAGGATTGCCTGATAAATATTACAAGTGGACCAGATACACGATGCATTTAGCTGACTTAACACAGAACCCGAGCTCGGAGCCTCGTCTATATAATAAGATCAGTTTGAAGGAACAACGAATACCTTTTGCTCTGCTTCTATGTGGTTATATCTTGTCAACTCTCTCGTTTCTAACAGAAATTTGGTATAGCAAACAACGCAAAATGCCGAATTAGAATGCTCCAACTGTTGTTTTATATACAAGCATAGCAGATACAAGCCGAGTATGGTACAAGTATAGGCAAAAATTTGTAATCCACCTCCAAATCCAAGTCCGTACCCGGACTGGTCTCCTAAGATTTTTCTTTGTTAATTATATGCATTACAAGTTTCATCTAAATAAAAACTATATGTTTAGCCAGTGCCTTCTTTCTGAGAGCATCCAAAACAACGCTTACATAATATTTAAGTACAATTATCTTTTAATGACAAAAGGGTGACTAAAGAAGTTAAAATAAAAAACGAACATAATTGTATCGATTTAATTTCAAAATATTTTTTTCCATTACCAATACATTACCATCAGATAATTAATGTCCCCGTAAATAATGGCAAGTTTCGATGTAATTGATAAATCTAAAAAGCAACGAACCAATTTTGAATCACTTAACTATTAATAAAAAAATCTAAAAAACCATAAATGTAAAATTCGACATAATTATTACAGAATATTGAGCCAATGTAAAAATCTTACATATCTATAATATATTAAAACAATAATATTGTCTTCTATATACCTTATTAATTACACAGTCTGGATATGATATAAATATGATTTTCTAATTACATCAACCAAAGCTTATTGAAAGGATATATTCATTAAATACAGTGTATTGCTAATAATGCCCTATATACATTTACTTACATTAAATAAAAAAACTATAATTATACCCAGAAATATAGTCCTAATTAAATACCGAAACTAGTTATTAATACGACTTTATTTTTATTTAGAAATCCATTTGAGTGAGAATTTTCAATAAACTTCGTTTACAATAGGCGACAGCGTATAAAGCGCTTTTTGACTCAATTGGAACTCCATTTGTGTGATAAATTTTAATAAGCTTCATTAAGCGAGAACATAAAAAGCGCCTTGTTAGTCAACAACATTTTCTGGCAATTAACGTAGGGCGAGAAATTTGGCTTGGGATATTAATAACATATTTTTTCCCAACTAAAAAAGAGAGAAACAAGCCGTACACATACAACACAGGTGGGAGCGTTTAGGGCCACTCTACAAGATTTTTGGCGCCCAACGTGGGATGTCAAACAGGCACCTACAGTTTCACATTCTTACAGAATTATACATTTAGAGCGATTTTTATATACCATGAATAAATTCAAATATCAGATAAGTATATTTAAATATTTACAAATAGCTTTGAAATAAGTAAGTTTCTATTGGCTTATAGAACACAAGTTTGTTCAAGATTTTGATCTTTTACATGGTTTCATTATAGTTATTGTATTTAGCAGTCTACCCCTGACCAGAATGCATCTAAATACACGGAGCTCATAAGTATAGAAACATATATATAGAACCAAAGAATCATAAATATAAATCTGGTAATGATACTGTAGTTGTATTGTGTATATGGATTGATTATGACAATTATCCTGCATGTGTACAAATTTTTGCATTGCATTTATTATTGTATAAATCACCTATTCCTCCCCAATATCAATACAATAGATGAGGTATTCATAAACCGATTTTTTATCCTATATTGACTAAATTTAAATCCCAATAAAATTTATGACTAAGACATTTTTTCAGTCAACAAACCCGATTTTTTGTCTTAATCAAACTTGAGCAACCCCGTTTCTACATACAAAATCAATTTTGTATTTTAATTTTCGAATCAATTTATATAATGAAATAGGGGACCATTTATAAACACGTCACATGAACTTCGTGTTATTTTTACCTATTTCCCCATCCTATTCATAATATGTCACATTGAGAGGTCTCAAAATTAAGGGCATTTGCCTTGTCATACTTTATTGACATCCTCCTCTAACGCGTTCATAGATGGCCCCATATAATCTGTATCTGTTAAATTCAGAGCACAATCAACATGCTTTGGTACATAATGGATTGGCTATATTACTAACATAAATAGCTACCTGAATGAGCAGAAACATATGTTAAACCAAAAAACAGTTATTGGTTCGAAATAGTTCAATGCACATGTACAGTCAGCTACATATTGATCGTGTGATCGAAAGCAGTTCTTACCCTAGAAGACAACAATTCCGATTTATACGCACTAGAACAACTTTGTTGTGAGCTTTAAATAATCTTAGAAATACACATGCCATTCTATATTAATATAATAAAGAGAAAGAGGTGAAGAAATTAAAGAAAGTTTACATAGGTAAACTTTCTTTAATTTCTTCAGTTTGTTTGCAACAAATTCAGACGACTGACATATAATTATTCTTTCGCTCTGTCATGTTACGTAAAATATATCATGAAGCTAGTCAGCTTACTGCCTGTACTGCCATAATAAATTCACTCTAAATATAATAACATTTGGTAAGAAACAACACCCTACTAATATTATTATTAGCTCCTAACATAATTTTCCTGTAGTAATCTAAAACAAAATTGGTTACGAATTGATTATATTTGTCTATACATTTCCATTAAATCTATTTATTTAAATATAAATTTTTATTTTACAATAATATATTTGGCAAGATTAAACCGAATAACAAAAGTAAATAAAATTGCTATAAATTTCCTTATAAGTTAAAATTCGAATTGTAACATATTTATGAAACAAGTGTGGATTACTTCATTTATCATCTAATAAACTATTATAAAAAAATCAACAGGTAATATAACATAAGCTGCAAAAAGATACTATAAAAAATAACAAAATATATTAGGCTTTACAATATTTGACTTAAGATATAGTGGAATATGTTAATACCTACATAGGTTAACAGCGACTGCATTCTGGAACTTGTTACTAACAGTTACCGCTTCTTGTACATTGAAAGCAAGTATTTTACAACTCTATATATGTACAGCATTTAGTTTTAAACGAGTGCATGCTGTATGATATGTTCAACATTATTTATGTATTTATTACATTTAACAATTGTATTTACTAACTATATATTACTGTGTGTGGTTATTAAACAGACGGACGGTAAGGATAAAAAATATATATGAATGAATGATATTAACTCTTACTCTGAAACGCTACATAATTGCAAAACCGCCAGATTAAATATATTAAAATCGTTAGATACAGTTTCAGAATCCAGTCGCGTTTTATGGACGGGCTAATATTTTGGAACGAAGCATTAAATACTTTTTCAAATCCAACTAATTATTTACAATGACATATTATATTACTACCCTCTAAGATAAATTTATTAACCCAGTAATAAAATACCTAATCTAATTTATAATTTTGTTTCTAGAAATCGATTTTAATAATACAATATTAAAACACGGGAAAGCTTATTCCATAAAAAAGGAATTGCTAACTGTAGACATACAAAAAATACTACTTAAAACTATATATATTCATTACCATGATGCACCCGTGTTCACTTTATGACTAAGATCGATTTCCATGTGACACAAAATGTACTTGTTTTAAATTAGATACAAATTCTTAAAGCTATAAAGCGATACATTGGAAAAATAGGTGTCGCCATTAGAAGCAAATATATTGGATTGTCCTTAATAATTGCTTAAGGACAATCCAATATATTCCGCAGGGGAAGGCATTGTTAGTAATGAGAACTAAAGATCACATTAGTAACAAAGCATCCCATTACATGAACCTTCACATGATTCCAGCTGGAGACTATCGAGGTTGATTCCTCGTGATTTGGAATCCTGATAGCAATAATCCTCATCTTGTCACTGTCCACGGAAGATGCCATATTCGCATTAAAAAATCACATTATATATTTATATAAATTTTTCATCTTTAATTACTTCCTAATAAACTCTATATATAATAATAAATAAACAAAAACCGTTAACTAATAATTTTAAGGAATGGCCTATAATATGAAAGGTATATACGAAATTTGTAGCGTTTTAAAAAACCATTCATTTTGTGCTTATATACAAAGTGCAAATCCATATCACAAGTTGTCTTTATTATATCATCCCAGTCTTGAAGCTTTGAGCTTTGGTGCATTCGTTTCAGCTGTTTTCAATATGTTTTAACTGTAAACTTCATATATTTATTAATTTAGTTCACACATTAATGAAATATAACATCAATGTACTGATCAAATAAGTATAATAATATAATATATACACAACGTGTAATAGATGTAAAAACGAAGAATTTAGTTCTATTTATTAATTTATTTGATTTGCACATATTTATGATGCATATTAGGTTACTTCACAAATGTAATTTCATAACAAATAAATATATAACAAGATGTTGCCATGTTTGACATAATTTAAGTTTACAGATATTACACGAAAATTTATAAAAATAATATAAATAACTATATATAAATTCTTTAAAGAAATGTTTTGTTGCAATTTTGATTATTATGTTTTTTATTATTATATTTTGTATAATATGTTATATAGCATTGCAGTGATAATTGTTTTACTATGCAATAAACATTTCATAACAATAGCATAATACAATTAAAAAAAAATGGATATTTATCAATGGTAATATTAAATCGGGCATCGACCATCATCATTAGCTTATTGTCGACAAACTAGGACTGTATTAACTCTATTACACGTTGTAAGCATATACAAAATTTTCCTCTGACCCCAACCGATAAATTAATTTAAGCACCAAAATCAGTAATAATTTAAAATTTATTCATCTTTAGGATATTGTCAAAAATTAACATTGACAAAACATAATCATAATTTTGTATGCTAATTTATGATAAATTTACATAGCATATACGGCATATTTACATACATACATCTATAAATGTACGTATACCGAGGACTGAGTATTTACAAGAGGTTAACTAAATATTAGAAAATAATTATTGGACTACTCTACAACTAGGGAATATTTCATTTAAGGCTTATTAATGACCATACGCATACAAAACTCATACATTCTTGTACATCAAATATATATGTATATACAGGAACTCAATAAGTGTTGTTGCATTCAAAGCGTTTATACGTAAGTCTGTATTATCTGTCAATACCCAAAAACATTGAAACAATATTTAATAGCAGCAGCGGATTTAGTGTAGGTACTGATGACAATAAAAATAGGACCAAATTCTCATATCGTACAGTTTTACTAACACAAACCTTGTCCTGACAATACCTCATAATCAAGATATTTTAGAATTCGTAAGATCAATTGAAAACTTCTCTTGTAGCGTACCAAAAACAGTAATACATTTTGAAAATTGACAGATAATGAACAAATAACGAGATTTCCGTACGAACATATTCATCTTGTGAAAAATACTGTAACAGGGAATGTGTTTAAAATAAATATGGATATAAAATTCTTAACGCCATTACCAATATGATAACCGATACTTGAAAAACACAAATATATTCACGAGTTCATTATTCTACACAAAGTTCAAACTACGTACCATATTGTTTTTAAATCTTATTCTAATATCTAAGTAAAAATTTGTAATATACGATATATTTATGACTACGTCTTTTTAGAGAATTTTGCACTATCGTTAAGTAGAATCAAATCTAGGACCAATATTTCTTATAATGTTTAATCTATAGCAGTATAATTTGTATGTATTATATTATCATATGTCCTTGATCCTACATTATATGCGTGTTATTTATTATTAACACGCAGTTATACTACCTATATACAATGGAAAGGCAAATTGATGTCAATTTTTTATATAGCAAATATATATATATATATATATATTTCAATTAAATAAATATCATCAACGATGAAATAAGACATATAAAACTGTTAAAATTATAGTATCGTATTACAATACAATATATGTAATACAACAGTATAATTTTAAATATTGAGTCATTTTTCATAATTTAAAATCTCTATTGACTCAGTCTAAATAATTAACCGAGACTAGTATAAGGTATTCGTAATAAGGCTTTATCACATTCTATATTCAGTACGATACAAATAATTAAACAATATAACAATTATCATGAACTAATATAAAAAATGGTAGTAGTTTAGACCTGCTTTAAGACAATATTACGATATCCTGTCCAATTTGTGATTTTTATATTATTACCAATGTAAACATACAATATTTTTATCACATCTTACTGGTTAAACCAAGCTGTACCTCAGAATTATTTTCCACGCGAACTTTAATCCGTGTTGAATATTGTTATGCGAATGTCTGTAATGTTACATTGTTTCAATATGATACAGAATGATGCTGTAACTGTGCGTAGAATTTTGTTTTTTTTTTTCATTATATAACCACTGTCAACATAATAATCTCTTAACTTCTGTTCAAAAGTTTCCAAAAAGTAAGAAATCAATTTTAAAATAAATATAGTGCACATATATTAAAATTGTAAGTGTAAAGTTGACAGGTTAGAACAGGTGTTCTAAAACTCCTTTACAACTTTACGTTAATATTCAATACGTCATGATTAAAAAAAGTGTACATTTTATTGGAATCGGTCATGAATATCAGTTGAGTTACAGTTGACTTACTAATTTCTTAATGTAACCTAGAAATATTAAAGTATAAGTATAAAAACCACAAATTTTAACAGACTACGATGTTGCCATTCTTACTAAACGAATGCCTCTAAATCCACAACAATTAGATATTATAGACTTATAAATCATCTAATTGCATTCACAATGTAATGTTACATGTGCACAATGCTCATTGCATAGAGAGAAACAAGCCTACCACGATACTCTATTCTCAATAGCAGATATCTTTGAATGTATTAAATATAAAGCTTGAACCAATTTAACAATCTACAAACATACCAACAACTGAACACCTTTGGGTACTGAGATGCCAAATATCATCTGCACATTGGAAAGCACACGATAAAAAAGGCCAACAGAAAAAAAAGCCACCGCTATTTACAATAAGAGCCATTTCTGTTCTCCGCTGCGATTTTAAAGCTGCTCTGTGGTGTGAGTGAGTTACTGCTAGAATCTGATATGGTCGCGATGGATTGTAAGGACTTATTATCGGCATACCAGCCGCACATCCTCTTCACCGCATCCTCCCATCGAGCCATAGGTCCTTCGTACAATTTTTTAACTTGCGGCCGAGGTTTAAAAACACAACCGACTCTGCGTATTTTCCTTAAAGCTTCTTTTGATTCCCATAAACCTGTAAAATTGTAATCAAACAGCTAATAAACCTATTTTTCTATAACTAATTATTTTGTTACTCTGTAACAGTTTCTAAATTTGAAGGAATGTATAAAAATAACCACTATAGGTAAAAGAAAAGAACATATAAGTCTTTGTTTATTTTAGATAGTAGTATAGTTTACAAATTCTATAAGCATAGCTATAAGACTCCGACACTTCACGGCGCTCTTAAAGTTTCCGGCTTAGATTTTTAGGAAATCATAACTACTGTATCATCTACATATTACGTTATATGTCTCCGCTAAAATTTATCTATATCAATACAGTAATTTAATTCTGACGTTTCTAATGAAAATTAGTGTCACGTAAACTAACATATTAACTTCCATTATTATTAATGAATAGATAACTTATCACCTACAACATATTTGTTATTAAAGCACTTGACCGTTATTCGAAGCTTATTATTGAGATAGGCACTTCCGTTTCCCGTCATTTTTACGTCATGTCCTACCTATTTACTTGAATATTGGTACTTCCGGCAGCGTCACCGTGCAGTGGCGCCCTCTATATCCTTAAAGTAAGTTTAGTTTTTAAACCCTGGCGCCTGTATGGCTCATTGGCGTTTTGTTTCCCGTCGAAGTAACCTGAGTACAGCAGCTTTGCTACTCCAGTATTAAAATCTTCAAATAGCAACTAAGGTAATATGAACATATTTCCAGTGATTTTATTTAACGGGTTTTCCGTTCGACATAATTTTGAACCTACAGGTTCTGATTTAAAATTAAATATATTTAAGCTTTTATGTTCTAATTTTGTGTACCTACCTGTTTAATCAAACGATTAGATGTTTAATGAAAGATATTGCAATTTTGTGATTATTCTATAGATATTAAAGTACTCGCAGTTTAGGAATTACTCCTTTTTATTTTTTATTTCAAAAAAAAAAAAACATTTCTAGTCTAGTTTAACAGTGAGTTATTTTTGACTAATCATTTAGCAAGTAAGTGTCATCTACAGCTTCTCTTACAGTATGAGTGCAATTGAGGGCTCTCCAAATGCCCAAATAGTGGCTGGACCAAGTGAAAAGACTCGTAAAAGGCGTCGTAGTCGAAGCAAAAGTAATTGCAGTAATAGTTCATGTAATAATTGTAGCTCAACGAACACGTCATCGTCTGATGCATCGTATGATTCTAAAAGAAAAAGATCACGACGAAAATGTAACAAGAAAGTTAAAAAACAACGGACAGAAAAAATGATACAACAATTATTTAAAGAAGTGGGTGACTTACGCCGGTCCTTCTACGACAGAGACCAGGAAGCAGCATCTATATGTTCAGAGGTTAGTGGTGAATTATATGGAAACGATATTTTTGATACAAACGAGAGTCAATCTAATAATAATAGCATACAGAATCCGCCAGAAGATTTTGCTTTTGAGATAACAACAAAACTAAAAGAACCTTCTGTCCTTAAAACACCAGACATTTATTTACAAATGCTTAATGAGGTGCAGCAACTGGGAAAAAATTCTTGGTCAGAAGTTAGATATGCTGATACCCAAAAGCAATACATTCATTCTCCAGGTTTCATTGATCTAGATACCAACGAAGAGGTACAAAAGTACGACACCTCGTGTAACTTAAAATATGCAGAAAGATCATATGCAGCTATAACATACTGCATTCTCGAACAAAAGGAAGCATTACAAGACAGCTTAAGGCAACTTGTGACATGGTCAAAGTCACCAGAAGGAAGTCTAAATAAATTAGATGAAAAGATCCAACAAATATTTCTAAAAGGCCATTTACACAAAATATCTACTGACCTCTTGCAATTAGCGTGTGGACACCGAGCCGAGAGTATTGAAATGCGCAGAGATACTATTCTCAGACAAATTCGAGATCCACTTGTTAAAGCATCCCTTAACAAAATACCGACATCAACAACAAAATTATTTAAGTGATCTTTTCTCATCGGCTTTAGAAAAAGCTGGCGGTGTTTGCAAGGCATTCTGGCCTGCAAAGAATGATGCAAGGTTTCAAGAGCGATACAGCGTAAAATATTACCACCCCTCGCGGGGGTCGGGTTCGTCTAAAGCAATACCATCGCGTGGTACTTCGAGAAATAATTTTGATTTTAACACATTACGCACTAATTATAAATCTTCCCGGGGAAGATACCCACATTACCAGGGTCATGCTCAAGGATATAATGTAGACTTTCAATTTAATCAGCCAAGCACATCAGAAAGAGAGTCATTTCATAACCGAGGCACATTTCGTAACCGTGGCTCGCGATCCGGTACTCAAGGACATCGTGATCGAAGCCGACAGTCTCCCCTCGGGCATCCAGAGGAGAAAAAGGCATTATAAACAATGACTCGCAACACTTCAAAGCAGGCCAATTAGCACATTTTTATCCACAATGGAAATTAATGGGAGCACCAAAGGTCATCCTGCAATTAATACAAGGATATCGCATACCCTTTTCTCAAATACCTCCGCTAATAAAACCAAATCTGAAGAAATGTCCATATCAAACTCCTACTTCGAAAGAGATGTCAGTAATATTATCCAATATGGAGCAGCAAGGAATAATAAAGAAAGTCTCTATTTCACCAAGTTTCATCTCCCCAATGTTTCATGTACTAAAAACAGATGGCACAGCTCGTCCAATCTTCAATTTAAAAGCTTTAAACAAATTTGTAATAACAGACCACTTCCATCTAATAAACATGTACCGCATTCCAGATTTTTTACAACCTCAAGATTGGCTCTGCAAAATAGACCTTTCACAGGCTTATTTTCATCTCAAAATACGAACATCTCACAGGAGATTCCTACGTCTAGTTTACAACCACCAATTGTACGAAATGACGTGCCTACCATTCGGACTAAACACCGCACCCAAAACATTTTCTCTTCTTACCAATTGGGTAGCACAGATATTAAGAGAACAAAATGTAAGAATTGTCGTATACCTGGACGATTTTCTACTTGCTCATCAAGATATCAACATCCTGAAACATCAAGTAAAAAAGGCAGTAAACATATTGAAATATCTAGGTTGGAAAATAAACTTCAAAAAGTCTATTCTAATTCCCCAAAAAAGTTTGATATTTCTAGGAGTACAGTGGTGGCCATGGCAGAACCAAAAGAGCTTACCAAGAGAAAAGTCAGAAAAAATTGTAAAAAATGTAAGCAAAGTGCTAAAACACAACAGAGGAACATTAAGAGAACTACAAAAGTTGATCGGTCTCATGAACTTCGCAAGCTTTGTAGTTCCTCGAGGCCGGCTCAATCATCGTCAGCTGCTTCTATTCGTGAGCAAGTTACCAGACAATCCGAGGGTGATCTATACTTTACCTCAAATAATTCAGCAAGAACTGACATGGTGGGTTCAAAATTGTTATTTCTCAACACCCCTTCATTATCCGCCACCAAAAATGTTCCTGACAACAGATGCGTCAGATATAGCTTGGGGAGCGCAGTTGGACAATATTACCCTCTCCGGTCTATGGTCGAAAGACGAGGAGCCATTACACAGCAACCAGAAGGAATTACTTGCAATATTGCGTGTACTTCAAAGTCATTGCCATCTGATGAGTCGCAACTCCATCCTCATACAATGCGACAACAAAACTGCCGTTACATACTTGCGAAAAGAAGGAGGCACAAAATCAGTTCAATTGCTGGAAATAATTTATCAAATTCTGAAAATACTAGACGAATTTCAAATACATTTTACAATACATTACATTCCAGGGAGGTTCAACAGCCACGCGGACCATCTGTCGAGACACCGTCAACCTCCCGAATGGCACCTGCTTCCAGAATGCGTAGAAAAAGTATTCAAGAAGTGGGGATTGCCTGCGATAGACCTATTTGCATCCCACAGGGCTCACGTGGTATTGAATTATGTCACACTAGATTTGAAGGACCCTCTGGCTGTATATCACGATGCTTTCAGCCAATCCTGGAATTATCCCCTGGCTTGGGTATTTCCACCACCTTTTCTAATTCCCAAGGTGCTTACTCACCTCAACAATTCAACAGGAACGTTTCTTCTAGTGGTGCCTCGTTGGAAGAAGGTATACTGGCGAGCCGACCTCAAAGCCCGATCACTCGCAGCGCCATTCACACTGAAAAATCTGGAACGGTATCTAGTAGACACAACGACAGGTCGCCCACCTCCCAAGGTAGAGGAATTGATTCTAGAGATATGGAAATGTGGGGGTGGTCATCGGCATTAAACACTGGGACACCTGAACAGCGCCAGTTACTTAAGAATTCCTGGCGTCTATCCACTTCAAAAACATACGATGTAGCTTGGAAACGATGGCTTAGCTGGGCTAATACTAACAAGGTTGACTCTAGAAATCCAACAGGTGGTCAGTTAGCACAGTTCTTAGGAGACCTTTACTTATTACATAACTTATCGTACAGTACAGTTCTTTTACATAAATCTGTTGTGTCTACCTTATGTAATGTAGAAACGTCAAGTAAGCTTAGCTCTCATGTCCTAGTTAAACATATCTTGAAAGCTATTTCCTTGAAGTCCCCAAACATAACTAAGTCCCCAAAGATACCTATTTGGGATGTTAGTAAATTAATTTCTTATTTATCTAGTTATACAGTAAACGAAAATAATATTTTTAAAACTGTGCGCCATACAGCAGTTCTTTTACTCCTGTGTTCAGGGCGTCGCGTTCACGACCTAACGTTGCTTACAATTGATCCTGAACATTGTATTAAATACAACAATAATATTATATTATGGCCGCAATTCGGTTCAAAAACCGACAATAGCTCACACAGACAATCTGGGTGGAAATTACTAAATAATACGGACAATAATAATCTTAATCCAGTATTTTGGTTAGATAAAACTATAGCTATATTAAATGATAGAAGAAAAACTAATAATTTATATGAATTATTTATTACATTAAGAGGCGATCCTAAGCCTGCATCTCGTACTGTTATATCTAGTTGGATAAAAACCTTATTTATTGAGGCCAATATTACTGGAACACCAGGAAGCGTGCGTTCGGCAGTGGCTTCAAAGAACTGGATCAAGAATTATCCCTTGGATGATATATTAGCTCGTGGGAATTGGCGATCAGCCAATACATTTCACAAATTTTATCAACGTCAAATAATTGCCGCAGATGATTCTCCACATGTAGCGCACTTATTTAGTCCCATGAATTGATTTTCTTTTGTTAATTATTGGTAACGATATACTTTACTTACTTTTAAAATAGTATTTAATTTATATGGAGGAACTGTTTTTGTTTGAAATTTTCTACGCTATGTATAATAACTTTGATTAAAATAAATATTTATAATATAATATTATTTCTCCTTATTTTATTTTATTCACATTGGCGTATTTATTCCTTTGGTACTTTGGTTGCAGCATCACCAGGCGATAACAGACACTTCTCAATAATAAGCTTCGAATAACGGTCAAGTGCTTTAATAGCAGCGTTTTACCTGAAATAAAACGCATATTAAAGTACTTACCTTATTCGAAGCTTATCTTTTATTTCTGCCTGGTGCATTCAATTTCGATCCAATGAGCCATACAGGCGCCAGGGTTTAAAAACTAAACTTACTTTAAGGATATAGAGGGCGCCACTGCACGGTGACGCTGCCGGAAGTACCAATATTCAAGTAAATAGGTAGGACATGACGTAAAAATGACGGGAAACGGAAGTGCCTATCTCAATAATAAGCTTCGAATAAGGTAAGTACTTTAATATGCGTTTTATTTCAGGTAAAACGCTGCTATTATAAATATTGGTTGAATTAGACGACCTTTGTCAACTCGTCTTGTCCTCGGCATTTTAATGAACAATCTAAAGCGTTATTTAATGCTTTCCTATTACGATGTAGTCAGTGAATTTTCCTGTATCTAATTAAAAATTTTCTTAATGACTTCATCGTCATGCTTTAATTTTTCACTAATGCCCCACCAGCGAATACTCCTACCATTCGCGTAAGCGAAATTACTTTATCATTGTTGAAGTTAATTACTAGATAACATTATAATGACAGATTTATTTTATATCCACCCACATATTAAGGCATATCTATTCATGCAACATTTTTCCCTTATTAATAATAATATATAATAATCTAATTATAGTAACATAGTGAGAATTGTCATCCATTAAAAGCAAATAATCAGAATACTGCGGAGAAGTAGTTATGGGAACTAGTGACCCCATGGACAACCTCCACACAATTCCGCCTGATACTCATCATGATTAATTCCTGTTGAATTTGTCACGATGGACTAATTGACCTGCTGACCTCATGTCTAATCTTATCATGCTCCGCTACCGTACCGATACCGTTAGCATAGGCGGAAGTATCATTCCATTATCACCATAAAAAATATTCAGCATACTCACCAGGTATTATATAGTAACCGTCACCTGTATATACATAACGATATTACGATAGTAATATGGTGCCCGAGGCACCGCTCACATATAACCATTTCGGAGTACTATAGTGTCATGTGTCATATACTCTATAATTACTGCCATATCTTATTTTTTTTTTCTACAATAAAACGTGTACAAAGGCCGAGGTTAATACCATATGGCTTTCTGTACCAGTTAACCTTTAGGTATAAATAGAGTTTTGTAGGGCAGCCAGTACGAAAAATTGTGACAATACCTATTTTATACTAAATTTGAAACCGTAACACAGTTTACAAAAAAGAACTAAGCTAAGGCGACTTTTTTTAGTCTACCTCAAGTAGACATACACTCTCTCTCTCTAGATCTCACTAATTCCAGCCGTAAAGCAGCTTTATAAGCTGGTTTTCGGTTGTAGGGTGGCATAACAATGACAGTGTAATTATAACATTTCAGATATGACATCTTAATCTGTGGCAACGTGATATCTGTGGTGTTATTCATGTACATAGGAGACGCCAGCATGTATTCCAAGTTCATAAAAAAAATATATCTATAGTATGTATGTTTTGTATAAGACTTACCTAATTGTAAACCGACGATATGTGCACACCCAAGCGAGGACATTTCGACATCCATTGGCCTCTCCACCAGCAGTCCGGTCAGATCTGCCACTAGCTGAGCTATAAAGTCGTTATTGGACACCCCACCATCTAATCTGTAAATAAAAAAAAACAATATAATATATAGAATAACTTTTTTGCTAAGAAAATTGAAACTAAAATATCTGTACTAATATTATAAACTAAACTGAAGAGTTTCTTTGGTTGAATCGCAGGAATTACTGGTTAGAATTGATAAATAATCTTAGAAAGGCTCTTTCTAAGTCATCATCATTGCAAAATTTTGCAAAAACTGGGGAAGGAAGGATAGGATGGATGGATTTGCCCGGATCACACGTAGAATTATAATAAATACTCAGGGATTTCAATTTTCTCTGAAAAGACGAGTAGTAGTTGTTTCAACCGTCACGTTGTTTACACGTGACATTCGTATGTATCTACAGCACACTATATATCCATAAATTACGTGAGGTGTTTTTTTTTTTATTTATTGTCCCCCCTGGTGAGATGTCGTGAGATTTTATTCAACCCCCTCTTTATAAACCTTTATTCATCCCCAAATCTCGCGTGAGATTTTTCATGTTTTTTATTTTTAAACTTACATAAACGCGTTGGAATGTAAAAAGAAAAAAAATTGCTTCATGCTTTTATTTACGACTAGTTAAGACTTGTAATCAATATTACTGAGAGTTATAAGTGTCATAAGCATGTACAATCTGGATTAAATGGACAAAATAGTATTTTTTTTCGTTTCAATGAGAAAAAAAATTGCGTGATATTTGCCGAGACCCCCGCGCATTGCTGAGACTCTCCAACGTAAGATTAGATGAGATTTGATTCGACCCTCTTAAACATCTCACGTAATTTATGGACGCCCCGTATATACACATACATCTACATCACGAGTAGAGCGACATTGACTTAAAGGCAAGAAAGTGTTTTGTTTTGTTAACTGTTAGAAAATACAATTTTTATTTTTATTTTAGATAATTCTAGCATCTCTTAAATAATTAAGTACCCTTATACCGAATATATTATAGATATATATACAATCTTTAGTCTATCTTTCTTCTTGACGACAACTATATAATAATATATATTGCTTTATTTATTCTAATAAGAACAGTCTTATATATTATTATTTGTATAATCATAATGCTTTGTCCTATTAACATTCTCCGATAACTTGTTATTATTTTAACATTAATTTATTTTTGTAAGTATAGTTCCGTAAACTAATATGGTTAATAGATAATTAAGGGGGGAAGAATAATTGTTAGTAATGGGGACTGATGACCTTATTGCTAGCAATGTACCATATCAGGTTGACCTCCATGCGGTTCCTCCTGAAATCATCGTGGTAAATTCCTGCTGATTTTTTCATGATGGTCTAACTGAGCTGACCTCATTTTACCAATAAATATCTATAAATGTTTTGTTAGTATAAATATAATTGTATGCATATGTTCATTACTACAGCGCGGTTATAAACAGTCTTTCATTTAAATAATTAGTTATCACGAATACTATCTACAGAACAATTAACAAAATTATTTTACTGACCTCTAACTACTCCATCTTATTTTATATAGATAAGCATAAATTGATTTTTTATCATTATCTATACGGATAACTAATATTTTAATTTACTTCTAGCTGTGCCCGCGGTTTTCATCATCTTGAAATTTATACATAAATTATGTGTTATTCTGATGTATTAGCTATATTACTGTAAAGTTACATGAAAATCCGTATCAATATCAAATACCACTAAAGGTTAAATAGAATACCACACATTCTATTATATTATGCAGTGTATAGAGACTGGTCTGCTCTCATCACGACTGACTGAATCTTGTTGTGTACTTAATACAAGATCTCTTAAATTTGTGGTATTATGTATTCACACGTTTCGGCTTAAAAATGTAAAATTACAACAATTATTTAAAAAAGCAACATGCAAGATTCTTGCTCATGTTTCTTGTGATGAAACAACTTTCCTAATAAGTGGTAGATTAAAAGAAGAATGCCTGTGACTATTCCAAAATGCACATATAGTTTATTTGAATAAAGGATTTTCTATAATAGTCTACTTACATATAGACTTGTAGTTATACCTCAAATATAACTATAAAGTTTATCTGCATATACCAAATAATATGGCAGCAAATACATATTAATTTTTTTATATAGATAGATAAATCTTTTATTTGCACCTATAGCACACATACAACAAAACTAAAACAGTAAAGAGATGAGAATTTTATATATAACAAACCAGTAACAGAAATGACAAAGAATAGAAAAATAAGTGTACTTCACAGATAACACACAATACATGTACATTACTGGTTCCGCATGCAGCAGTGCAAATAGGCCATAACTCATGGTATGGTATTAAGGAGCAAAACACTGATTTTCAACTATAACCTGGGTGTAAGTATAAGGTAACTATAGGATATATTGTTTTAAGTATAATTTTGTACTTGAATGTCACAAAAATAATAAATCTGTTATTTTACAGATAAAGTTTGCGTTCATTACTGAGTTCTCAGGTTAATTACATGTGTCAAAATTTAACCCACTTGTAATTGAATCGTTGTATAGTAACCCCAATTAACATTACGTCTATCTCAAATGTATTAACTTGGATAATATTAATAAAACAAGATAAGATATTTTAAAATGTCAATAACTTTGATAAACAATTACAAATTATCAATTTATCAGATCAATAATGTAGTTGATCAGAACGGTATAGATATAATTATTTTTTCCTATTAACTGGTTAATTCGATACCGAAAATAAAAATAATTATAATAAGAAACTATTAACATTCCACTTCATAGCACAAATTTCACAAGTAAAGTGTCCTTTGTTTAATAAATAATATTAATGTATATACTGAATTGGACAGTAAACAATAAATATTAATACTAAAAACTTGAAGTTCATAAACGGATCAAATGTCCTACATGAAAAAATGATTTTTGATTTCAATTAATATACGTATCTGTAATGGCAAACAAGGGACAGCACAACTGAAATTAACTGGTAACTGTCCCCTATATAGATTAATACCATGAGAATCACGTGGCCCCTGGTATGTCTCATATGTTGCAAATCCAGAGGGCCAACATGTTATGACTGCATACACTATATTTTCATTGTCTAAATTCACCCTTCAACTGATACACATCTTACAATAAATGTTGCCTAGCGTCTGAAGTAGGTGAGACAGAATTATAGAAGAAATGCAAAAACAAACAAGATGACTAATGTAGACTTTGTACAAAGTCCTCCCTGTCATCGTGTCATTTAGCGATTACGATGCGAAGACACTACAGAAGCATTGCTGCTTTTTAATAGGTACAATACCTTTTAGAATTATTTGTCTATGTAAAGGACTAATAATATATATCTATAACACACATAACATATAAAAGGACTACATATATATTAATTTATCACGAGGATTAATATCCGATTGATCTACGATGAATGTTACATGTAGGATATAATATTTTATATACTGATTTACATTATACGTGGAATGTTTTCGAAATAAAAAGAAACTAATTTATTTGCAGTAAAACAGTTATATTATTGGCAACCGTTTTTAGATTAATGTTTATTTTTATTAATAAGTTTAGTATTAAAATATGACAAATATGCATACATATTGATAGTAGTAATCATACAATAAAAGATATCCAACCACGATTATCATCAAATACATAAGACTCTCCGATATATTATTAAAACACTTGATCAGCCATGATGTAGTCGTTTTTGAATTAATTATAACGCATTTTAATTAAAACGAGATATAAGTTAATTGAAAAATTTTCATAAATTAGACATTCTTTTGTTAACAGCAACCTAATTGAACAATTTTATATATCGCAACAATAATGATTAGCATATCTACTATATCAAATATTCGGAATAATCTAGATCAATTAATTTCTTTGTTGTTATTGTTTACGTGTTATTTGTATGCCGTTACTCACGAAACTGAATAATATTACCAAGTAAAGTAAAAACAGAATATATTTTTTAAAACGTTCATACAATCTGCGCAGTTCCGAATTACCACTATTTATTTGTGGCTTCTGTAAATCTTCTATACATATAAATAAAATTGGAGCGTCTGTTTGTAATATATATATATAACCGTTTTTTACTACATGCATATGAATATAAATACGATTCATACACCAAAATAACATTTTTTACAATTTTTGTCTGTCTGTCTGTTTGTTCCCGCTAATCTCTGAAATGGCTGGACAGATTTTGACGAGACTTTTTGGCAGCTGATGTAATAAGGAGTAACTTAGTCTACTTTTATTTTAGAAAAATAAAGTTAAATTCCACCGGAGTTAAATTTTGCCTACGACATGGTTTGCAGAAGCTATCATAAAATTCTGTAAAGAAATTATTCCGGAGTCGCTAGCATATATAAACAGCTAGTATATAATAATAATACCCCTGGACAATTCAAGGTAAGCAGAAATTGTATTATGGATATTAGACAACAGCTATAAACCCTTAGATTTTTTTTAAATACATACATATATAATATACATAGAAAACACCCAGACAAACATACTCATGAATACAAATTTTAATGTTTGTACCGTGCAAGGAATCGAAACCCCACCCATTGAAATAAAACGGTGTGCTGAACTAGGTTATAGAGTCCGTCAAAAATATTAAGTGCATATTTTGTCATGCATTTATGACCAAACCTATGTACGTATTTAATCTGATGTTGTCTGCTTCACATTACAAAATCAAATAATGAAACATTAATAAAAGAGACGAACTTCATTTCGATTCACTGATTTGTGAGCCGGGTCCATAGTATGACAGAGAGGGAACACCGAACAGTTCCCGGCTATAGGTGTACGGGGCTCGTTGCCGACGTACGTCTCAGTTACAAAGTAATATCATAATAACCCAGGACAATTCTTACTCCTATTTAGTCCCAAAGTAAGCAGAGCTATGATATATACTATGAGTAGGTACTAAACAACATATAGAAATACTTTATATTTTTATATAACAGAATATACAACAAAATCAACACACACAAAAAACACCCAGATCAATACGAGCAATCGTACTCATGGACACAAATGTTCCTATCGAGCCAGGAAGCGAACCCTCGCCCATCGGAAGTAAGGCTAACCGCTCTACTAAACCGCTCGAACCGCTCGAACACCGTCGAAGTCAAAATATGATAATTAAGTAAACGTACAATTAAAAAATAACTCGTGATCTTAATGCGTTCTCTTAATCTTAATTTAAATAAAAAGAGTGATTGTACATACGTAGAAATAATAACCGCGTCAATTTTAAAATAGTATATGACATTTATGACCTTATTAGTCATAAATATCATATACTCACATATTATATCCAAATATTCACATATTAATAACATATTATTGTAATAAGGTACTAATGTGTTTACATATTATTTCTTGTGATTCCGCGTTACGATAAAATAAATTAAAAGATACCTACCTAATGCTGGTAAAACGTATTGTTGTCTCTGTGCGCACGCACGAGTACAATTGCGCCGTGCGAAATGCGAGCGACTCTAGTACGGCTCGCACCAAATGCGCACGTGTTGTAGAAGGTTTCATGCCAATAAATCCAGACGCTGCAGTCCCGTCGTTATAGGGTGGCTGGAAATATAATAGCTTTGTACACTACAACATTATTAATTTCAAAAGTCTATAAATAATACTGCGAATAGTGTGGAACTTGTGATTTGTTTTTGCCTACGACATGGTTTGCAGAAGCAACCATAAACTTCAGTAAAGAAATTTTAATAATATCGCGTAAAATACCTACATACAAACAATAAGATAAATCTTGCAAAATAAAAAAAGCTACTTAAATATAGGTATATCGGTTCAATTACTAGAAAACACAAAATTTTGCTTCAGAATATAAAATATCAATAAGAATATCACACTAATATATAAAAACAATACAGTCGAATTAAAATATTTATCCTACATAGTTTATTAAAATTTTGTACAATTGTCATAGTTAACATAAATTTATCAATGTTATACTATTTAAAAACATCAATTCAAGGGAGGCTCAGGATATTTTTGCATAGTATTTGCGAAAACTGTCTTATGATTTTGCGACAAAGACGGTTATTGAACTGTTTACTACAAAAAGTATGTCGAAACATTCAATTTTATCAACAAATTTATTTAAAACAATAGAGAAACTACTCAACAAAGGTTAAAAAAATATTCAGTGTAAAGTTCATGAATAAATCATTACACCTTACACGAGAGTGTGATTGCAATATTATTCTTTTTACCGCTGATGTAATGTAGCTACCAACAATACTTTATGCTTGAATTCTTTTAAATTGCTTTTCGTAATTACACTCCACACGCTAGAGCGTGTGTATTACAAAGTTCATCAGAATACTTCGAATTAAATGTTTTATTTATTATATACTGATTTTATAAATGCGATTAACTTCATATAACTATATACATGTGAATAAATGCACCGGAAGAAATACTTTAAATAATAGTAATAGTGTCAAAATCATGTTGCATGATTACTATAAGTAAGCGAAGAAACAGACTGACGAAAACTGCGATTGTATTGCATACATACTATTAGAGATAGACTGAACGAAAGATATGAAATATGTAGCATTTTTTTAATAATTATTCCCTACATTTTTATTAATAGATCATACTTTTCTTCGTTACTTCGAGTCAAGTGAAGGTTGAATAAAGAAATTACTATAAAACAACATATAAACTAAAAATCTCTGATTTCCAAATTCAGTCATTATACACTAAATTTCTACTCACCCCAAGCCCGCTGAAGGCCGGTATAAAGTACACACCATCTGAGTCCGGCACGGACATCGCTATTTCAGCAGTGTCCTGGGGATTGCTGAACAAACCTGTGACAAAAGTCCTCATATATATTTACATTCTAATTAATATTGTTATTATTATGTAAATCTATATATAGTAAAATCGTAAACGAGCATGTTACTCCAGTCAAAATAATGACCGCTAAATTAGTTTTATGTGCGCTAATCTCAGAAACGGCTTGACCTATTTAAATAGTTAATTTGCAGGTTTCACTGATGTATTGCAGTAGCTTCGTGTAACATTTAGTTTTATTTCATTATAATGGTTTAAAAAAACTCATTGTATCGAATTCGCAATAACAACTAATTATATAACTTTTACCAACTAAAATACATCTTCACGATGAGATAATCAGTCTTTCATCAACTGACCAGATTTTAACTTGTGAAACTTTCTGTCTAAACACAGTTTGTGAATTACTAACCTACTACACTCTCACCTATATTGATATGATTTATGCCACCAAAAATTCGCATTTTAAAAACATTCGCATATACATATTTAATAACCATAATGCTTACCTAATGCCTGCGCCCACTTTATGATAGAAGCGGTGTCGTTGTTAGCACCCTCTGCTGAGTATATCAACTCTTCACCTAGCCTCCATCCCACAATAGGGTATAAGCCCGAAACGCTGGCGTGAGGTGACGTCCCAGTGTTGATGTTAAAGAATGTGCCTGTTCCCATTGTCAACTTGACATCGCCCACATCGAAACAGCAGGAACCCCACATTGATGCTGTTTGATCTGCCATCTATTTAATATAAGTATATTTCATTATTACACTGGCCCGGAGGGGAAGGAATTCTTAGTAATGGAGATCAAATCGACCTAAACGTTCCATATTACTATTATTGTTAATATCTAATAAGTTTTCACAATGAACTAACTAACTTCATTATTAACCATTTGCGAGAACACCATTTCATATTCATCTATACATATAAATAAAATAATAACAGATCTATTGTAAAGAGCTTACAGTTTACTTCTTGCAGCCTACCACTTCGTGTAGATTAAACAATACAATATAACCCAGACTGCATCATATCTTCCGTTGCAATATTTTTCATTGCAGGGCCTGTTCCTATTAGTCTTAGATTAATGTTATAAACAACCTTTATAAATGAGCTATACCTACAAGAGTAAAATGACTTCCAAATTCGGATCAGTAGCACTTGGAGTTTATCCTGAACATCCAAATCCAGGTTCGCTAGCATTAGTATATATTATGTATATTTATAGATAGATAATTTGCAATTAGAAATTGGTATTTTATTTTGATGTAGATATTAATAACCAGTTTGACCTGATAATATTCAAGTCAACCTCAGTTATTAGTCATCATTAGTCAACTATTTATATGTCAACGAAGTAATTAACTAGAATTACGAAAATAAATCAAAGATTATGATATAGTTAAGTACAGTTAGATTATAATTATAAAATCAACAAACAAACACTGTAATTAGACGATAATCCTGTTGAACACCCACACAATAACAATCTCATACTAATATTATATATGTGAAAGTGTGTCTGTCGACTCGTTACCATTCATGAATTATAGATCTTATAAAATTTTATTGATAATAAAGCTATCTTGCATGTTAAACATTAATATTTTCCTTGAGTTAAAATAAGACCATGGTACAAATTATAGACTATACAGATATAATATACTAACGAATCTTAAAAAAATTGCAAAATCAATAAACTATCAAAAAAAATACAGTAAAAAAGTAGTAAAAATAATACTTATACAACATATAACTAAGTCTATGGAAGTGCTTTAATCAGCGGTTCTCGATAAGTATTTAATTATTCTTTATATTGCAAAATAAAAGCTGTATAAAATGCAAGCGGCTGAAGGCCAACTCCGGATACGACTTTAGTCTGAACGCACTGCTGGGTGTTATAACCTCGGCTCAGGCCGTCGAATTGAGACGGGGGATCGATCAAAGGGGTGATGATAAGTCGTAACCATCTTCTATATACATCACGGTAGATTGTGTATTTTGGTAGAATGAAATTCGAAAGTATATATTTAAATACCTAATGAAAGAAAAGAAATTACTCACACAACTTCGTATAGGTATAGCATGGCCCCATATTGAAGGAGAGGTGCTGGTAAAATGATCCCCGGCCGTGTCCACAACGGTAGGCAACGCTGACATTGGTATATTGAAGAATGTGAGTGCCCATCCCGCCCACTGCATCGTGAACGGATCGAAGAAACCAGTAGCTGATGCTGAGGACACGTCGCTCATGTGGATTTTATTACCTGCGTATGAAGATGCACGTCTAAGCTCTCAAATCTATAATACTAGTGGCCCGCACTGGCTTTGCCTATATCCGTGTATTTAACAATTTATATTAAAATTATAAATCTAGACACGCGGTAGCGTGTCAAAAAATCAAGTAAACTATCGTGTGTATATTTACACGAACCATTTGGAGCCACTTTTGACCCCCTCATAACTCAAAAACTCTTTCACACATATCTCAAACGGTTATTTAGATATTAATGTCCAAAAATCGTCATTTTTATCACTGATCAACTATAGATCAAAATTATAACCCACTTCCAGATGACCTAGGAAGTTCAAATTTGGCATGCAGATAGGTAATTAGGTGAATATAAAGGAAAAAATCTGAAACTGGTAAATTGTTATCATTTTACTACAATTTTTCACTTTAATTGATTCTATTTCAACTTATACTGGACGAATACTAAAATTCTATGAAAACGTCGATAGCCACCAATTGACATTGATCCCTGGCGAAATATCTCATCTTGTACTGGACGGAAACTAATATTGTATGAAAACGTCGATCATTATCAATTTACGTTGACCCCTTCACATCAGTGTCGATAACTAGCAAACTTCAAATATTGCATTGAGCGGTAAACACTAGTTGCTATAATTTAGATTCTGTCTAAAATATACTCGTACTTATAACTAGGAGTATAGTCGAATTTCGTATTTATTATGTTATTAACTGAGATTTGGTATTAATTATTGTTTCAATATTTAGCGCACATCGATAGTGTAAAATCATTATTTTTATAAATAATTATTAAATAATAGGCATTTCGGTATAGGGCGCCGCGCCGGCGCGGCGCCGTGTGGGAGCGGTGCGATAACACTCAATGTTTTGTTTCTCGATATCTAACCTATAAGGTTGCGATTTATGCTACGAAATTCATAGCTTTCTTAAATTATACTTATATATTTGTGGTTATATTATTATTACATTATTTTAGTAAATACGTATGGTATAGACAATAGTTTAAACCAAAAATTAATAACAATTTTAGTATAGTTATAAGTAGGAATGTATAGTTAACTCGAGAATGAGAACTCATTGGTAACAAATTGTTTTCTTGAGAATTCAATAGATAACAGTCAATTTGTTACATAATCGTCTTTACGAACTATAACGTGTCAATACCAAGTTTCAGATATTAAATAATGTATATGTTGAAAGAGAACAATTCAGTATTTGCTTAACATATGCTATTACTATCCACAAATCACAAGGCCTTAGTTTTGACAGTCCTCTTCTCAACATAGGCTCCTCTATATTTAATAAAGGGCAGGTTTACATTGGACTCTCCAGAGTTAAAACCTTAGATGGAGTACGTCTTAACAATTTAGATCCAAGTCACGAGAGCTCTATTGTAGAGTACAACCATCTGTGGACGTTATACCGCCCCGATTTGCCCAAAAATTCCTGATACTGAATTGGCAATGCACTTGAACATTTAAAATTTACAAGAAAATATAGAAAATAACACAAAAAAAGACAATTATACCCCGTAAATATACGAAAATACAGTAATTTATCAAAAATAATTTGGTATTAATTTAGTTATAAATAAGTACCTCGTATAATTTATGTACAAAAAGTAATGATATCCCATCAAAAACATAAATGTGAAATGATAGCCGAGTTTAATATTATGATATATACCTTGATTGTTGACTTCTACGACAAAAGAGATGAGATCTAAATGGGTGCCAAGTTCAATGGTCTGTCCTGAAATGTATTTATAACAATATAAAATATCATTTCTTCTTATAACTTAGGATAATATACTGTAGCCTAAGGTCTAACTTGGCTAGTTTTCATATACGAAATATACTGTAGCCTTCGCAATTATTACTTGTCGGTTCCTATTTTAATATTAGTAGTAACTAGCAATAGAAAGTAATAATTGGTATATGAGAACTGGCTAAGTTAGACCTTAGGTTACAGTATATTATCCTAAGTTATAAGAAGAAATGATATTTTATATTGTTATAAATACATTTCAGGACAGACCATTGAACTTGGCACCCATTTAGATCTCATCTCTTTTGTCGTAGAAGTCAACAATCAAGGTATATATCATAATATTAAACTCGGCTATCATTTCACATTTATGTTTTTGATGGGATATTAACCCACACACAACCTTACTTTTCAGTTGCATCAAACTACTACTAACAGATTTTAATAAAATTTTGCATTTGATTAAAATCTGGTGAGTCGTTTAGGATTCCATAGCGGACAAACTACTTAACTCGAAATTTTTATATATTAAGAGAGAGATGCCAATTTTAACATATATTTCACAAAATAAAGAATATTTTCAAACTCTGTATTTATTTACAAGTATATCGTGATAATATAAGTATGTAACGGTTATTTTTTAACTGGCAACCAGTCCTGTTTTGGATCGGGTTTAATAATCTAATACATATATCTAAAATCTAGATTATTTTGGTACAATTGTTATAAAAATTACAATTTATATTTATATATATATATATTGTTTACCTGTTAATTTATATAGCAACCAACAATCCAAAGAACCGAACATCGCCTCATTGTTCTCAGCCGCTGTTTTTAAAGCCAGAATGTTTTGTAAAGCCCATGTTAACCGTAGTGTCGTCTAAAATAATAAAACTATATGTAATTATTGCTATTTAAAAATGTATTTTGTATACTATTATATATACATATATTTGATACCTATATAAAATCTTCAATCTAACTTTCTATTGGCAGTAAATTGGCCGAAACCGAAATTACATACGTTATTAGCAATTACTGAAATCAGTTATTTGTGGTTTCGTAATTAAGACTGATTCTTTACTGCATTAGCAGAATAATAATCTTTTTAGCAACAATAATAATACCATTATTATTCATTACCGAAAATACTCGATTGTGTAAAATCATACATTTAGAAGTATGTAACAGAAAACAATGAATTAATAGAACTGTAGTTACGCAATATGCACTATGTACTGCAATGATTAATGCCAACATTATAATATCGTAAGTTTTATGGAAACCGATTAAAAACAATAGAAAATCACTCAATATCTATGTAGGTATATTAAATTATATACAATAAAACTGAAATGATACACTACAATTATAAGCACTTAAACGAATACAAACGAGAAATTTAAAAATATGTAAACACGTCAATTACACTGTTGTCCTTGGTAGGGGACAACCGTTAAAAACATCCAAATAAAAAATATTTTGACAGCAATAACCTTTACGTAGGCACGTAATTTACTATTCATAATGTAGACAATAAAGCCGAGATGCAATTATTTAAAAGGCTTAGATAAACGACATACGCGAGAGTAGAGACATAGCTTTGTTTAAATAAAATCTCTAATTCTAGTTTAGTTCGGTCCCAATTAGGAAACAAATCTTGCTAATCAAGTAGAGTTTTGAGGTAGGTTTAGTAAAAAGTCTCTCTAAATCTCCATGACTACCAAAGTCAAACCTATTTTAACCGCCAAGCAGCTTGCTTTGCAAGCTATGTTTCGTGTATAAGGTGAGAGAAGCTAGTGAAATTAAAGGATTTGGAGGCTAACATCTTAGTCCCTCGGTAGCAGCGTAGAACTTGTATATCTTGATCAAACTCGTAGTCACACGTTGACTGCGATTTTGTTGATGAATGTAGGCGACGGTTACCAATTCCTATCACATAGGCGTCAACTCATTAACGCAAAATTTGTTGGATGAATTTGAATGAAATTAGGAATAGAGATAGATAAGGTTATCAGATAGAATAATTTGTGACTGAAGTCACACGCGGGACACACTTGGTACTTAACTTAATTATTATTTTGCTATATTTTAATAGTGATAAATAGTTCTAATCACCTGTGTGTTCATAAACTTTAAGACACTGCCAGCCCGAAATCTTTTGCTTCTTAATATCAAGTAGAGCACGTAGGAACCGGCTCTTACTAGCTAAAACAATAAGTAATATATATCAGGGAGGCATTTATTTTGAATTCCATAGATATGGTGTAAATAGTCAAGTACTTTTTTTTGTTCCTGGTTTATCCACGATCAGTATGTCAACTATAATCGGATTGGTTGGCAAATGGCAATGAGAGTCTGCAATCTGCTTATCCAAATTCAGTAGATATGTTCTTTTCAGGCGTTTTGGGGGGTTGTCAGTTTGTAACCTGTGAGCTAGTTCATTGGGGTGGACACACAGCCGAGCCTTGTATTTTGAGCATGTGCTAGTAAGCTCCTCTCGTACTGTGGGTAAATTCGAAAAGTGATGTATTTCTGAGATGGTTATAAACCATCGTGCCCTAAGAATGGTCTTCAAGATAGCGTTTTGGGACCGTTGGAGAATCTCAATGTTAGAGGTGCTAGCACTTCCCCATAGTGGATAGGTCCAAATCGGTTTAATGACCAACTTATAAACAAGCAACTTGTTCTCTACTGAGAGGTTAGATAGAAATCCTAAGAGCCAATACAAGTTCCTAAATCTGAGGTTGGTTTCATCTTGTTAGCTTTGATGTGGGTTTTCCAGGTGAGCCGTCGATCCAAATCAAGACCCAGGTACCTGATGGAATCAATGTGTTGTAGGGTATTATTAGCTAGATTAACCGGGGGACAGATACCCTGTTGAAGAATAAATGTGATTTGTGAGGATTTAGTGGAGCTAGCTTTAATTCTCCATTTCTTCAGCCATCCATCTATTTTGTCAAGTTGTACTTGTAATATCGCTGTAGCTATCTCGGGCTTTGGGTGGCATGCTAAATTGCCGTATCATCTGCAAATGTAGCTTTTGTGACATTGTTAGTTATCGGCAGATCTGCAGTGAATAAAATGTATAGATATGGTCCCAGCAAAGATCCCTGAGGTACACCAGCTCCGATTTAATACAGCTCTGAGCAGACATCATCTTCCTTTACTTGGAAGATTCTACCATGTAAGTAAGATTTTAAAACCTCAAAGAAAAAATGGGGAAGAGATTTTATTTTATATAGAAGCCCCTTGTGCCATACCTTGTAGAGCTATATATATATAGTATATAGTCAAGATCTAAGTTTTTAATATCTAGCTGAAGTATCAATGCCTAAACTTGTATATTATAACAAGCATAAAATCACAAAAACCGCAATGCGCCTACTCTATAGGCGCGATAAATAAAGCGGGAGTGATTCGCATTATTGACCATTCCAATCTTGGCTCCTACAATCATTTGAATGATTTTATTAATTGACGACCTTGACAAGCAATTGTTGTGTTAAAATAGTGTATGACATTCAACTCTGAATCAGTATGTTCTGGATTATGATTATATTTATACTACTATACTACTGTTGACCAATCAGTTAGTCAGTTAATCAGCTAAATATGTTGGAAGCTCTTTTAGGAGAAGATAAAGATCACCTTTAAAAGGAGTCATGTTTAAAATTATTTTATGAAATCAGAATATGAAAGAAAAAATAAAGAGATACATCTGTATACTCCTCCCTTATAAACAGATTAATTACAATAATTCTGACTCTTCAACCACCTATGATGGCCTATAGCAATATAGCACACTATTACTTATGACCTACACAATGCAAACATTTGTATTTATGGGTATGATTGTTTTGATTAAGTTGTTTTCTATTATATATTATATTGAGTGTAATTTAAAAATATATACTAAATCTTAATATTCATACAGTGTACTTACTTTCCAAGTATATGATTCATTCCATTGTCTAACCAGTTTATCAGCCCTCAAATCCTTCCAGGTGATAAACCGGTGGAAAGGCTTTGCTGTTTTCCTAGACCATGTAATAAAAGTTCCTCTTTGTGTTGAGATACCCATAGCTGTTATTTGATTAGCATTTAAACCAGCATCTGATAAATAAAGAGTTATCAATTACATGAACCTACAGCCAGAACTATTAGTATTTAGTTATCTTTCAGAAATATGTTCCATTAAATTCATTAACTAATATCCAGGACACCCGAAGATTCTGAATTTCTATATAAATCTAGACCTTAAACATATAGACAAAACGATGATAAGGCATATAATTGTTACAGCCCACTGTTAAGATTCAAATTGTGCATTCTCACCATTCATATACTATGCATATCTAATGCAAGCTTTAATATCTAATAATATATCAGTACTTCTAACATTATAATTAGTTGAGTCAATCTTAAAAGTATTATATTATCTTTGTTTTGACATATATTTCCTATTATTATCATTTTTTAATCCAGCCATTACTTCCTTTTGTTTTTTTTTATATTTACTTGAACACTACATAGAGTTTATTTGATAATAAAAATGTGTATTACCTTTAAAAGATCTTTGTACTACTGCCACTATAGATGTCCATAATTCATCTGGATCAATTTCAACAAACCCCGGACTGGGGTAATGAAGGACAACCTAAATTTAAGACAACTGTATATTATTATGTTAACAAACAAAAGAACAAATCTGTGTGCTAAGTAAACTATTGCAAAAATGTCATACTAACAAATAAGGTTTTTTAAATAATAATATGTAATAACATTATATGCTGGGCCTGCCATTATTTTTAAAAATAATATATAATAAAATTAGGTAAAATATCTTTGTATATTTACAATTCTAATTATTATTCAAAAATAATATATGAATAAATAGTACATAAAAACTTATAATAAACATATTTTTTTACAATTAAAGAAATTTTCTAAAATTAACATTACTTAATTTTTCAGTGGATAAGCTTAAATTGGTATCTATTGTTTTGTAGAATTTACTGTCTAGTCATCACAACATTGTAAGTACAAAAAAATATAAATTTCATAGTAACTTAATTTAAATTTAATTTATTCGAAAAATGTTAAAACATTAAAGTTTTAAACTTGTTTCAATGCACTCGTATTAGTTAATTATAAGTAATATTTTAAATATTGTAATCTTATTAAAAAAAAATCTGAAACTCGTACTTGCTCCGTAGATTTTCCTACAGTTTCTGCTCTAGCATTATATATAAATGCGCGAATTGTAGTTGTGCCAATATCCAATGTCAGTATGTATTTTTCTTCCATAGCTATTATCCCAAAGGGAATAGGACTATAATAATATTAAAAAAAGTAGTTAAAAAACAAGCAGATTGTACTGTTCACAACATTCACTGTTTATATTTTTAAAGTCATTTGTATGTAACGCACGGTTGAATTAGTGTAACAAATTCATATTAAAACAACATCATTGAGCCCAAGTAATTCAGTAAAACTGAATTGAAAGTGCTCGCTCGCAGTTGAAGATAAATTTTCAAAAATCATTTGCGTTCTGTTATGTCATAATGGCAGAGACATTGACAATGTCATTAGTGTCATGTCAAAAATACTGTCACTGTGAAAGATCCGCTGTATAGACATAGTCCTTTTGCCTTTTCCTGAGACGGGAAAAACTGAACCAAAAAAAATGACCCTAACTACAGTACTAATTTGGAAGAATCAATCGACATTGAAGACAATTCAAATTCTATTCTATATTCATATTCAGAATTAAAAAATGTACAGGAGAACAAAAATAAAGCCATACTCATAAATATATGTTTAAATACTTATTTTCTTTTGGTTTCGGTATATATTCAAATAATTACACTCGCTCAAGATAATGCCCATTTAGTTTGTGCTCTCAAGCTAAACATTCAGACTTATAACTTCAATAATATGAAATAAATAGTAATAATAACAACCCAGGACAATTTACTTAACACCATCTATTGTCTCAAACTATACGGGAACAACTAGGACTACTATAGATATATTAAACCTGGGACCTTTGGCATTTTAGTCGTGTTCTACACCGCTAAACTAAGGTAAGATGTCATTATTATAGGCTAAATTGACGGCCCTGAGGCCGAAGGGCCCAAATTTCCAAAAAAGGTAAAAACCGAACCAAAAAAAAAATATCAATGACATCTTAACATGACATTGCTCATTCTGACAAATGACTGTCATGATTTGTCAAAATTTATTCTTTTAACGCAATTATGTTACCAGACAACACTTTCCAATTACCGCTAATTACAATATTCACAAATATGGAATTATTTTACATTCTATTTTTTAAATTGGCATAACTATATTCTATCTAGGTATTTATGTAGCGCGATGTAGGTTAATAATTTTGAAATAGGTTTCTTGTTAAAAAAAATAAAAAATATGAAATGGTGTGTATAATAAATATACATCTGCTAACACTAATCCAAAGAGTAAAGTAAATTAAATATATCAAAAGGAACTACACTAACCGGGATTTACAGTATGCAATTACAACAGCTTTATGGATAATAGAATATCACAAAACTATCTCTTTAATCTTATTTTTAATCTTTTTTTAGTCTTATTTTTATAATCATATTTCTTCAGAATCAAATTACGATTTTTATTATAATTATTTTTGTTGATTGACAATCTACGAGATTCTCTTTCGTCAAATTATTTAAATATTCAGAATGTTAATAAAAAATCAAAAATAATTAAATCTTTAAAAATCAAATAAATAATTACTATCCACTATAGTAAATTGATTGTAAGATTTATTAAACTATTAATAAATTGTTTGGGATACAGATGTACATAGTACCTTATATTTCCCCATGACGGGAGTAGCTTTACTTTTTCATTCTAATTTTAATATTTTTATTGCCTGGCAACTCTAAACTTGTCTGACAGACAATCGCGTTTTGGTATTTCGAGCGCTGAAAATTGTGATGTAAAAAGAGAAAACTAAATGTTTACCAGCCATCATGGCGAATCCAAGGAAATTTAGTGAAAAAATTGCCCTCCATAATCAAAAACAGGCGGAAGAAACTGCTGCCTTTGAAAAAATAATGCGCGAAGTTTCCGACGCAACCAATAAGGTATGTCGCCTATTTACTCAGACAATCGCTTCCTGGCCGTCAAAAGTGCCCGCCGACGTAAACAATAACCGTTTCAATATGCCTATTGCGCCTCATTAACTAAATTTATTAATAATAATCCAATTATTGTCTCTAAAGAAAATTATTGACAGCCCTCACTTCTCTTACTAATACTAGTTCCAGTTAATTGTCATTGTTGAAATTAATGGGTCCCATACATCATTTTCCGTACTACACAATAGATTGTTATTGATATGTATGAATGCTATTAAGTTAATATAATATTATGTTGAGACCTAATGTCTTAGTAACACAATATAAACACTATGGTCTCATTGTATGTTATTAAACACAAAATGTAAACATAATCGGCGTTCATTCATTAAGTTGTAGTCTATAAATACATGTTGCACTGAAAAAGCGTGAACAATTTGAAAAGTTTGTAATAATGTTTACACATTTGTAAATTAGAATTCACAAAGGTTTGCAAGGTCACCCAGTTCTGAATGGAGTAACCAGTAATCTAATATATCTACATTGCTGGTTTAGTTGTTAAAGTGGCATGGTTGCAGGTTAGTTCAAGTAGCAGACGTGCTCAGCCAAAGGCACCTCCCGAGCCCACCGATGGCAATGAAACATCGCTACGGCCCTCTCAACAATCTTTGGGCACATTCCGCAGTGGCTCTTTGCCAAATGTGGCTGCACCACAAGCCACAAGTGCAGAGCCAGAAAATAATAAGGTTCCCAGTTTTCGGAATCTGCTCGTTATAATCATTAAAATATTGTAGAGGTTGTTATTTTATTTTCTGGTAGTGGTGCAGTTGTAGATGGCTGTAAATTCTTGGCTATTAGATTGCCATACATAAACCTGTTTCATTTAATGAATATAATGTACTCAGTGTCTCCTCATTTGTAGTATTATTTGTCATTTAATGTTTTGAATTGTTTGTTTGTTGAGATAGTTTATGTTGGTTTGTAGTCCAAATTATTGTTATTATTTATCTAAAAAAAAATCATTTTTGGTATAATATACAAAACAATAAGAGTTGTGGTGGCTGTTTTATAAAATTAAATCTAATGCTTAACACAATAAACACAACTTGTAACTGTGTGCACTTCAAAATGTTACTTTGTTTATTTTATTTATTATTTACTTTACACATGTGTTCAAATTTCTGATGTTTAAAACTCATCATGTGTTAACTCAACTTCACTATATAAACAGATTTTTAATTATTATCTCATAGACTTGGATGCCACATCCTGTTTAACTTTATAGTAGGATACAAGTTTTTCTTTGTTTTATATGATGTTTAATGCCAATAAGAATCTTATTAGATGGTTATTAGTATTTAGCAAACTGTTCTATTCAGTAATTAAAAAATAAATAGCTATTTACCTACTTTTATTATTGTGTGTTTTGTTGAGACATATTATTAGAAAGCAAATATTTATTGTTTTTTTTGTTTTACTTTATTTTTATGTGTAATGAATTATATCAGAGGATTAGATTGACTGTAGAAGTTTCAGTAACAGAGGGATTAGACAGATTTAGTGTACAAAGAAATAGTGATTTTTGTTGTTGTTTTTAGATTGTAGGAGTCATACTTAGAAAAGCATGATTTAATTTTGTGTATTGCATACTCATTATATCAAAAAGAGTTATGAAAATTTGACTATACTGGTTGTTTTAATTAATTATAATTTTTAGTGTAGTAGTATAATATAGAGTATGTTTCAGAAATAGTACTATTTATTTAATTTCATTTTGATGTCATCATAAAAATAAAAAGAACTACTTACCTGAAAACGAAGTTTCTACATGCTGACCTGAAATTAGTTATATTGCTATTAGTTTGGGCGGGAAAATTTAAGTCTGGCTAGAACAGACAGTTTGACTTGCGACCCTGTATAAATTTATTCTAATAAAAATATAATAAATAGCATTTTTTAACGGATTGGTTTAGTTTTTAAAAAGTTTGATTATATTTCATTTTGATATGATCACCATTTGACAGTACTTTGCTGAAAAGAATATGTCTCTGTTGACTAATTTCATAATATAAAATATATATGTATTTTATATATTATATAATTAAATTAAAATAAGGGTCTCAAAATTTTAATTCATATTTGAGTACAAAATAAAATACAATAATGGTCTAAAATACATAATTAAGCTATAATTTTATCTTGACGTTAACTGAAAAGGTAATGCAATGTCCTACTGAACTAATTATTGTTTATTTATTATAGCCTGAAGAAGTATCGTTAGCAAACCAGTATGGTCTGGGCGGCGGGCGAAGTGGTGGCACGTCCCCATCTCGCAATCCAGGACAGCGGGGCCGCGCGTCATCCTCAGTGGGGCCAATGCGTCGTCCAGCGGACCGAAAACATGATACCAGTCCTTATGGAAGTACCGTCTACTTAAGGTAAATAAAAAACATAACATTAATTTCTGTCTCAATATGACAGGGTTAGCGTAGCTATTCCTTTAAAAGAGCCAAACACACGAATGACTATTCAGAAGAGCTTCAATTTAATTGTTGTAGAGACGCCTGTACTCTTAGTTTTTTGGTGAGTTAATATCGTTATTTTCTTCAGCAGAGAGTTTATTTCTAACAATTAAATTGAAGCTCTTCTGAATAGTCATTTGTGTGTTTGGCTCTTTTAAAGGTATGTTGTTAGCAATATATTTTCAGCTAAAATATGTATGAATACGAACTACCAGACAGAGTGTATTGATTATAAACAAAATGTGAAATAGACGGTTGATCGAGTAACTAAATAAATCATTCGCAGTGATTAGAGCAGACAAGTCCCTGCAAGCAGCGTATACATTTTTTAATGTATGATAATCTAACAATTTACGATGGTGCCCCAGTGGAGCATAAAATGAGCATGAGGTCAGATCTGTTGGCCCATCGTGGCAAATTTACGAGGAACTTATCACGATGGTTTCCAGGGGAAAACGCGTGTAGCTTAAAATGACATAGTACACTGCTTAGTCTAATTGACACACAAAGTATTTGAATATGTTGGTCAGATTTGAACTCACGACCTCTTGGGTGTAATTCTGGGCAGTAGACCACTAGGCCATGACGCCATATTTTATAGACTGCTTATGAATACTATCTCAAGCTACTCGTCTTGGTTTACTATATAGTTTTATAGTGTACTAGCTTTTCCTCCCATTTCCCTCACGGTAGTGTTGATCTTGTCAATTTATTAATTATAAACAATATTTCCGCAAAGTATGGACTAAATCGAAGAAATAAGAAGAAAAAAATTACCACTACCTCACCCCAACCGTATAAGTTTCTCGAGAAATATTTGCAGTTTATATTTTCCTTTAACATTTGCTCACATTATCAGGTTTTATCGACGGCCCGTGGCAAGGAAATTTGCACATTTTCAAAGATACCAATGACCCAATCGCACGGCATTGTTGGCACGGACCGTCCAACTCTTATAGTGAATGTACTTAGTCTGTTTCGGCATCCGGGGTTGAAAAGGAGTGGTGACACATTGTATGCTTATAGTATAATCAATCATGTGGACATCAATTAACATACAATCAAGTCAAGTTATTTTACTTGAGTCCAGTTGTCCTGTTAAGGAGTTCGCGTGTTTTAAACAAGGGAAACTGACTTAATTTTCGGATCTGTACATACTAAAAACAAATCTTCGAGCATGATTAGCAGTCTTAAACAAGGCAACAATAGTTTTTAACGTAACATTTTACACATGAAATAGTAAGTAATTAGATACACAAATTTGAATTTTTTGTACACAAAGGTCTGTAAGAGCTGTGTTAGTAACCGAATGACAAGGTGATTTCATAACTATTTTACAATACTTTCATGCCTGTTGTGAAACAATACAATTTCGAATTTATAAACAGTACAAAAGATCATAAATAAACAGTCGAATGAGTTTAACTTAAATTTGATAATGTGTTAACCTAATTCGGTGAGCTATATGAGATATTGACGCCCGTAACTTCGTCTGCGTAGAAATAGTAGTACGTTATCTATTCCTCTCTCTTCTTTCGACAGGTCTGTGAGGTACATACTTTTAGTTATATATATTAACTAAAAGTAGGTACCTCACAGACCTGTAGTAGTTAGGCTATAGATATTTATTTGACTTTGATGTACATAATAATGTACATACAGTAGATTTGGCGAACTTATTTTTTTAATTGATTGATATTGGAGTAATGGATAATTGGTACTCCTGTCTGCGCTAACGATATACACTGGCGGGGCACCAGTGGAGGATGATAAGATGAGGTCAGATGAGTTAACCCATTGTGGCAAATTCACTTGTCTCGATGATCTCCAGAGGAAACCGTGTGCAGGTCAAACTGACATTGTACATTGCTAGCAGTGTGGCTATTTGTCCACATTGTCCTATTAGTAGCCCAATCCCCTCTCCATGCGGCATTTTTCTGCATCAAACTGTACTGATAGTAATTGAAATGTGTAATAATATAATAATAATTTTCTACCAGTCAACCATAGATAGTTTAGAGAATAATTGTTCATATAATACGTTATGTATTTTGATAAGTCTGGATCATTCCCGAATGAGTATAATTGGAAAGATGTAATAAAATTGCGGAATCATTATTTGTCTTACAAAACTGTGTTTTCAAAAATGTTTAATCAATTTTTAAAAAGTTATATATACATGTTAAAATGAAATAATGCGTTTAGAAAATAACCTCTAAGTAATAGTATATCTTACTTTAGTAGTCATCGTTTTCCAATACGAACTTTTATATCGTATTTCATCCCATTCAAGTTATATTATAACGACAAGAAATATCCTGTGACCGTCGCAGAATATTGACATTTATAAATAATTAGCTGTACCCGGTGTTTCACCCACATAAAATTATAGTCTGTGTGTTATTCTGATGTATTAATTATATTACTGTAACGTTTCATCAAGATCCGTTCAGTGGTTTTTGCATGAAAGAGTAACAAACATCCATCTATCCATCCCTACGCAAACATATGCAAACTTTCGCGTTTATAATATTAGTAACATATATTGATTTTTAACCCCTTAATGTTATATTATGTCAATACCATAATGCACTCCCATTTATTATCGAAGGTCACGCAGACAATGTTACCGGCATTCGCCAGTAATTAATATTGTGACAGCAGTTAATTAATGCGACGCGGCAGGCTAGTAATGTGTATTTTTTATGTTTAATTACTAAAACTATATTCAAACTCATATAATAAGTGCTATATAGTAATATACGTTAATATAGACCTAGTTGCATGTTTCTTCGTAAATTGTAGGTCTTTTTTTAACGGCGTTAAAAAAAGTTTGTTTGATGTGACAGTTGTAGCTGCTAAACGATCGATTGCAATGCGTTTTTTTTTGTTTTGAAACAGACGTGATTGAGATGTTGTAATTTTATAGTTTTTTTTATATTATAAACTTTACAATTGTTAGTTCTTTATTGTAAAATAATTTGTGACTATAATTCTGTACTATATACTGTACTATGTAGTTTAAATTGTTCTCAGAATTCCATTCATTATGAATATGAATATATATAGAGTACAAATAAAAAAGGAAACACGCAGCTTTATATATGTGGCCTGGCATTGAATATATTGTCTAAAAAAATCGAAAGGAAGCAAGTGTGTGTATTCAAGGGCAATTAGGTAGCTTTTTAAAAAAGATATATTGTGATGACATAATGTAAAGAATAACAATAATGTATATGTTATATTAAGGCAATATATATTTTAATTGTCTTTGAATATAAATGCAATATATATTTCAATCCAATGCAGTTTTGTACCTTTATTCTGATATTACTTTCAATATCCACAAATTGGCACTTACCAATTGTTAATGTAAAATACAATAGTAATTAAACTTACATGATAAGCCTGGCTGATCTTGCAACGGTAATTTTTTGACATCTGGCGTCCAATATGCTAGTATGCCACTTACGCGATAAAAGAAAGGTATGTTCCACATTCACGCAATATATTTTATTTATAGGTAATTACAAAATTAAGTAACCTAGATAAATGAAAATGCGTTTGATCTGCTAAAACTATAGACGCAACAATTATTCATGAAATTTGATCATACATGATGACAGAAAGGGAGATTTCAATTATTAAAGCCGTGTTGTGATAGACTTAGAATACTTTTTTATCCTTAGGACATCGTAGAAGTCGATAAGCGGACAAACTACATTTCACTAGGTTGCCCTAGTGCCCTAGCAAGGAAAACTAGAAGAAATAAAAACCAAACATTAGTATGTTGTACTAAACGAATATTTTCCTATTATTATTATTTACAACGACTGTAATGGTGTGGAATGGTAATCATCGTAGTTACGCAGATAAAATTGCGAACAGAAACCGGTGTCTAATAACCCCCATCACTAACACCTTCGTTGTTATATCTGTATTTTTAAATAAATATAATATATATGTGACTAACATATATCCATATATAATATAGTAAATCGCTGCATCTCGAAATATAGATTCTATTTGTGAGCATTAACTAAAAAAGTTTTAATAGGAAAAAAAAGCTATAAGGTTTTTAAAAAGTAATTATTTGTTACAGTCCTCCGCCTGATAGCAATTGGCGGCGAACAAATTCAGACTCGGCGCTTCACCAGTCGTGCGGCGGCGAGCAGCAAGTGGCCACTCAGCCGCTGTCACCACACCACCCTCTTCATTCCCACGCACATCCGCATCTACATCCACACCAGAATCACCGGAGAAGTAAGATATTATTTTGTAAATATAAATAACCCTGTACCGTTCACACACATATGATCCCGAGCTAAGCAGAGTTTGTGTTATAGCTAGTACCTATACCTATACATAGGTGATGGATATACTTAATTAAATTTGTATTTATATACATACATAATACATAGAACCCCGACCAGTATTAGACAATCATACTCATGAATACAAATGTTTGCATTGTGCGAAGAATAGACAAAAAATAAATAAGTATAAAACTATTACTTATATTAATGTATAGTATGTATCTATATACTTAAGAATGCCTTACTATCGTAGTAACCTACCACTTTAAAAATATACCAAGAATGTTTACTAAATCTACCAAAAACTAATAGTCTTACAAGTGAGACAACTTATCTTACAGTGTAAAGTAGCAAACTGAAATATTGTACCAACTGAACATTCGTTAATATAATTTATTTTACAATCTGGCAAACTATTTGCATATATTTGGCTGATATATAATATTGTTTACACTTTTGTTTAAAGACAGAGTTTGCGAGAATAATTTATTTGTAATAAGATTTCTTAGAAACAAGAAATAATATGTACCCGAAATTCTATATCTGTATTAAAAAACCCAGTTACAACTAATTTATCTCAGCTATTGTTATTTTGTTATTAATAAAACATAAAAAACAATTGCTAAATTATGATACGATTCGTAAAATAATCGTTGACGATTCATTATAGGCAACAGTAACCTACTAGTATATAGCTATTGTATATCATTGACCTTCGGCCAAGATAATACACATAACTTTGACCTTGGTAGGTCAATGTTATATAGAGACGAATATAATTTCACATGGTCGTAAAAAACCTGACGGACTCATATTTTTGGTGGTATTCGTAGTTTTTCACAATTGGTGAGCAATGAATATACACAATATATGAATAAGAATTTGTCTACAATGCAATTTATACCCGATTCAATATAATTTCCTTTAGAAATAAATATCTATAAAGACCTCTTATCCTAAAATTACTATGGGACTGGCAGAATGCTAACCGTAGCGAATTCGTGAAATATGCTTGATTGTTTGAAAGTACGTGACTTAATTACTAAATGGTATCCATAACTTTGTCCGTGTGATAATTGAATGACTTCATAATCAATACGTGTTTGTGGTTCTTTAGGTTTCGGTAAAAAAATTGACACAAGTCTATCTGTTTTTTCTTCACCGAGACTTTGTAAAGAGTCATCTGCTTGGATACTTCGGTCTCACGTATTTCAGCTGCCATGCAGCTTGCTTTTTAAACAGTTGGTTGTAGAGTGAGATAAGGCAATGATTACAGGATAAGAAGCATAACATCTTAATTTTTCGGATAACGTATGTCGTAGCCCTATTAATGTGTATCGGCAACGGTTATGCTTACCATTAGGTAGGTAGTCAGTTTATTTGCGATTCCAATTACAAAAAATATATATTAGCTGTTTAAATATATGAAATAACAGAATAAAGTTACTAAGGTATAATCTCTTTCGTAAAATGGGCAATTTATTTACAGCTATATACCTGTAAAAATTAGTTTGATTTGATCAAACTAATTTTATACAGGTATATAGCTGACAGTTACGATTAGTCACAATCACCGTCAGTGGGAAACACAACAACACAATAGTCATCTAAACTATATTGTATATTAGACATTGAAGTAGGAATCTAATTACAATGTTACCGCTAACAGGATAATCAGAGTTTCTGTAAAAAAATACATATAATAGCTGTATATTGATTATGACATAAGTGAAATGTGTTATTTCTGTCTATACTAGTACTTAATTCTAGCTTTCGATAAAATCGTGTGTGACTCCTTAAATTACGTATACAATAATTAACTTAAAAAATAATAAATGTAGAATTCTGTCTACTCCATAATTTTAAACAGGCCCCAAGTTAAAATACCAGAAGCGCAAATTTTGGAAACTATCTATTCTATAATTGATAGCATTCTGGTTGTATTATAATACCCCATTAATTTACTGGTAGATTTCTCAAAATATGCTCTAAAAAATAGGCCGTTGTGATCGTAAGTCATTTATAAAAAACTACATTTTTTATAAATGACGTACGTGTAATATTTATCAATAATGTAGTAAAATAGTAGTAAAAAATATATGAAAAATATATTTTATATATTTCATTCGAATATTATAAAATTACTGAAAAGTACTTACACTTTTTATAAATTAATAAGTATTTTCTAACAACATACGCGATTCTCTTCTTTTCAGATCAATTGAAATTAGATGTTAATATTATTACAGTACAGTTGGAGCAATTTAGTTAAATAATTTCCTTGTGACTACTTTTATGAATAATGCTTAAGTCAGTACATATGTAAACAATATATTTATTACTGTCAAGAAGGGAAATTCTTATGAAAAAAATATTTAATTATCTATATTTTTTATTTACTATCTCTACCTTCCAGTTTGGCTACTTTATCTATTAAATTACTTATCGGGAACACGATATGTAACATCCAAATTTGAACCACTAGATTCCTAAATTGGAAGAATGCAGACCCTGGTTTAGGGTCTGCATTAACATCGTCTAAATTTAGTATTTACTTTTATTAGTTTAAGTTCCTTTAATAACAGTTTAATATTCATTAGTATGTCAAAAAATAGGCCATTTCCTCATGCTTGTGAACGAATTCGTGAGCTTAGTTTAATAATAAATTAATTCAATTTATCTTCTGTATACAGCTGCCGACATACACCTCGATGTGCTGACGACGCTGGGAATGAACCCAACGAGTCGTCCCAGATCCTCTTGCGAAATACCTAGAATACCAAACAATAACAAGTTAGTGGGTTTTTTTGTTATTTTTGCATACCTCAACACTTTTCCATATGCAAAAATTAATAATTGTCAATAACCACATTATGACCTGTTTATTTCTACGAACTGTATTATAGAAAAATGTTTACTAAATAATTCCAAGACAGTTATTAATATCATGTGAAGTAGATAATAAGGTAAAGTTAGACCTAGTAAATATGTTAAATCTTATTTGAAAACGGGAATTTGGACCGACGTCACCAAACTTTACTAATTCCTTGGAATTTTATGTTGTTGCCTTACAATACTTGCTTGTATTAAATACATAAAAAAATATACAATTCAGTTAATTAAATTCTCGATCTAAATGTAACTTTATTCATTATTCTGACAACTATGTCCTTGCAAAGAAACTGCATTAGAGCCTTTGTCGTTCAAATCGAAAATCTAATATTTTCGAACTTTAAACTTGTAATCAAATGACACAAAAGTTATGTAATTCCAATAGATTTTCGGGCCCATTTATCTGGAAATTGGATAATTACGACGGCCAGACCGAGGTTCTAACCCCTTGCAGTGCCCTCAGACATTTTGGTTAATTTTATCTATTAATGATTTTTCGTATCCCTTAGCAGTCGTTGGCCTTCATGCGGTATTGTACTCTCATTTTCGTCCAGTGAAGCAGTAAAAGCCATCTACGGCGAGCAGTAAAAAAAAACTAATGTAATATATTTGAATTAAGGTCTAACTATGTATATTTTCATATCACATATTATAAGAGTAGTAAGTGATGTACCTGCTTGTAAATATAATGCTAATATATTCAAATTGCCATGCGTTCATATTTTATGTATATCGAAGTAACTGAACAAGAAATTTATGGAAACTAAAGCAAATTCCTCGAATTAACTTCAACTACTATTATTAATATGTTTTTTTTATTATCGCGCCCAGAAAACAATGCTATTATTGGAAGCACAGGATTTAAACGTGAAACTTAGTGACGCGATATTTATTATTAATAAATTTCGTAATATGATTTCTCAATAAATGACTAACGCGGATATAGGTTCTTTTATAAAACCATCAAATTTGTATTACGTTACAAAAACCAGCTCTATATATTTTATCGTCATAATAATAATGCACTGTTTTAATTCACGTTCTCTAAGTAATAATTAACCGGTTTACTCTCGATGATTTATGGATGGACTATTCTATACTTGACTTTACTCTTAATGTATTGAAGGTAGATTTTTGCGTGGTTCACCTTTCTAGATAATACACTCTTACGATTGAAGTAGTAATGTGTTGCCTTTCGGTCTTAAGTTTTATGGAGTAGAATATCCTGTGCAATTTTTAATAGTAGGCGGTAACTTATTCCTCAGAAGTAACTTTTTATAAAGTGTGATAGTGAATAAGTAAGTAATGCAGTACTTTACTGGAAATTGAGTAAATACTCGATAGAAATAAAATAATACTAAATAAATTGCTAATTCTAAACACCTTAAATGCGGGATAATGGGAAAGGATTTTAAAAAATTGGATTGTAAATTTAAAACATATGAGAATGTGTGACGTTCAGGACGCATTAGATCGTTTAATATGGAGATTTTTATAGAATATAGCAATGCAGGATTATAATTGTCATTAGGAGACGTTCCCGCATAGAAAGGGACAGTTGGCCGCCTTATTCGTCACCAAGTGGCGGTAGGTATGTACATGACCTGTAGTCTGCTATGCGCATAGTGTTGTTATATATATATTTGATTACAAGTTATCGAAATATACGGTTGTTATATTTTAGGTTGTTATTATTTATTGTTCTTTATTTTATTATATACCGTTCAACCGCTTTAACTGTTTAATGATCAATCTTTGTATTGTAATGTCCCTTTGTCTAAACTTCTGTAGATACAATAATGCTGATTAACACATTACAGATCTAAAAATACATCATTATTTTAGACATGCACATATCCCGCTGAACATAGGATTTCGCCGAAGATTCGTTAAATTAATTTAGGTTCAAAAATGCGTTCCGAATTATATTCGCGTGAATTTTCAATGTAGTTTCCGTATTAGGGATTTTATTCATATATTTCTTCGTATTGGCTCCTAAAATTATACGGATTGTCTTGAACACTTGTTACAAACCTACTTTAATTATTATATATAATATACAGAATTTACTCAATTTATTTTTATAACAAATTCAGGTATGTACCGCTATATGAATGTAGGTACATAAAAGAGTAAACAAATAACATACAAAATGAGTCGCTGGTATATCCAACTACCGCGCTGGAAACAAGCCATTTGGGTCATCAGTAAGGTTTTAATTACATAATTTGGCTAACTATATCGACGGATATTTTAATAAGATGCCATTCCATCTCAAATATCTATGAAACAAAATAGGAATATATATATTTTTAAAGTATAACTTCACTCAGTAGACCCTAACGGTGATATAAACGGTGACAAATTCACCAGAAATTTCTCACGATGGTTTCCAGGGAGAACCGCGTGGAGGTCAACCTGACATGGTACATTGCTAGCAATGGGGTCAACAGTCCACATTACTAACAATCCCCTTCCCCCCCGATACGACTAGTCTGTGATCCGAATTTCGGCTCAAGCCGTCATAATTTCGACCCCGTTTGATTTAGACGAGGGATGGATCGGAAAGAACAGTATGATGGTTTGTGGTTGTAGCGTGTACGAGAGCGGCGGGGACGGCGGGGGCGGCGGCGGCGGAGGCGGGGGGGCGGCGGGCGGGCTGGCGTGCGGCGAGCTGCAGGTGCCGGGCGGCTCGCTGCCCGACCTCACCTCCGTGCACTTCCCGCCGCCGCACTACATGCAGCATCGGAACTCGCCCGACTACCACCAGCTCAGATACGTGAGTACACATGACGCTGTTCTCGTGCTACCGAGCATATATTGTTTGTATCGTTACAAATAATGTGTTTTGATAGAAACGAATACCGCTGTAACGATATTTATATTATTCTTCAAATCTGTTTTCATATATGACCTAAAATAAAAATTTCCTTTTCATCCATCCATCCATCCATAAAATCCAACACTGAACCTCTTATATGTTTAGTCCTAATTTTATTGACCTCCGATTAAGGAGGGAGGGTCTCTCCTTTCTTCTAACCTCCCTCCCATAGTACAATACAATAACGCGTTCCGAGTGCAAATGGGCTTGCCGCGGTCTTGCGTAAGTTTAATATGTTTGCTGAAGCGAGTGTAGATGGTTTTAATGCAAAATTAGTACTTCACTGCTCAGCCACATCCGCGCCAATTCATACAGTATTCTGAGCGTATATCAGACCGTTGGGACTACTATGAAATTGTAACTAACTCTGTTGATTATAATCAGAAATAAATATTATTATTATAGTTGTTTACGTATATAGGCAACGGCTGCCCGTATGATTGCACTTGCACTACTGGCCGTCAGCTTGTTTATGCTCGCCATTCCAATTACATAATTAATTACAATAAACAAGTTATATATGTACTGATTTTAAGCATTACATTATTCAATCCTGTGTTAAGTCAAGTTTCCAAGACCCACTATTTATCCCGATTGCTAGTTTCTTTGTTTGTTTGTGTTACTTTATTATACAGGTTATGTATAAAAGGTTCAAAATGGCTTATAAAATAAATGGGTACAATGGGGAACTTATTCCAGAAGATAAATTTCTTCCATTAATTCAAAGTTTGAGTGATTGAAAATAGATTTTCTTTTTGATTGTGGAGTGTGAATAGTGAAGTGGTGGAAACAGGTACAGTAACTAATACACAATGTAATATATGCAAACATATTTAAATTAATATAATATTTTGTAAATAAGTGGAGTATTACAAGCGGGCAGTCCAAGAGCGGCAAGAAAAGTGCGTAGCTGTATTTATTGGTCATTGGTGTATGGTCGTATGGTGGTATCTCAGAGTCCGACGTCCCCGGGCGCGGTGTCCCCGAGCGGCGGCAGCGTGTCCCCCGCGACGGGCGGGCTGTCCCCCGCGTCGGGCTCCCCGGTGGGCGCCACCGTCCCGCTCACCGCCCTGCACTCGCACCACCACCACCACGACCACACGCTCTACGACGCGCAGGTAACTCGCCGGACTCACGCACGCGCACGCATTACTACGCATGGCTGATGACGCTGTTAGCCGGTGTTGAAGCGTGGTTTTGAATAGATGATAATGTAATAAATAACTCATGATTTGTCACACAGCAGTATAATAATAATCTCAAGACATTTTACACAGCGCCATCTAGATCCACATTAAGCTAGCTAGTGCTTGTGTTATGGGTACTAGACAACTGATACATATTTTTTTTGTAATTACATACATATTTTGTATAGAAAACACCCAGAGTACGATTGTTTGTATCGGGGATACAAATAATCGTACTCATGAATAAAATTTTTTGTGCCGTGCGAGAATCGAACACGCGACTATTGGAAGTAAGGCGGTGTGCTAAACCGCTAGACCACCGAGGCCGTGTACACAAGTATACGTGCAGTATACGAATATAGTTCGGACTAAGCTGAACTTGTACTATAAGTTAGTAAATTTTCAACAATTTCTTCCTATTAAAAACTAGTCATCTTTAATAGAAAGAAATAGATTGCATTATTTTTTTATGATTTAATTTATAATCTTAAAAAGAAAGGAACTTATTTATTGTTTAAACCTATTTTTACAGTTTAGTCTAAAAATTGTAATTCTAAATACTAATATTGTATATATTAAATTTATGTGATTCCTTCATAATATTGAACTGATCTACTCAATGATGAACTGATGTATTGTTTTATATGTATTTTGTAAATACTATATTATAATAAAATAATATATCACATACACATCATAAGTGTATAGATCATAGGAAGAGGAAAGATGGGTGTAAAACAGTCAAACCACAGAGGGTTTTATGTTATATGTGGAACCATATTTCAATATCTGTGTATTAGTGATATCGGTAGAACGCGAAGTGTCTCATTTATGTGCACAAACCATGTATTCAAAAACATTGAAGCCCTGAACTACGGCGTCACGTTGATACTTACGTGTGAGAGAGTACAGGTATCAACGCGATAGCGTTTCAGCAATATCTGACCTGTTACGAATATTGAAAAAAAAAAAACATCTTATGAACGGTCATATTATTTAAAAGGAAGGGGTGGATAATTATCTTTTACACCGGCATTATTATGTATGGATGTAAATATGTCAATCTTTTGATTCATACTGATATATTACAAAACTGTGTTGTTGGTTTGATACCGTTTCTGAGCTGAACGGATCTTAATGAAATTTTATCTAAACATAGATTGCTACGAGGCCTTTGCTCATAGGCTTCTATCTCGGAAATGAGGACAAGGTCGTTATTTTATAAATCCATAAAATTACCGAAAATTCAGTAGTAGGCCTTGAATTTTCAAACGCAAATTGTCTGTTTAGGCATTTAAACTTATTTATATCTTTACGAGATAGTTAATTAATTTTCGCAGAATATCTGTGATTTGTTAGTTATTGAACCTGGTCTTTAGATTAATCATCGGGGGTAATTTTGCAACGTTTAGCAAATCGAAAACTATAACTTTTAAATGTTACATTAAATAAAACGTAATATATATATATTTCTTTACCGTTTCGTCGTTCAAAAGTTCATTGAAAATCCAGGAAACTTTTATTATAAGTTTGTGTGAAAACTTTATTTCCTAATATAAAATATATGTTTTACATCAATCAACTTTAAAAAACAACCTAGGTAATAAATTATTGAAAAAAAATATTTGTTACATTTTGTTTATTTAATAATAAATATTTATATTATACAATAAATTTGTGTAAAATGCATTAACATAAAAGCGACTACTCAATTGTAACATATATTTTTTTAAGATGTAAATATGGAAGTAAATTCGTAAAATTATGGAAATAATCAAACAAAAGTTATGTTAATTAAATAATATATTGGATGGAATAGAATGTCATGAAAATTGTAAAAATTTGTTTGATTTATACCGCTTTTGCAACTAAAATCAGGGCATGCATTAAACCTAAAATTAAAATAAATGTAGTATTTATTTTTCATACATTTATAATAAAGAAAATTATAAAAATACTATCTATCGGCAGCTCTGTTTGCGTTATTTACAATGACAGGTTTAAGGGGGTCTTCCTATGTGATGGGTCGAAAAAATCGATTTTTTTTTTTTCATAAATTGCTCCCTTAACATGTCTAGAATACGGTAGTAAAGCGATTTTAGAAAATTCGAAGTCGTTTTAAAGATACAGCAGGTAAAAGAAAGAGCGGTTCGGAGCGGTGAGTTGGCAGTTAGAGACCGGGCCTATTGTGTACCGTCGGCTTTATACCTGGCCTCCCTTTTATTAATATATTTGTTTATACAAGTTTAGACACGTTTCTACAGACTTAAACAGAAATTTCTATTGTTATAATATTTTACCGAAGTTATTTTAGTCTTGGTTGAACTTCGAAGAGAGCAACAGCTACAAATTATTTTTTTTCATAATGAGTGGACGGAAAGGAAGTACGAGTGGAAATGTTCATCCTGGTCGTAGTAAAAAAAGAAAGTTTAGTGGAAACCCTCAGCATCAATTTTGTCCAGAAGGCGAAGACAGTTGGTGTAAATGGCGTAAGGCTGAAGCTAATAATGAACTGGACCAATTTCATCACGATAAACCACCTCTAATTCCGCAAGTCCAAGAAGCTATCAAACCGGTTTTCGAAGATTTATCGAAAGACGAATTATTAATTCGTTGTTTAGGAGCAGAGACACAAAACAATAACGAATCTTTGAATTCTTTGATTTGGACTTTCGCTCCTAAACATCTTCATTCTGGTCCCAAAGTTGTTGAAATTGCTAGCTACTTAGCAGTTATTATCTTTAATGAAGGTTTTCAAGGTATTTTAAAAGTTATGTCGATTATGGGATGCCCTGTTGGTCGTGAAGCCCAAGCGTATGTTGAGAAACGGGATGAAAAGCGAAAAGCGGCGCGTAAGTGATGTCGTTAAACAAGCCAGGATTGACTCAAGAGCTGAACAATCTGCTTTAAAAGAGTTTCACGAGGAAGAGGAAGGAATACTCTATGGACTAGGCATCGCCGATTGAGAGTAAGTTGATATTTTAATAGTTTTTAACGGACTTGAAACTTTAAACGCGTTTTTCTCAAAACTGTGTTTTTCAAACTTTCCTCCATTGTATCTCAGAAACGGCTGGACCGAATTACTTGAAATTTACAGGGCACACTCAATATATGTAAACGCATGGAATGAACTATTATCAATCGAAAATTTTCAAAACTTCGATTTTTTTATAGCAAAAAAAAAAAAAAAAAAACGCCTAATTTGCAACTTTTATTTCAAATGTCTATCAAAAATCCAATTTTTTTTATATTCATTTGATTATAGGTCATTCCGTGCTTTTAAGCCTACAAATTAAAACGCCGTTTTTTTTTTTTTTTCAGATAAGCCGATCAGCCGGAATCGTGGAGGAAGTGGAAGCTCTTTTTTCGAGGCGGGGGTGTTCAGAGCGCTGTAACTCTAGTTTGACTGAATATTTTTAGCTGAAATTTTATATTTATACTGTCCAAATATGTGTTAATAAATGATAAAAAACTTGAAGCTCTAAATATTTACTGGTCGTAGAAAAAAAATCCTAAAATATCCCTAAAAAACAGGCCGTCACATAGGAAGACCCCTTAATAAATAATATATAAGTAATCTACATATCTATGAATTTTACGTCCTATTTGGCAGACCTACTACTACAATTACTCATAAAGTTTTATAAAACCAGTCAAGCGGTTTCGTAGGAGATTTGTTATAAATACTGTGACACGAGAATATTATTTATTACAACTTTTATATATATCTAGGATTATAATCAATTTAAATGATAAAATTTTGTATATAAACTAAATCTTAGTTACTATCAATAAGTTTAGATTTATTTTTAAATATCAAACTTTCGGTTCAGTCCAGTATAATGCGGATATAAATAATGATGTGCCTTATCAAATAACACAGGCTTTGGTACATAACACATGATTTTGATGAGACCATACTACTCTGTTAGCCGTTAACATATTGTTATGTTGTTGTTGTTTTCTTTTGTTTTGTGATTATTTTGCTTTCTACACAATTCATTTTTTGTTTATTTCAGAATCACTTATCTGTACCAAACACAAATAATTATCTCCATCATAATAAGGTTCGTTTTCTTTTATAACCAGTTCCTAATTTTTTTCCAGTTCATATAAATAAAAACAGTTGCTTGAATGCTTCAATGCTATTCATTCTCAATGCCATGTTTTTTAATATGAAGCCACCATTGGCAGCTATTATTTTATTCTCTTCAAAAATCATAACTGTTTGTTATGTGTACTACTCAATTATCATTTTTAATGATAACAATTCAGATCCTATTACTTTGACAATAATTAATCTGCATGTTCCTCTTCTTATTGCGCTTTTTTTTTAAATAATATTATTAACTATTTCATGTTATAGATTTCAACATAATATATTTGCAATTATGTGTATTTGTTTTATTTTGTATTTTAATATTATTCTTTCTTTTATTATTAGTATATATAATTATTCTTTTATAAAACTGTAATGTACTGTTTAAGTCTTCTAAATTCTAAATTGACTGTTATATGAATGAGTAATAATTTGTATTTTGATATAGCTTAATGCTATATCTGACAGTAGTACATTCCGACTTTTCACACAAATTTTACGAATATCATCTTGAAAAGGCGTTCAAACAACCTACGAGGTTTGTTTATATCTAAACATGCTGTATGCGATACAATCTCTTACACGTATCGCTTAACCACGTAATGGCTATGCACAAGTATTTTAATTGCCTATTATACCTGAACTAATTCCATAATAATATGTTTACTTGAAAGGAAAAAATATAGTATCATTGAGAACCGGGAAACAAAGTAAAATAATAACTCTGTAGTCTTTAATCATTGTATTAATAATTGCGATAGGAAGAAACTTAAAAAAACGTTTTGCTGCAATAAGTCTATAGTATATCGCCTTAACGTGTAAATAATTAACTATTAATCACAATTCACTTCTGGTAATTGGTCATCATTTCATGCATTTGTCATAAACACAATTATAACTTTTATTGACTATAGCCAAAGATTTAAATGATTGTTTTTCTTTTATTAAAGACCATAATTTTATTTTTTAATTTAAATTTCTTTTGACATTTAAAGTAATTTAACAGTATATTCTACCTAATAGACAACCTGTATATTGGTATGTACATTCTATATTCGTCTCTTAATTCGATTTTTATACAACAAACTTTTCTCGAATTCATTTAAATCTTTGATATACTCATTCTGGATTCATATATTAGTATCTACAATATTGACCTTCAAGGTCAGCCTTAATGCGTTAAGGTTTCACTTTTTATTCTGAGCTTTGTCCACTTTCTAATTGCATGTCTGGCTAGCTTAAATTCAAGTAATACTACTTCGAAAAGCCTTTTAATAATTTATCTAAGTTAATGCGTGATGCATTGAAATATAAATGTACATCAATCATCAAACAATCACGCTATTTTCGTTCTTAATACCATGGCTTTAAAGTTCGCTTTTATATGTTAAGTTTTACATTCTGCCTGCTTTCAGAACATGTCACCTTTGGACCACAGTGGCTGGATTACATCGAGTTACCAGTCCCACTGTAGTCCGCCCTCACAATATTCATCGACATCGAATATAAATATACCTTCGCCGACGGTAAATATAGCATTTATATTTTATTTTTATTTATTTGCTTAGAGAAGCTAATTATAAAACTGGTGTTAAGAAAATTAAAAGCGGAACAATGTAAGGTAAATAATACCAGTCCTTTTCACTTATCAAAACGCCTTAGCAAATGCTATTAGGAACAAGCTAAAATGCGGTCATCAAAATATGTTATACTCTATTATTTATATTATTAACTAGGTTTAACACAAATCATTTTATGGCAAATAAAGGTTAAATTAAGTTAACTTACCTCTTTCGACGTTTCGACTAGGTTGCACTAGCCATAGTCATGAACTGACTGGAGTTAAGACCGTGTTGTTACCGTACTTACTGTAGTGTTAAGGCCCGTTTAATAATATGAATAATGTATATTAAACACGAAAGTTAACTAAACTAAAGTAAAATTAACTATCTTATAATCCACACTCTGTATTTGTTCAAATGGATACATTTTTTCATTTCAGTCTAGTGTTTTGCTCTATAATTTTTTAACACTACCGTAAATAATAATAAAGTAAATATATTTGAATTTCAGATGGTACACAGTCCAGGAAGTCCTGTGGAGTCACCACAAACAGATTATAACAATCTACACCAAGTATTGTTACAACCCTTTGAGCAAATCACAATGGTGAGTTTTCATATATTGAATATTAATTGTTGTATTGAAAGCTCGATATTAAATCTATGCATATTATATTCATAAATTATATAGGCATGCAGTCACAAACGAATAATTAGATAACAATGTTGACTACGATATAGAAAACAAGCAATCAATAAAATTAAAACAATATATTTAATATCAGATGTGATAATTACATATATAACACAATGGCTTACTATAAAACAAACTCACATACATATTTATTAATAGTTAAAAAATAACTTACAACTATTTTTATTATTCTATACTATTAATAAACTAAATTACATTTAGTTAAACCTATGCATTACTATTATAGACCCAAAAAGATATGTCTGTTTGCTTATAAATTCCCAAGTTTTTTACATTTATACACGTTTATACATTTCTATGCTTCAATGGATTAGCAAGGAGTTGTAAGTAATATGTAGATGTACACTTAGATATGTCAATGACTTGCTTTATAACCCAGAAACAAAAATTAGCACAAATTGTTAATTGCAATATATAATATATAAGTGCCGAAATATAAAATTAAATATATAAATATAACAAATGTTTTCCGGCACGAGTTCAAAAAAAATTCACTCAACAAATTGCACAATTCAACAGATCAGCACAGCATAAAGAAACTAGCACTATAGAGGCAGTATTAATATAATTATATCGGTATATAATTTGAATATTAAAGTAATTGTGTCTGGAGAATACAAAGTAATAAACGAAACACCTATGATGACTATTAAAGTATATATGGTATATCATTTAATTATTAACATTAATAGCTATTAAAGCTAATTACTCCAAACCCATTTACTATTTATATATTATCAATGTATAAGATTAATTACAATAACAGGTTACAATATGTTAAAATAATATTTTTCCGGAAGTACTTAATACACTCGTATTGAATTAATATCAAATCTTATAAAATTTACAGCGATATTTAACACTTTTGATTCTTCTCCCGGTAGATACCTTGCGCCTATTTTGTTCTAATGTTAATTAAAAATTAATATTTTTCACTTTCTATAAGATTATATCTTAATTTAATAAATCTTAAATTAAAAATAAATTTATCAATTATTTCTGTTCAAATCTTACGCACATTGAAGTGTACTAATCAATTTGATAACAGATACAATTAAAAATAAATCCCGCTGAATACATATGTGTTTGAAAACAGCAAACACAGCGCACAGTTGTGGTGGAAAACAGCACAGCAACATAGTATTCTTGTTGTCTCGCTGTTTATAGTGACAACTGACTGACTAGAATGGTTTGTGATACCATGTTAGCTACAAATCTGCCTAATAGTGTGGACACACAAGTTCTTTTATTACGACAATACGATTTCTATAACACACAACTAATTGGTCGATAAATATTTCATCTTGAACACACTACGACTCTTTTTAGAACCAACCATTAAAAATATCATTTTATTTATATACAATTAGACACAGAGTCAAATATTACTTTTACATGATTTAATGGTGTTGAATATCGCAAATAAATGATAATCCTCATGCTGTTTATGATTTATTAACATATCTTATTCATTTATACATATGGTAACCATATACGGCAATATATACAATACATGCAGTGATAAATCAGTTGTACCATCTGTTAAACACGCAATTATAAATACACAAAAATAATACGATCCAATTAAATTTACTTATGTCACGTTATTAATAGCGTTGTCGTTGTCATATGGTATGGTCACAGTATTACAAAATATAGTAGCGCGACGCGTTGTATGTCTGTGGTACAACTGTATACTATACACTGAGTATTGTGCCAGCTACTGTGCGTGTACTGTACGTATCCGAGTGTAACGTTGGTGGATGTTGGCCAAGGACTGGGCGCAGTTGGTGCAGAGTCTCGTCGAGTCAGGCTGGACCGCGCACGTCCAAGTCGCGGAAAATGTACGACACCCCTCACACACACTCACTATTACAGAATAGGAAACGCCTTTACTAAAAATTATACTAGGTTTTGTTACTCTTGTATTATTTTGATATTTATTGATATATGAAAATTTATCTGATAGTTACTCAGTTGAATTCATCGCGACATTTATGAGTATAATACATTAATCATATCTAACAACTTTGAAACTTGTGTTATTTAATTAAATACTTAAAATGGTTTAATTTAATATATAGTATCTTATACTTTTATCTTAATCAATATTTCAAAATAGTTTTTCTTAACTGTACTGTACCATGTTTAATTAACCATATGTAAGTTTCTTGATTAAACATATATAATTTCTAGTAAAGGCATTTATTTCTTCAGTAGAAAGGGAATGCAGAGTTCCAAATTAGTAATGAGCTTTGTTGCACCTGTATTCTCCTTTCTTACCTAGCGAGGTGTCAATATTCCTTAAATTTATAGACTTCTATATTTTTAGACTATACTATTGAGACATTCAAATTATATAATTATAAGTGGGCTGTGAATTAAAAAAAATATTGACGCCTTTATTTTATCCTGCCGTAACAGGGCATAATATATTATACTATATTATTTTACAATTTATTAACCTTTCAATACTTTATTTATTATGTCACGCTGTATTCTACAAAATATAGTTTAGTAAAATAGTCACACCATTATGTTTAATTTTAGTGATTACTTTGTAATGTGACTTGTGCTGTTAAAATAGTGCTATTGTGGTTGGATTCTGTTATTTTTATCGTTTCAGTAAGTTTGCAGTTTACATTTATAATTGATAATTATTTTGTAAATGAAATAGGCATCTGAAAAATAAATAAGGACATTGCAGTTATAACCCAATAGTACTATTAATAAGTTAATTTTAATAAATTTAGCTTCAATCGGTAGCATATTATTTTTTTATTATTAAGTCGGCATGTCTCCATATATATCTTATGTTTGCTTGTGTACACTATTTTATACAGGTGTCAGGTGCAAAATTATTAAGGCATTTATGAGTAGTGAAGATATTATAGAGAATCCTTTACAATGTAGGTGTAGGCACAATATTCTGGCATGTAATTAAGTCATAAATGTACAAAATAATGAAGCATGATCAGTTAGTTTCCTATAATGTTTATATAAGGTGCCTTTCACTATTACGATTTTATTTAATATCTCAATGTTTTCTTATTATTTTAAATCTGTATACAGTTATCTTATTTTTATACTCCTCTAGCTTGAATTATGATGTTAATAGATCCGCTTCTATTATTATACTTGCGTATATTCAGGATAGTTTTGGTAGATTGTGAAGTTATGGCATTTCTTTCAGGGTTTGCTGCATCTTTCTCGGTGTTTTTTCTTGCTTGCATCAAGTCTGTTATTGAAAATACAGATAATTAATTCATGTTATTTATTCTGCAGATGGATGCGCCTGTTTCCAATTACAATACGACGTATATGAATCATAGTTCGCCACATTCGCCACAGACGACGAATACGCCCCACACGTATTCACAGGTATAATAATATCTTCTAATTAAAAACTACACATATTATTCTCTTTTTACGACAGCGAGAACTTATGCAGTGGTCTTGAGTCGTTATTCCCACTGTAACATTATATCGTCGTATGCTGCTGAGTTTATTGAATAGAGTAGATTAGAATTAGTATATGCCGGACGATATTAAAATATATTATGCCTATTATATTTATTTTCATGTAACTTAATTTGCAACACATTACTAATGCATTGTTACCTTGGGATTCACCAGTTTTCTGTTTACACGGTTAAACGTAAAATGTATGTCCATCAAGCGGGAGTTGGCCTTCAGCCGTTCCATAAGTCTTCCCGCGGGTTTGGAGTTTTATCTGCACTCGCCCCCTATCGTCCGGTGAAGCTGTAAAGGCCAGTTGCGGGCAACAGCATTAGAGTAGTCCTAAAAAAACGTTCGTCGGCAAACGGGCCCTTTAAACCTACACCTGGTTCACAAATCCCAGGGAATCCTCGGAGTTTCACTGTCTGCCATATGATGGAGACGGCACTAAGAAGTTCGTCACTCGCTCGCTGTGAACATGTTGTATATCATGGTTTGTAGGGACTTGAAACAAAATCGTAAGAAGATAGATTTTTTCTAATATTAAACTATAAAAAATAACCGATTTTTTATTCAGAATATGAGATCGGTATCGGTGTGTGGTCTGCAGGCGGCGGGAAGTGTAGGTGAGGAGTCGCGGCGAAGTGCGCGGGATCCAGTACCGGGCGGTGGAGGGTTCGCGGCTCTGCAGCCGCTCGCCTCGCCCTCCGCGCCGCCCACGCCCGCCACGCCCGCCAGCATACCCGACATCATACTCACCGGTGAGACGCAAGCACCACACACCACACACTACCGTAACGACGGTCGCATTTGCCGCTACGTTTCTAACCACTAAACCTCTAAACCACTCAACAGATTTGGAGACGATTTTTCGCTATCACTTCATCCGAAATTGTATTACACTATCACATATATGGACCATAGATTAATAAGTGAGTGTCTGTAATGTATGAAGATGGCATGAATAAAGATATTATGAAAATTTGAATTTATGTTCGTCGTAATTATGCTCGAATTTCGACGACTGAGCGCCAACTAATTTAAATTAAAAATACATTGTTGTGTAACAGATTACTCGGGCGAAATAGACGCGGGCATATTCGGCGGTGAAGAGGCGCAACTGCGCGAAGGCCTCGACCTGGACGACCTCACGCTCCTGGAGGAGCCGAGCGCGCTGCTCCCGGACTCGTCTGTGGAGCACGAGTTCCGGCTCGACCGCTTGTAGTACTGCGCCACCCTCGCCCGCGCGGCCCCGCACCCAGTGGCGCCGCTGTCCGCACTCCGTCTGTATGATTCACAACTATCTACGCGCCCCAACGATACCACGGACGGCCACGTATACAGAGTGGAAGCTTTGCCTGTGCTCATTCTGGAATATTGCAATCGTTGAATTAAAACACGATGAATATAACAATACTGTCGATATCACCGTTGAATTGTATTGAGTGGTGGTATTCGCAATATTATTTGTATTATTCGTTGTTTGTGTTTGAGTAAGATATTTTCAGATTGAACTTTTTCGTAAGCTTACTCTGTGTACGCAGTTTTCTGTGGCATTACCCCACGTTTCTACCAAAATATATAAGAAAATATATTTTTAAAAGATTAACATTTGTGTAAATGGGTATCACAATGTTCACACAAACAAATAATATATTTTATACATATATTATATATGTTGATTGAACCCTGGATAAATATATATACTCTGTTCCAATAGAACTTATAAAAAATGTAAACAAACATTATTACGAAAATGAACAATTTTTGTACCCGTATTTATTTGTTCTACCTTTTAAATTGACTTAAAAAATATTATTTTGCTCACAATTTCCAGAAAAGATGTGAGTCATAATTTAAATACCAATAATAAAATAGTTGATTACTAAATTTTTATTCTATTATATTTAATTTAGTTTTTACATCTTATGACAAACTTAGAAGATTATTTTTCGTAGTACTAAAGTATTTGTAATGATGTATAATTAATTTAAATATAATAAATTGATATATTCATTAGACCAATTGAAGTATTCAATACAATTATTGATTTTTGTTTCATACTGCATTTGACACTAGACTGGTTGAGTCAGTAATCTCTTTGTTTACCTGATTATTAAGTTCTATTTGAATGGCCTATATATGATATATGTTTGGTAGAAACACGGTGTAACGGTGAGGCCGACGTGACGTGACGTGACGTGACGTGACGTGACGAGACGAGATGAGACGAGACTCCCTATACTTCATGACAATTTCTATCGTTTCAAGTCTGAGTTAGTGACCATAGGACTCGGTGTAGCCGCCTGTAGTTATAGTAAGGTTCCGTGAGTGAAGGCCAATTGAGTGATGAGAGCGGGGACGAGCGGTCGCGACTGGTCGACACATTCCCAGCACTGGGCGAGCCCAACACGTTCACAGTAGACTGTAAATTTATGACGAGTGCAAGTGTTCATTGTGGTTTTAACATTTTACTCATGTTTCTAATTCGGAGGGTTAGGTATGTTATAGAATTAGATTTTTTAAATGGTAATCGATCAATAACGACGATTAGTGTACAGCATGAAGTGATTATTTTTTAATTAGTATTGTGAATATTTACTCGAATATCATTAGGGAATTCAATTCGTATTATATGGAGACATTTTTATTAATATTCTATATGTGAGACCGTGTCGGTCGTTTCTTTGTACATAAAACTTGAAAGTGTTCACTTTATTGAAATTGCATTTAAATCGCTAATGTCGCATCGCATTGTTGTTTAAATCATTTGTTCACGTAAAACGAATTGTTAAATTATTAGTTATATTATTCGCGTATTCGTCGCCATCTAAGCTTACGGTTCCTATGACAAAGCTGTTGGTTTGCAAATATTAACTATATTTAATATAGTCGCAGATCAGTTTTAGGATTTGCTATCTATTTATTGAAATTTTAAAATGTATTTTGTCTTAATAATGCTTCTATATAAGTCTATATATATATATTCTATTTTTTAAACCTTTGGGAATATTACAGCAATAATTTTACTTATTGTAATAAACGAATCGAATGTACTATCTCGATTATTAGAAATTATATATTGGAACTGTAGGCTCAGATTACATATGTTACATTTTAAAGAAATGACATTTTGAAATATCTTTCAGCGATTGCTCAACCGTTGACTGAAATTACATATTTAGCATGAATAAACAATTAAAAATCGGCTTTAACTTCATCCAGAAATAATGGCGATATTTGAAAGATTCATTTTTCATTAATATCACAGTATGACCACGTTAACTTAATTCCTTTATACAACTTTTTTAGAATAACAATTTAGCATTGTAAATAAGAGTTGTTGTTAAACATTTTAATAAGCTTTTGTCGCAAACATATCTTTGCCTGTAAACAAATGACAAACTATTCCATTTTTAAATAACTCCTCGGGCTTTTACTGCCTTCTCACCAAAATACTTATTGCAATATGTGTATATGTGTTGTGTTGCGACATGTATTGAATGGAAACGAATCGCTACTTGTACTACTACTAATGGTTTATTTGAGATTTTGTTTGGTTACATATTGTAATTCTCTATTTTAAAATTGACTTCCGCTGAAAGGCACTAGCGTTATTTGTACTAAACTCCGCAGATCTAAAAAATAACTTACCATGCCTATATTTATTCCATAAAAAAGACTGTCAGAAATTGTCAAATCTAATATTATATAATAATATGTTTTCTCGTATCTCTTCTGATGTGTACATACTACTAATAAACTGTAGTATATATATGGTCAACCTAAAGCTTAGTCATATTTAGAAATGGAAGTGTTTGCCACTTGTATTGTATAGGCTTTCTTGTCTATGTAAGTAAGCGTGGGATGCGAGACTCGAAAACGAGGGATTCTTTATTTCATTATTTGGTACAATTTGACAAAAGTCATATTACGTTAGGGTGTCTGTTATGAATACTCGACACCGTTCCCGTGTGTATTTTCACACGTTTAAAAATAACTGACCTAAAACTTTAAGTAGCTATTAAGTTTCTAAAACATTTAGTTATTAGAACGCATTCTGTGCACTCGCAATATTAATTACCATTTAAGTTTCTACCTTCTCTCTTTATAACTGTAATGTACGTTATATGTTAGTGATTTTATTGTAAAGATGAAAAATGTACAAATATATAATTTTAGTGCGGTTAATTTAGAAATTAATATTGCGGACGCACCGACTTGAAAGTAGACACGTGTTTTTTTTTTGTAAATGCTCATTTTATTGTTTTAAGAGTCTAGTCATCAAGTTACGAGTTTCAAATAAAAATAGATCCTGTCTTTCGGCGTAAACAAATGAACCGTTGGTTTATACTGTTTTCATTCCATTCCAAATGAATACAATTCGCATACATCTATGTATGAGTAACGGAATGGTTCGGTTATTAATTAGGTAATAGGTTACTTGTTTGTGTAGATGTGTTTGTACTCTTCTGTTGTTTAACAGTTACACCAATCACAAGTAGTTACTGTTTGAATTTGAGTTGTGAATATTGTGCGCTAAACAATATTCGTGTTGTTAATATGTACCATTTAAAGTTTACTTTCAATTCCGATATAAGGGTATATACTGTATGACAGATGTATGTACTGTATAAAGTAGTTTGTACTATAAATGTGATAAAGTAAAAAGCACAACATAAATCATAGTGAAGCCTAATCAGATGATAAATTAAGTTTCTGTTCTTAAATTTTAAAATAGTGTTTTCTAAATTTATGTACATGTTATAAGCTAGTGTCTGCCAAATGCAGAGGATGTGTGTGACCTGAGACTCTTAGGTTGGACTTTGAGTTGAGTCTGAATCAGGGGCAATATTATGGTGTTTTATATTTTGAAAATTATCGACATGCCATATGATGTGATTCATTATATTAATTCAATGTTATACGAATTGTTACATTATTTTGTTTTGTTTTCTATCTTAAGAGTGCAATGCCAAATTTCAATATTAGTTTTGCTCTACCCAGTAATGTTGTGTTGGACAGTAGGATCAGAGATCTGTGAGTAGGCGACCTATTTTCTATTGCCTCATTGCATTTGATGTACTCATAGTTGTAAAATCTTTTGGTTTCTTTTTTACCTTTTGCATTTTGGAGTTAGGTTACGTATTTAGGTAACGTATAGGGTATAATGTACATGTGCAGGTATGAGATAGCTTTCATTGCCCTTGAAAGCAACGAGACACCAAAATGTGTGATCGACTATTTCTACAAATCCTTTTAACTATTTGATCTATTTGTATGTCATTAAATCTAGGACATAAATGTTTTTTCTCAAATATGCACAAACTTAACGAGGATTTTGCAGTAAACTGTTGCAAAGGTTTGTTTTACCAAATGTACATAATAAGTGTGATAGAGATGAAACAGTCTCATTTAAAATAAAATTGTTGTAAGTATTTAAGTATTTTTACTTAAACCTATAAGTTTGATTACTCGTTAAACCCCTTGTTCCTACTTCATTATGACAGACTATTGTCGTGCCCAGAGTAAGGCATTTCGTCGAGTAAGGAGTTCTTATATGATGAACAAAAGTTTTAAAAGATAATGATTTTAAAGAAAGAAGAAAAATGTGAAATGAACGGTATTTCTTAGTTTACATATAAAGTACTTAAGGTATTTTCAACCAGTTATACACATCAAAGTTATAACACTGACGTCCAGTATAGATGGCTGCTAAGAAGAGCTGGCAAGAAACTTGACTGGTAAATGTGTTAAACGGCCTTTTAATATTTGAACAAAAACTTATTATTACGTATAAGTTTATTTTATTTTGCAAATTGCGTAGCGTACATAAGTTTGCTTATTGAGGTCAATCATGTTACCTACATATTTCTTATTATTAGTTTACTAGTACAGCCAAGACCAAACAGATGTCGTACGTTTCAGACAGACGAATTACCTACCGGGACCAACGTCTTTTCAAAGCATCTAGATTTTTGAAAATATACACACAAAATGTCATCCAAATCGGGCCAACCCTTTAGGAGCAGTTAGATATGTGATACACATGTACCTACAGAAGAATTGTATATGTTACGAGTAAATACGGTTAATTTTTTAGTATTATTATCTGTATAGTTATCCTTTTTGAATTAGATAGGTACTTCGATATTTCATTTTTCTAACGTCTGTCATTCGGCTTGAAGAACATGAAACAAGTGAACTACTGGCAGATAAACTTGTCCTATGGAAACTGCTAGTTACTGTCAGATTTTGTAACAGATTTTATAGTGAATAATTAATAATGAATCGCATTATAATATATTTGTTGGTATTTATTATGTTCCTATTGCCATCATTTTGCAGACCACCGCACGTTGACGAGGAAAATGATAGGTAAAAATTATTATTCGTTTCTAATCAAGGGACTTGATTGTTCAAAATTATTATTTGTGAGCAAGTGAATATATCTTTAATCTTAATATCTATTAGTGAAATGGAGGAGGCAGAATATGAAGACGAGGACGCTGCCGTTGTAGATGATGCTCTGCATGGCGATGAGGATTCTGCACCTAATGATCAGGTGTGAATTTTATATATCACCTACATTTCCTTTAGAGATCATAATACAATTGATATAGTACAACGATCGCTTAAGAGCAACAAGAATATGAACAAAAATCAGTGGTTCTATGGCCGAAATGCTAAGCTTTGTGTAAGCTGTGTTTCGGTTGTAGAATGATTTTTGGCTGTGAAATTACAGGATAAGAACCACGGTATCATGATATGCTCCTCTAGAAAGCCAAGGTATGATTGATACCAATCTAATATTCTAATTCTATAAAATACTATTTCAGTGCGCATTTAATTAATTTGTTGTTACTTTAAGCATTGTTGTTGTTATTGCATGCGTCGTTATAGTGGACTAAATAAAACTAAAATAAGACTTGTGAAGTCAGTCTTGTTTTTTTTTTGTTAAATTGTAACACCGTGGTGAGAAAATTGCATTTCGGATTGTACCCGCGATTGCTACCGTACACCTAAAGATGTACCTAATTTAAATAAAACTGAAAAATGTAATTATACATTCAGGATTATAGTAGTGTGGTTATGAATGAGTAATGCTTTATATATTTTTATCAGTTTTCAGAATACAAGAGGTCAAATGACAATACGGCCAACTTTATAAAATCCAATGACAATATACGAGAACATCCTAAACTCCATCAATCTAACAGACTCATTAAAAATGATGCAAACGATCAGTCAGAAATATTACAGCATTTAGCTAATCGTAATGTTAATAACTATAAAGACAATCGTTTACAAGTAAAAGAATCAGATGAAATCAATAAACAAGTAATTCCAACTGATGAATCTAGCGATGATGGCGATGCTCTGTTCGAACATAGAGATAATGGTCGTGTTCAGCTGACTGATTTTGAGAAAAATAAAAACAATAATGAACCCATCGATTCTAATGAAACTTTTTTACAACCATACTGTAATATTTTAAGGTCTGATAATAAAGGCATCTATGGTTATAAAACTAATAAAAATACAGGTTACAAATTAAATAGAGACAAACGTCGAACGGAAGAAATAAATATACAAGAAACTGAACTTTCATCTGATGTCCTTGACAATAAACAGGTTATTAGTGATAGCACTAAAGAGAACGACGAATCAGCTATTAAACGGCACATAAAAAAATTATCAGGAGAAGAATTAGAAGAGCTTCTGAATTCACTTTCGGAAGACAAAAGAGCGCTGCTAAACAAAATTATGGAGAGTGATCAAAATAGTGAATCGATTAATAAACGTGAAATAACTAAAAAAGCTGGTGCTGTCGAGGAAATCGGTTATTTGGAGAATGGAATTTCAGACTCGAGCAAAATACAAGGATACAGTGCAATTGCAGATAGTACTGAAACGGTATCATCACAAAATACCGACGCAACAGAAAACAATAAAGAGACAGAGAACCAGTCAGAAATGTCTGAAGTATTAACGTCTAAAACCCCCCACCCTGAAGCATTCGAGAGCAAAAGAGAAATACCAAGAAATATTGATGTAAAGCCATCAAATGAAAATTCGAATAATTGTGCATCCACTGTTATAGATAGGAATGATTTTCATATAGAATCTAGTGCACAAATAACTTCTAAAAACGCAAATAAAAGAGAAGCTACTGTGGATAACTTAACTAACGTAGACATATCCTTTGATAACACTAAAATAGAAGACGATTTGAACTTAAAAGATTCACAAGATACTTCTATAGAACAAAATTATATATGCTCAGAAGATGAAGATTTATCGCAATTAATGAACGAGGACGCTCAGTTGTATAATACTGCACATTATAATAAACGTGACACTTATTTTGAGAACCAAAAGGATCTAAGTGATTCCATAAAATCTTTAGAAGAATCGTTCCCAAACGATAATGGTTATGATGACCCTAATCGATATTCCGAATCAAATATGATACCTCTAGTTAGAGTTAAACGAAAGAACGATGAAGTGCCTGTGCAAAAAAGGGCTGCGGCTTTACTGCCAGACCCCAAAGTGGCATATTTCCCCTATAGAGCTGAAAATGATGACGAAGACAATGAGGAAAGCAATGAATTTGAAGACAATGGATTTTATGATAGAACATCTAATTACGCAAAAAATAATGCAAATAAACTTTCTGATTCTGTTATTTCACAGTCTTCAAGAGAAGCCCAGCCCAGTTTGTCAGCTAATATTAATATGAAAAGTGATACTGGTCTTGGGTCTGACACAGATAACGTGTTAATGGGCGTCGAAGGAGTAGACGATAACCTTATGTATAATAGCGGTTCCAGAAAAAGAGACACTACAGAATATAATTCCGAGTCCCAAATATCTAAGAAATCTATACCGTTTTTAGGCCAAGTTTACCAAGCAAATGATAAATTCCGTCTTTTGCCACGAAATTACGAAGGCGATTCAGGCCGTCATAAACGAATAAGATATACCAAATTGTAGCTACCCCATTAGTTTAAACAGAATGCTCCTACTGTTTAAAATCGCAAAATAAATTATACTTCTTAGAAAAGTTTAACTACTCGGACATGTCAATCTTAGTTTGTATTTCTGTTAATTTACATTATTTTAGATTTATTTATAAGACTCACTATGTTCTGTAGTTATTAATATAATTATTACTTACTGAAATATACATATTTAAAACAAACACTTCTTATTCTTATTCTCACCGTATATTAAATTATTTTTATTAATAATTGAAACTAGAAAATATCGTATAATTTATATAAATAAATAGGGGTATACTGCGACTTCGTCAGTTTTTTTGAGATAATAGATAGCCTACATCCGTCTATGCAATACAGTCTATCGTATGTTGTATATCCGATTAGTCCGGAAATTGTAATAAACTAACAGATAAAAATTCACTTTCGCAATCATAGTTTTAGTAATGTATAGAAATGACAGTCACCTCCTCTCTGTTTCAACTTAATCCGCGGTCATGGATTTTAGCTCTTTACTACTATTTATGTGTAGTATATGCATATGCAAGTGAACACCATCCGTTGGCCGACAACCGCAACGGTTGCTGCACCCGTCAAACACAGTCAGTATCGTCGTTGTATTAACGCGTACATATTGTTGTATTTTATATGAAACCCGCCTGCGATAGTGGCATACCTACGTGGCGGAGCATCAGTGTAGAATGATAGTTTGGGAACCAGTTGGATCAATTAGATCATCGTTGACAATTCACCAGCAAAATGACCATGACGGCCCCGTGATCTAAGAGTTTAGCACACTGCCTTACTTTTGATTGTCGCGGGTTCGATTCCTCACACAGCACTCTATTTTATTAGTAAGTATGTTGGGTGTTTTCTATATCACGTATTTATGATTATGATATATCAATTGTCTGTTAATACAATGCAAGCTCTGCTTAGCTTAGGACTAGAGGGCGCTGTGTGTGTTGTCCTAAAATATTGTAATCGTGGGGACAGCGGGAAGCGTGATTCATATGATTTGAAGAATATACATATATACGGACCGTATCTACCAGACCACCCTAAATGGTGCATATAATATAAGTATTTACAAAAGTAATTACAACCTTTTCTTAATTAAATTTTTTTGATAGCCTCAGTCGAAACTTGTAGCTTGTTTAGAAGACAAGGATAATTATATTATGCACATTTCCCGCTGGTAATACCCATCCAATTTGGACTACAATTTGTTCTTTATAATCTGGGTTTGCTTATGTAATGCAGTTGCAATTGATACTCTACAAAAACTGTCGAAACTATTTGACTGTCGTAGTTTACGAATAGTAAAATTCAGTGTACATTTTCATTTATCAAACAATTCAAATTTAGTCTGTTTATTCTAAGATACGATAACATACAGTCTTATATAATGTATGCTCAGTCACACTTGCATATTACGACTTGTATATATTATACTTGCACAAAAAAATCTTTTCAGAACTGTAGATATCTACAGTAGACGTAACAGCAGCATAGAGTTAATAAATAAATACGTTGGGCATATCTTTCTAAATAAAAAGAGCAATATGTAATATCACTAAATAAATAAAATACTTTATATAATGTGGTATAAAAATTTATTACATGGCAAAGTTTGACAAAATTTTAAACAAATTATAATATAACTTGTTAAATAACTTACATTTATGCATTTATATAAAGAAATGTAGATGTGTTAAAAAATCATAAAATATTGTTACGATTAGGACTAGCAATGTTAGCTCGCCTTTAATTCTAAACATTGAAATAAAATAAAATAAACATATTATGCTGACTTAAATACGGAATGGTAAATATAAAGAAGAATATTATTTTTGCGTCACTTTAGTTGAATAAAACTTGTGCTCACGGGAATCACGTGTATGCTTGAATGGTGTACTCGGCGCTTCTATTAGTGTGGCCGGGCAGGCACCATGTACGTGCGATGTGTACTCGCGTTTATAGCTAGTGGTACCATCTCCCAGCATGAAATGTGATGTGTTGCCGTGGCGTGTAACGCGCTCCACTCTTTGAACTCGATCTATATGTTCAGAACGTTCAACTTTCTTTGCATGTTCTGACCGAGAGAAACTGCCATATGAGCGGGCTTCGGATTGTCCATAGAAATCGCCACCAACTCGAAGATTATCTCTAGCAACTATTCGAGGTTGACGTTCTACTGATAAAGTTGACTGACCATCTCTTTTACTTTGACTTCGACGATCCAAGCTCTCAGTATGTTGAGATATAATAGCCATATTATCCCTACCAGAACGATGCATGGAGCTAATACTCTTCCTATCCGAACTGTGAGAAGAATTACTTATATATTCTCCGCGTTCACTAAGATTGCCAATGCTTTTTCGTTGTGCAGCTGCTGTCGAACTAATGGAATGTTGAGCTTCAGTACTAGATGAAATTCCTTTACGATGCAAAACAGCGTTCGTTGAAGAAGTATCAGATACCAAATCCGAGGTGCGTTTGTGATGACCAACGCGAGATGAATTGTTCATTACTGATGAATTGCTGTCGTCACCACCATGCATGGCCTTCTGAAATTCGATGCTCGTTTTAGTTACGCTGTCACTTAATTGACTTCTGTTTACTGTTTGAGAATTAATAGATCTTGAAGTATTCTGTTCCACGTGACTTCCTCTTGAAATATGTGTAGACACATTTCGTCCAATTTCATTAATAGAAGTTGCATGCTGATGTGAATTGTTAATATGATTACCAGAAGAAGATTGCTGAGTTGATCTTACTGTATTTTGTTGTAATTGGCTATCTTGTATAATATTGGAAGTCGATCCTGCCTGTCGTTGGCCGTAATTTGAGGACGACGACTGAGTCGATGCTACCGTCCTCGGTTGGTTATCATCAGTTTTTTTGTTTACATCAGATGTTTTTGTAGATGAAGAACTACTCTCTTGTAAATACGTTTCTTTAGAAACGTGAGTATTTGAATTATTACGATAACTGTGACTTTCCGAAGTAATTTGGCGTTGATGATGAGTTTGGTCGCGGTTATCAATGGAACGTCCAGATGATATATTTCTGTCTGTGATATTCTCGCCGCGTTGTTGTGTGATTGTACCATCATCTATATATCCTTTAGATCCTTTTATATCATTCCCTGGTACTATATTTGTCTCTACATTTCGTGTGACTGTTACCCATTTACCTGCAATGAGTTTCTTTTCTGATATTTGTTTTATTACTTTGGTAGTAGAGATATTTTTGGAAACATTCGAATCAGATTTTTGTATGGAATTCCTATCTGTTACAGATCGCGACGTTAAGCGATCCGTAGAATGGGAAAAGGGAGCTTTGGCAACAACATTTTCTGAGTGTGGCCGGCCTTGAGATTGATTTACTACTTCATTACGGGATTCAACTGTACTTTTTATTTGAGTTCCAGATTGGATATGTTTTGATGTTGTATGTTTAGCAGTACTATGACTAGTAACATGTTTGGAATGCATTTCTGTAGAATTCAATTGATGCATTTCATCATCTTTAATTTGGGAATTAGTTCTCGTAGTATTTACACTAGACAGTTTATTGTTATCATCGCGGTTAATTATATACTTTCCGCCAACTGTCTTTTTACGTATTTCGCTTGATTCAGATCTAGTAGTTTCCTGTTTTGTAATGTTGCCATTAGTATGAAGACTATCTATTAATTTTATAGGGGACTGATTTTCTGTACGACTCCATTTTTGTGTAGTTGGATGATCAAAATCACCTTCAGGTCGTAAATTATCCTTAGGTCGAACCTGAGCGGGAGTTTCACCAGGAGCCCATTTAGAAATAATGCGTGAATCCATAGTTCCCTCTGGATATAAGTTGTCTTTTGGTTTTGTTGGACTTGGCCTTTCTGCTGTTTGCCACTTCGGTCTAGAAGGACGATCAAAATCGCCTTCTGATTTTAAATTATCTTTTGGCCGTACCTGCGATGGCGTTTCTCCGGGTTGCCATTTTGGCCTACTTGGCCGTTCAAAATCTCCTTCTGGCCCTAGATTATCTTTAGGTCTTACCTGAGAAGGAATTTCACCAGGTTGCCATTGGGCTGTAGGTCTTTTTTCAAAATCTCCCTCTGGCTTCAAATTATCTTTTGGTCGTACTTGATCTGGTGTTTCTCCGCGTTGCCATTTTGTGTTTGGTCGTTGTTCAAATTCTCCATCTGGATAGAGATTATCTTGCGGTTTTCTTCCTTGGGGTCGCTCTACAGAAACTCCTTTTGGCGTTAATGGTTGCTCTCTATCTGGTTGATTCTTCGATTGATCATACGAGGTTTCTGGTCTTGGCCTTCTTTCAAACTCGCCTTCCAATTTTAAATTGTCAGGATGATAAACTATAGCCGATCTTTCGCCTTTAGTTATTTTATAGTCATCTTTACGTGTATAGTCTTCCATTACACCTTCTATTTTCAGATTATCTTCTCTTCTCGTTAATTTAACTCTTTGTCCTTTAACGACTCTATATGTATCAGACGATCTAATATTCTCCATTTTACCTTCCATTTTTAAATTATCTTTGTGTTTTACAATGGCAGATTTTTCACCCTTTACAACGCTGTAATCATTTCGTTGTTTCATATCTATAAATTCACCTTCTATTTTAAGATTATCTTCTCTTCTAATAATATCGACACGTTCAATCTTTTGATTCTTTCGTATATCACTATTTCTTTCAATAGTAATATTATCAACTTGCTTGAATGGCTTGCGTTTTTCTGCGGGCTGAGAAGGAACCATTTCTGGTTTGTAAAATTTCCCGTCAGGTTTCAAATTATCTTGAGGTTTTATAACTGGAGCTCTATCTCCTTTTATTGCACTGTAATCATTACGAATTTCAAGATCAATAAATTCACCTTCTGTTTTTAAATTGTCTTCATGTTTCTGTATTACTACTTTTTCTACAGTTTCAATACGCTTGTAATCATCTCTAGATCGATGAACATCAATCTTCCCTTCCATTTTAAGGTGATCTTCATGTTTTACTACGTCAACGCGGTCACCCTTTGTTGCAGTATAATCTGTGCGCCGTATCACTTCCATTTTACCCTCTTGTCTCAAATTGTCTTCTGGCTTCTTTTGTACTGGTCTTTCACTTGGAACATGTTTTGGTTTATCTGGTCTATCGAATTCGCCTTCAGGTTTTAAGTTATCTTTTGGCTTTTTAGGTGTTTGTCGCTCAGCTGGACGCCATTCATCTTGCTTTGGTTTTTCAAATTCTCCTTCAGGCTTAAGATTGTCCTTGGGCTTTTTCGCTTCAGGTCGTTCAGCGGGACGCCAATCTTTTATTTTAGGTTTTTCAAACTCTCCTTCGGGTTTCAAATTATCTTTAGGTTTCTTTATAATTGGTTTCTCAGCTGGTCGCCATTCATCGTGTTTAGGAGTTTCAAAATCACCTTCAGGGTGGAGATTATCTTTTGGTTTTTTAGGTGTTTGCCGTTCAGCTGGCTTCCATTGATCATGTTTTGGTTTCTGAAACTCTCCTTCGGGATGAAGATTATCTTTAGGTTTTATCACTTCAGGTTTTTCTGCTGGAAGCCATTGATCTTGCTTAGGCTTCTCAAACTCACCCTCAGGTCTTAAATTGTCTTGAGGTTTCTTAGGTGACTGTCTTTCAGCGGGTTGCCATTTCTCTGGTCTTGGTTTTTCAAATTCCCCTTCAGGTTTTAAATTGTCTTTAGGTATTTTAATTTCAGATCTTTCAGCCGGACGCCACTTATCTTGTTTAGGTGTTTCAAATTCTCCTTCTGGCTTTAAATTATCCACAGGTTTTTTGGGAGTCTGCCGTTCAGCGGGTTGCCATTTATCTAACTTTGGTTGTTCAAAGTCACCTTCGGGTTTAAGATTGTCTTTTGGTTTCTTTTGGATAGGACGTTCGGCTGGACGCCACTCTTGCGGTCTATGAATTTCAAAATCACCCTCTGGTTTTAGATTATCTTGTGGTTTTTTAGGTGTCTGTCTTTCAGCAGGCCTCCATTCATCGTATTTAGGTTGCTCAAAATCACCTTCTGGTTTAAGATTGTCTTCTGGTTTCTTTTGTACAGGACGTTCAGCAGGCCGCCATTCCTCTAATCTAGGAGACTCGAATTCACCTTCGGGTTTCAGATTATCTTGCGGTTTCTTAGGTATTTGCCTTTCAGCAGGACGCCATTGATCACGTTTGGGCTGCTCGAAATCACCTTCTGGTTTAAGATTATCTTGTGGTTTCTTCTGTGTAACACGTTCAGCAGGACGCCATTCTTCTTGCTTAGGTGTTTCAAAATCACCTTCTGGTCTCAGATTATCTTGCGGTTTCTTAGGTATTTGTCTTTCAGCAGGTCGCCATTCATCATGTTTGGGCTGTTCGAAATCACCTTCTGGTTTAAGATTGTCTTGTGGTTTCTTTTGCACCACACGTTCCGCAGGACGCCATACTTCTTGTTCAGGGGTTTCAAATTCCCCTTCTGGACGCAAATTGTCTTTTGGTTTCTTAGGCACTTGTTTTTCTGCAGGCTGCCATTTATCATGTTTTGGCTGCTCAAATTCGCCTTCTGGTTTAAGGTTATCTTTAGGTTTTTTCTGGATTGGACGCTCAGCAGGACGCCATTCTTCGTATTTAGGTTGTTCGAAGTCTCCTTCTGGTTTGAGATTGTCTTTAGGTTTCTTTTGTAGAGGGCGTTCAGCAGGCCGCCATTCCTCGTGTATCGGTTGCTCAAACTCGCCTTCTGGTTTGAGATTATCTTTCGGTTTCTTTTGTGTAGGACGTTCCGCAGGGCGCCATTCTTCAGATCTAGGCATATCAAACTTGCCCTCTGGTTTTAAATTATCTTGTGGTTTCTTAGGTGTTTGTCTTTCAGCAGGTCTCCATTCATCCTGTTTAGGTTGTTCAAAATCACCTTCTGGTTTTAAATTATCTTTTGGTTTTATTTGAATCACACGTTCAGCAGGCCGCCATTCCTGTGTTCTAGGAGACTCAAATTCACCCTCTGGTTTCAGATTATCTTGTGGTTTCTTAGGTGTTTGCCTTTCAGCAGGCTGCCATTTATCATGTTTTGGCTGTTCGAAGTCACCCTCAGGTTTAAGATTATCTTTTGGTTTTATCTGAATAACACGTTCTGCAGGACGCCACTGTTCATGTTCAGGTGTTTCAAATTCTCCTTCTGGTCGCAAATTGTCTTTTGGTTTCTTTGGTTCTTGCCTTTCAGCAGGCTGCCATTTATCATGTTTTGGTTGTTCAAAGTCTCCTTCAGGTTTAAGGTTATCTTTAGGTTTCTTTTGCGTAGGTCGCTCGGCAGGCCTCCATTCTTCGTGTATCGGTTGTTCGAAGTCACCTTCCGGTTTGAGATTGTCTTTAGGTTTCTTTTGTACAGGGCGTTCAGCAGGACGCCATTCCTCCTGTCTAGGTGTTTCAAATTCGCCCTCTGGTTTTAGATTGTCTTGAGGTCTTTTTGGTGTTTGCCTTTCAGCAGGTCGCCATTCATCATGTTTAGGCTGTTCGAAGTCACCCTCAGGTTTAAGATTATCTTTTGGTTTTATCTGAATAACACGTTCTGCAGGACGCCATTGCTCTAGTTCAGGTGTTTCAAATTCTCCTTCTGGTCGCAAATTATCCTTTGGTTTCTTTGGCTCTTGCCTTTCAGCAGGCTGCCATTTATCATGTTTTGGTTGTTCAAAGTCTCCTTCTGGTTTAAGATTATCTTTAGGTTTCTTTTGCGTAGGTCGCTCAGCAGGCCTCCATTCTTCGTGTATCGGTTGCTCAAAGTCTCCTTCTGGTTTAAGATTGTCTTTAGGTTTCTTTTGTGTAGGTCGCTCCGCAGGCCGCCATTTTTCAAGTCTTGGCGTCTCAAATTCACCTTCCGGTTTCAGATTATCTTGGGGTTTCTTAGGTGTCTGTCTTTCAGCAGGTTTCCATTCATCATATTTAGGCTGTTCGAAATCGCCTTCAGGTTTAAGATTATCTTTTGGTTTTATTTGACTCACACGTTCAGCAGGTCGCCATTCCTCTGGTCTTGGAGACTCAAATTCACCCTCCGGTTTCAAATTATCTTGTGGTTTCTTAGGTGTTTGTCTTTCAGCTGGTTGCCATTCGTCGTATTTAGGCTGTTCGAAATCGCCTTCAGGTTTAAGATTATCTTTTGGTTTTATTTGAATTACGCGTTCAGCAGGCCGCCATTTCTCTGATCTGGGAGACTCGAATTCCCCCTCAGGTTTCAGATTATCTTGTGGTTTCTTAGGCATCTGCCTTTCAGCAGGTCGCCATTCTTCGTGTTTAGGTTGTTCAAACTCGCCTTCTGGTTTCAGATTATCTTTTGGTTTCTTTTGCGCAGGTCGATCAGCAGGACGCCATTCTTCTGAGGTTGGTTTCTCAAATTCTCCTTCGGGTTTTAAATTATCCTGAGGCTTTTTAGGTGATTGTCGCTCTGCTGGCCGCCATTCCTCTTGTTTCGGTTTTTCAAATTCTCCTTCTGGTTTTAAATTGTCTACCGGTTTTTTAGGTTTAGGTCTATCTGTGAGTTTTGGCTGGAAAGTATCTTGGGATACTGTATGAGTTTCGAAAGTACCTTCCAGGTGTAAGTTATCTTTTCGTATTATTTGTTGTTGCCTTACATCAATTTCTTCATAAGTTCTATATTCTTCTTGTGTAGTTGTTACTTTTTGTAAATCGTCTGTCGAATAGAACTTCTCAAAATCTTCTTTAGTCCACGTGCGACGTCTTTGTGGACGTTCAATAGGTGTAGCTTTTTGTGTATAATCTTTTTGATTTGATGTTATAAACTCAATTTCACCTTCCCGTATTATATTATCACTTCTTTTCGTAACTAAAGTAGATCTTTCCACAGTATCCGTATAATCTATAAACTCAGACTTAGATGTTGTATCTGTTATCATATCTCCTTCTATTTTCGTCCAAGTATTTCGTCTCACTGGTGTAGGTCTGTCTACTGGTTTTCCAGTGTATTCAGAACGTGTAGTTGTTGTATCTGAAAGTAATTTAATTTATTTATTATTACTTTTATATATTCATATTAGTAATTTAACAGAATGTATAAATAAAAAAGGAATTTGTATATACACCTCTTCTAAAAGAGATGTGGACATAATATGTTTATTTTTAACTCACCTATAAATTCGCCTTCTGTTATTATATTATCTGTGCGCCGGACGATTTGTGCTCTTTCTCCTGTGACAATCTTGTAGTCTTCAGTTATAGTCCTTGTTGTTGTAAATTCTCCTTCGGGTCGTAAATTATCCTCAGGTTTTTTAACTACAGCTTTATCAGCAGGAACAAATTCATTTGGTTTCCTTTTAACAAAATCACCTTCGGGTTTCAAATTATCTATTGGTTTTTTCTGGAGAGGCCTTTCAGCGGGTTTCCACTCTTCTTTTCTTGGTGTAGTAAATTCGCCTTCTGGCTTCAAGTTATCTTCCGGACGCTTAACTGGCTCACGTTCTCCAGGTTGCCATTTCTCCGGCTTTCTGCTTACAAAATCACCCTCTGGTCTAAGATTATCTTGTGGTTTCTTTTGAACTGGACGTTCTGCAGGTCGCCAAACCTCCTTTTCTGGTGTAGTGAAATTTCCTTCAGGTTTAAGATTATCTTCAGGACGACGTACTGGTGCTCTATCTCCAGGACGCCATTCTTCAGGTCTACGTTTCTCAAAGTCTCCTTCAGGCTTGAGATTATCTTCTGGACGTCGTACAGGAGCTCTATCACCAGGTAGCCATTCTTCGGGCTGACGTTTTTCAAAATCACCTTCTGGTTTGAGATTATCCTCTGGTTTTTTTGGCTTCTGTCTCTCAGCTGGGCGCCAGGCTTCCTTCTCTGGAGTAGTAAACTCACCTTCTGGTTTTAAGTTATCATTAGGCCGACGTACAGGCTCTCTATCACCAGGACGCCATTCTTCGGGTCTTCGTTTTTCAAAATCTCCTTCAGGTTTAAGATTATCCTCAGGACGACGAACTGGAGCTCTGTCACCCGGACGCCACTCATCTGGTTTACGTTTTTCAAAGTCCCCTTCAGGTTTAAGATTATCTTTTGGACGACGTACAGGGGCTCTATCACCGGGTTGCCATTCGTCGGGTAGACGTTTCTCAAAGTCACCCTCTGGTCTCAGATTGTCATCGGGTTTTATAGGCTTCGGTCTTTCAGCAGGACGCCAAACTTCTTTATCCGGAGTAGTAAACTCACCTTCTGGTTTTAAGTTATCATTAGGGCGACGTACAGGTTCTCTATCTCCGGGACGCCATTCTTCAGGTCTTCGTTTCTCAAAATCTCCTTCTGGTTTAAGATTATCTTCAGGACGACGGACTGGTGCTCTATCTCCAGGACGCCATTCTTCGGGTCTACGTTTTTCAAAGTCTCCTTCAGGCTTGAGATTATCTTCTGGGCGTCGCACAGGAGCTCTATCACCAGGTAACCATTCGTCGGGTTGACGTTTCTCAAAATCACCTTCGGGTTTGAGATTATCCTCTGGTTTTTTCGGCTTCTGTCTCTCGGCTGGGCGCCAGGCTTCCTTCTCTGGAGTAGTAAACTCACCTTCTGGTTTTAAGTTATCATTAGGCCGACGTACAGGCTCTCTATCACCAGGACGCCATTCTTCGGGTCTTCGTTTTTCAAAATCTCCTTCAGGTTTAAGATTATCTTCAGGACGACGAACTGGAGCTCTGTCACCCGGACGCCACTCATCTGGTTTACGTTTTTCAAAGTCCCCTTCGGGTTTAAGATTATCTTTCGGACGACGTACAGGGGCTCTATCACCGGGTTGCCATTCGTCGGGTAGACGTTTCTCAAAGTCACCCTCTGGTCTCAGATTGTCATCGGGTTTTATAGGCTTCGGTCTTTCAGCAGGACGCCAAACTTCTTTATCCGGAGTAGTAAAATCACCTTCTGGTCTCAAGTTATCATTAGGGCGACGTACAGGTTCTCTATCTCCGGGACGCCATTCCTCAGGTCTTCGTTTCTCAAAATCTCCTTCAGGTTTGAGATTATCTTCAGGACGACGAACTGGTGCTCTATCTCCAGGACGCCATTCTTCGGGTCTACGTTTTTCAAAATCTCCTTCAGGTTTGAGATTGTCTTCTGGACGTCGTACAGGGGCTCTATCACCAGGTAGCCACTCTTCGGGTTGGCGTTTCTCAAAATCGCCTTCTGGTTTCAGATTATCTACAGGTTTTTTCGGTTTTTGTCTTTCAGCTGGCCGCCAGACTTCTTTATCGGGAGTAGTAAACTCACCTTCCGGTTTCAAGTTATCATTAGGCCGACGTACAGGTTCTCTATCACCAGGACGCCATTCCTCAGGTCTTCGTTTTTCAAAATCACCTTCAGGTTTAAGATTATCTTCAGGACGACGGACTGGTGCTCTATCTCCAGGACGCCATTCTTCAGGTATACGTTTCTCAAAGTCTCCTTCGGGCTTGAGATTATCTTCTGGACGTCGTACAGGAGCTCTGTCACCAGGTAACCATTCCTCTGGTCGACGTTTCTCAAAATCACCTTCAGGTTTTAGGTTATCTTCTGGTTTTTTCGGTTTAGGTCGCTCGGCCGGTTCCCAGCGTGGACGCTCTGGTTCTTGAAAATCTCCTTCAAGATGTAGATTATCTTCATGGTGTACAGCAGTTGTACGACTGACATGTTTTTCATCGTAATCATGTTTGTATGCGGAAACCACGCTCGTCGTGTGCGCCACATCGAACAATGGCTCCGGGACATCGTTGTGTGGGCAGCGGTGACGCCTAAAATAAAAAAAAAAGAATAAGTACTTCTATTTCTAATAAAAAAAATATATTCGGAATTTATAAATAGAACTCTATTCAAATTACAAGATATAACTATAAGTTATAAAATGTTTTTTTATTAATTAAACGATTAGTACCCCTTTACACTTTCTACTTCTGTCGAGTAACTAATAACGAAATATATTAGGTACATGTCCATAATATAAATAACTATTATTTAAATTTTTAATTGGCATTAGTTCACTGTAATCTGACATAGAGACATATTGGACACTTCGTCTTTCAGACACGGTTTCCAGTTTCATTAGTCAAATTAATAATTACAATTAACCTTGATACTGTTTACAGAGTTATTCGCTATTTCTTATAGTTTCGAATGTAACCGTTCACGCATACTTCAAAATTCAGCCTATGAGGTTGTCATTGTCATCTAATAACTCATAAATTAATTTACAGCCACACCTTTTGATTCGAAAGGGATGTAAAGAGATAGGGAAACGTCTTGGAAGTGGCAGAGGCGGCAGCGTCAACGGTTCGGCCATCGCACCCACCCATCGCGCTCGCTTCGCACCTCACCCTTACATATGTGATACGTAATTCGTTCTCATGATACTAATGATCATAGTTATCTCACTAGTTCACTGTAGTCAGTATAGTAAGAATATGATACAAATGACATCATCTTCCACATAGCACTGTTTTTTTTATAATTATGTACTTCAGATTTTAAAGATACTGGTAATAATTGCGTATTGATAGGGCTATTTATTATTAATAAGTTTCTGTGACTTTAAAAGTTTTTTTGTTCTACAGCGCCGCTGGTTGAACTAACGCCGCGCCTGCTAGATAGGCCGAGCTCACGTCGCTCACTGCCGCAGTTCGCCGTACTTCTCGAACCATGAACTGAATTTCAGTTTTACATGACAACTGTGATTACCTACATGTCTACACACTATCGTGATCTGAATAAATAGAACAGTAATTATTCTCCCATTGTTTCATAGAATACTAATAGTACACATATTTATATTGTAATATTATCCCATCTGTATTTATACCGGCTCATATATTATGCATCATGTCTGTCACGATCTGTCTTCATTATGATGAAGTCAAAGTCAAAAATTCTTTCCGCATTAGGTATATAATATTCTTACACCTTTTATACTTTCGGCCAATCATGCAAGACATCAATTTTCATCAATATATTCATAAATAGGATTAGTTATGTAAAATAATACATACCTATAAATTACACTACATTTGGTACCTAATACAACTCTATGTACATTGATTATGTAGTTTTATATACTCCAGGAATAATAATTCCGAAATACATATATGAACTTCATACTTTCGCGAATTAACTATGACAACTTATTTTTGGAATTAGTTAACATATAAATATGATCAGAAAATTAATTGTGGTTATTTTAATTAAAATAGGAGGATTTTAAAAATTAACACTAATAATTCCGCCCTAAAAATATAAGGCAACGACCGTGTGACCTAGTACCGTTGCCCTGGCAACATTCGACGAACATTTATCGAAGTATTATGGGTATATGCAGCTAACTATATTTACAGGACAATGGAATATTCTACTATACAGTCTGAGTTCTTCTGTATGTAGCGTACTGTATTTAAGATACCTATTGCCTAAATATTCATTACTTTTACCCTTACATTTAGACAATATGTATATATTAAATACAGTACGTTAAACGGTACTGAATATTATAAAATATTACATAAATAATATACAGCGCAGGTAAAAGAAATATATATATCTATCTAGGAATTGAAAAACATTTAACTCAGTAAATTGTAAGACTTTTTTGGTAAAGCCACGCCAATAAGCCAATTTTCTAGTACGAACTAAGGCATACTAATATGCCAATATCATGTATATTGGTGGGTTCCTATTTTTCACTCTCTTTTAGAATAACATGAACATATTTACAGATTTTGGCTCATATTATATTAGCCAAAAGATTGTGAATCTGTGAATTACAATATTTATACAGTATTGATATCATTAATTCAACTTCAATTAGTGCTGTCCTTGCTGTATAAATGTAATCCGTTTTACAAACGTCTTCAAAAAGAGAGCAGGTTCATTAGGTAGTTCAGGTCTATTAGGTTGTAATTTTTGTTTTCGTGACACGCACGTCTATTCTTTTTCAATCAATAGGGTTTATTGTCGTGTTCATTCAATACGAATTTGGTCATTACTAAAATAGTTTCCTTTTGTTTCACAAAATTTGATATCATAACATTATCTAATTTCTATTCAAAATTTAATCTATCAGAACCTACAGATTCGCTAAAAAAAAGTATAAATAGCTTTGCGAATCCTATAACAAATCTACACGTAACATCTATTGAATCATACATGCATAATTACCGAAGACTTACATTCCATCTCTTTCCCCATTATGTGTCAGCTACTCAACAGTGTATAAAAGCTCTACAATGTTATTGTCTAAATAACGTAATGATTGAGCTAGTAGACTGCGTTGAATGGAATATGTTATTAAAGTCAATCATAAAGAAGTAACAGAGAACGTGACGTGGGCGGTTGCAATTTGCAAGCACTCCGAATATAGGAATGACTCAATGAGTCGCTCGAGCTGCGACCCCCTTTCTACTTGCAAGGAGAGCAACACAACATCTCCTAAACGGTTACGAAATATCATTTACTGTGAATATTGAAATAACAAAAATGAAACAATGTTGAATCTACATCTTGAATTAAACTATCGTGTATATTTGTAATTATGACAAATTTGACACTATTAGGACTTCTTTTAAACGATTTTGTAAACAAACATAAGGGATTTTTAGAAGACCTAAGATCTTATCACGTGTAATTGTGCAATTTGTTTTTAAGGAAAAGTTTTGTAGTGTAATGTAAAAAATCTAGTATTATACTTCGTTGTGTCTCTTATGTTACATATAAATTGTCTAAATACCGGTTCCAAAAAACAATTGCATGATTTTGAACTAGGATGTGGACCGCGCCTCTTTTTAGTGTTTAAATATTTTTAATTAGAATACTAGTCTAAATCTTTCATAACACGATATTGTGTTACGTAATGTGCTTGTTGTATGTGTATATTTACGATTAAATCAAATACTCTTAATATTATAGATGTGTATTTTGAAGTCTTTTATTGTGTCTGTGTATGTGATTTGCATACATGGTTTAAACATTGCGAACACGACTCCAAGATTTTCATGTAATAGAATTGTAATCATTACAAAATTCTATGTAGGTACTTTAATTCAGTTATAAGAAGCCGATGATGAATATTTAATGGTTTCGGTCTAGTTTTGTGTCGCCTAGCGATGGAAGCCAAACACGTCCTAAATCTGTCGTCTAAACTCTAATTACGATCAATATCTGTCTTTGAAAAAGCCATAGATACCTACTGTTATATGTTAATATATATATTTGTGAACGAACATTGACAATTATTGATGATATCCATAAAATTAGTTGAATAGTTTATTAGTGTCTAAACATTCATGTTTACAGATACATATGATACGATATGTTATCATTAAGTGTATCAAACTATTTACATATAAAATACATAAATATATATTTTACAGGAACAACTACCATGAACCACTGTATTTACAGGTAACATCGCGATGTACAAAATTCGATAAGATGCGGTACGGTGCCGAGAGGAATTCGAAACAGACAACTTTCGTCGGCAGTAACTAATTATTTAGTCTAAATTTTAAGTTTCTGATATAATTATAATTAAATTGTAATGTTATTAGAAAACCTAATAATGATTATTTTTCTGACTATAGACATGTACCATACTTAACGATACAGAATTTTGGGAATGATGAATGTAAAATTCATGATTCATGACAAATTGATGATTAATGTAAAATTCCGGAATATAAAATTTAATGTAAAGTGTGTACCTATTTTAAATCCTCTAAAACGATAACTTAAGAGATAATTTACAGTGGATTTAGTACATACGGAAAAATATTATTATTACAGATACCTTAACAAAGTCACCATTTTTCCAAAAAATAATTATATCACATTTTTCTAAAACAAAACTGAAGATGTTCTATTTAAAACACGGTGGTTTTTGACAGTTACTGTGGTGTACTGTTCGTTCACTTTCATATCGGCGGATATAAAAGTGTTATTAGTTATTACATAGATAACGGCTTAAAGCTCTGATTACACGATTACCTACGGCCCGTGACGATTCAAAAGCACCATTCTTGCTACTAGCTATTGCCTACTGTGTGATAATTTGATGTATGTATATTTAAATTCAGGTTCGTATGACAACTTACTCGAATAAATACCTGTAGCACTGCGACCTACATAGATCCATTGTGCTACCTAGACCCGTCAGGGACAAGAATTGAAGGACATTCTTAGGAGCGATCGTTTTTATCTCCTCGGGAAAGACTGTAAACTTTCCAAAGGAGATATTTCGTTTATGCATGAGTGGGCTACAAATAGGATGTTTTCCTCTTCAGTTTGGCAGAATCTGCAGATACTTGTCAAAGCTTAGCCATATGCTTGTTCAATTTGCAGTGTCCTGTGACTAGTCATCATGCATATGTTGTTTTTACTCAATTGCAGTAATCTTCTGATATAAGGTCTTTTGAATGTATTAATCCTGGCATTTCTTGCCAGTGATTCAGTGCTTCTCGTTTGGTTATTAATTTGAGATGTCCCAGTTTTAGGCAACGAGGCACACCACAGAAGGGTTCGGGGCCCAGTTGGACGGTTTTTGCCCCTAACTTTGCCAGATGGTCGGCATTCTCATTGCCTTCAATATTTGAATGCCCGGGGACCCATCTCAGTATAATATTATTTCTGCTTCCTACTTCATTTAGTAGCAGGATACAGTTTCTAATAAGTTTAGAACGGATTTCGTACGAGTTAAGTGCTAGTAAAGCTTGACTGTCCGAATAAATGTATATGTTCTGATTGATGTAGTTGA